CAGCCCTAGTAGTTGACTAGTCGGCGAGCAGGTCAGTTAGCGGTGCCGGCTCTTATCTCCGAGGACATTATATAAGCTTTGTTAACTGTTCCTCCGCTTCCTACTCTCTGCGCTGCTCTTCTCTGCTTCTCTGCTTCACGCAACCCCCCCGCAAAGACTGCCATTTCGGGCACTTCCTGCCTCCGCTCTTCTTTACTTTTTTCCGCGCTGCCCCCCGCCGCTCCCCTTTGCTCTACTTCCTGCTCTCTGTTTCGTCATTCTATACCAATTGGCCTCAAGTTCGAGTAAAGAGCAAGAAACAAGAAGCAGACTATAAACCAGGCTCCAACCAGGGCCCTCTTTAGTTGCGACGCTAGCTGCTAATTCAATTCCCGCCTGTTCTCGACCTGCGCCCGCGCTAATGGATCAGCGGCCTGCGTAGCTTCCCCAGCCACAGGTCTGTGACACAGCCTCTTGGCTTCTTCCGGTTAGTGCTATCCGCTCACCGCCTCGCCCTGTCTTGCATTATGTAATATTCTACAGCAGTTGTCCAACCTTATTCTTTGATCTTATCGCTTCTATCTCATCTTCATCTTGTTCTCTTGTTCTGATGTTCTGTTTCTTGTTCTGCTGTTTGTTTCTCTGTGCTTCAGTAATACTTGAAGGATTAAGCTTGTGATGTACTTCTCTGCCCTCATCTTTATATCACTCTGTTCCCTATATCGCCTCATCGACATACCTCTCACTTGTTCGCCATATTCTCTACTTCTTCTTCTTTACTATCTGCCGTCTCTCATATATCTCCAATTCCTATATCCATATTTCCTCCTTCTTCCTGATTATCTGAGTATAAACTGTATCTCCTCATCTCTCCCCTATCTGCTCTCATTCTTTCTACTCTACTACATCATAAACCATCTGTCTTGCATCAAACATCAAACATCAGACATCTCATATTTACAAAAAACTAATCCTGCTCCACTATCATCCTCATCAAACAGCATCCTCACACCATCTCCCTAACAACAGCCCTCCTGTCTCCTTCTCTCACTCTTCCATTATCACCTCCTATCTCTCCATATGAAACTCAAATGCACAAACCGGCCCGCTTGATCGATTCTTATGGAAGACTACCTCACCGCAGGGCTCGAGGCATAGACCATTCATTCTTTCGCTCTATCTATTCATTCTCTTGGTATCTGACACCGGAAAAGTGCCTCCTCGTATTGATACACCTATCGGCTTTCTTGCCCACCTCATCCATCTCTTCTACTGTTCTCACATCACAATTCAATACTCCTCCACCGGATCACATCTGCGACATCTCTTTATTACATATATACAACTGGCAACCATAACTCATACCACGTCATCTAAATCTACCTCTCGATACCCCCAGCACGTTTCGTTTTTAATACTATATGCCCAACACATGCTTCATCCGCTCGTAAACAAAGAAAGAACACGACGCCATCGGAATAACTTTGATATACCCAATCGTCAGTCCAACAAAAAACCCTCGCGCCCCATGCTGCTGGAAAATCAACCGCGCAGTCGACCCGATCCCGACCGCCTGCGAATTCTTAACCGCCCCGCTCACCTGCATCCGCCGCCGAATCACCTCGAGCGGATAACTCGCCGTCTGCGCAATCATCCCCGCCAGTCCGCCCGCCACGAGCTGCGCCCACGTCCGCAGCGGCACGCTGCGGTCCGTCGCTTGCTCGCCGTTCGTCACCGCGTACTTCGCCAGCAGCGACGAGCGGAAGATGTCGTGGATCTTGTCGTGGCTCAGGAAAGAGACGCCGGCGTAGGGAAGCATGCCGAGCACCGTCGGCGAGAAGCCGCGGTAGAAATTCGAGATCCGACCCGCGCGCACCACCGTCTCTGCTGATTCGCTCGCTGTTGCTGTTGATGTTGTTGATGCTCTTGTTGATGATGATGATAATGCTGATGATGATGATGCTGTTGCCGATGGTGATGATGACGATGAATTTAATGCTGATGATGTTGATGTTGTTGATGACTTTGACGGACGCGCCAACGGCCCCTCATAATAAATCTGCTTGCATATCCGCACAAAACTCGCCCGCTGATCCCTCCTTGTCTCATACGCCAGCCTCACCCTGATCAGCTCGAGCGGGTACGTGAAAAACACCGACGACACGCCCGCAAGCGACCCCGACAGCATCCGCCGAATGCTCGTTTCCTGGTCCGCGCTCGAAATCAGGACCGACCGGATCTGCTCGTACGCCACGAACTTGATCGCCGCGTAGGGGAAAATTCGCAGAAGCGTGGCCGAGTGGCCTTGGAACAGGCCGAGTACGCCGTCGGTGAGGTAGATTTCGCGTGCTGCGCGCCAGATGCCGAGACGCTTGCCGCTGAATTTGGCAAATTGCGGGCTCGAGGTTTGGAATAGGATCTTCACTCGGTCTAGAGGCGCGATTATACTCTTGGCCTATTCACGTAGAACGTCAGTATATCGAAATCAGCAGACCCAGCAAAAAACATATCCCATCACGTAATTCCCGTGATGGCCGAAAAATGAAGACAAGACATACCGCGCATCCAGCGAGCCCGCCGGCAAGCCCGCTCTTGAGCATGTACCCGTACGACCGTGTATTCTCGGTCGAGTAAGCCGAGGGTGTAGCCACGCCCTCCGAGTCACTCGCGATAGCACCCGCGTCTGACGGCGATTTTCCCACTCGTCTCGTGCCTGCTTCGCTTTTGCTGCCGCTGCCGCTGCCGCTGCTGCTTGCAGAAGTCAAGGCTAGCGTCATTGGTGGGTTGGTGTATCAGATGATGTCGAGGACTGTGATGACGGGGATCTAGAAGGTGATGGGTGGTAGTCCTGGAGGTTGATCGCCGTAGCTGAGAAACCGAGTCCGAGGTCAGCAGTCGGCGAAGATGGTGGATGTGCTCAAATCAGCAAAGCAGTTTAAAACCACGCACCGAAAAGATCACTCGAGTCTCAAGATGTGTACAAGTCTAGATACGAGGTTAGAGATAGTTACGGAGTCGGATGCATGCAAAACCTGCGAAAGGGCAAAGACAAAGAGTGCAAGCGTACCTCGAGAAAAAAAGTGTCTCGTCGGAATATCTGTTTTATCTCAGGAGGATAGCTGAGTCCACCAAGAGAGATAAAGACAGACGGTAGGTTCGGGAATAAACAAGAGACTTCAAGTCTCGACTCCGATCAGAAACAGTAGCCCGAAAACCGAAACAGAACAGGTTCGCTCTTCGTTCTCGTGCTGTGGAGTAAATCCGTTTGACCGCCCTCGCCGCTATTCACCAGACCCATTTCCTGAGCGCGGGGTTCTGCCTTCACTGTACGCTGCTGAAAACTCGAGGGGTTCAAACCTCCCGACGCCCCTAAACCTCCTCGGGTGTCTGCTGCATTACTAATCGACGACTGTCTGTCATGTGATTCGGCTGCTGTGCCAGCGCTGTGCTACTACTGTGTGCAAAGTGCTGGCGCCGGGCTTCCGACAGCGACGGGTGCTGACGTCATAATTTATCCGAGGTAGTTGGCAGCTACAGCAGTTCTTTGGTTCAGTCTACTGCTAGTGTCATGTCCAGAAGACTGCATCAGATTTCGCGTGGCTCGTTCGATATTCTGGCGAAGATCGCGATCGGTCGTTTTAAGTTGCGTGTCTTTGTAGACGCAGATGAGTACTGGTCAGAGACGAGGAGTAAGCATTTCGGGTTTATCTAAATCAATCATACTCCACCATGCCTTTCCAAGCAGGACACGCTACAGAAACAGACTGCTATAAAACTACACTCGGAAATCAATTGATACCTAGTCGCTTAGCGGTATGTCTCCTGAGAAGCTTAAGACGGCGACGTTCAGTTAATTCAGTATGATCATTCTCTTCGTAGCACGCTCAGTATTGAATCTTCTGCTGCAAAATAAGGTCAATTCTTGCAAGATATGAACAAGAAATATTTTCTACCCTTAAATAATAAAAAAAGTGCTGTGGATATTATCCTGGAAGGAAAGTGCACATATAAACTTAGATTATTACAACCACCAGACTTTCATCCGCTCACTCCATCTTGACAAAGAAAAATCAGACAAACAGTTTCAATTCAATTTTCGCCTCTTATAGAAAACGAAAAAAAAGACGTCAGAAACCCACAATCAAGATCGAAACGAAAGAATACGGATAGATCAAAGAAAGGGCGCGTAGAGTTTAGACAGACTCGCTCGATTCCAGACCCAGCCAGATCAATTTTCTCTGCTGTGTTCATTTTCTTGGGGATTTTCGGTTGCTCTGAAGAGTTCTGTATTTGCATTGTGTACACTGTATTGGTGTAGTTTAGTTCTAGTCTTAGTATAATTTACTAATATTTAATACTATTTCTTTTTTATAAAACCACGTTTTTGATCAGGACAAGTTGTGAAATCAAAGGGCGGTTTGAAAGGGAGGGTATAAACCTCTAACCTTATGCTAACTTCAATCACGTCCGTCAGCAGCCTTCCATCTTCCTGACGAAATCATCCAAAGCCCACCCGAATCGGATCAAATTGCATCAGCTCCAACCCAAATATCTCGATATAAAGGGGAAACCAGACTATTTTCAGTCTTTGCCTTGTGGAATTTCTGCTTTAATTTACAAATCAAGCAACTCGGAAAATGTCTTCAGCTTTGGCGATTAGGAGACTCGTCTACCGGCCTAGTCAGCTACAATGCCAGTCTGCGCGCATTCTACCACAGATCATGCGCTGTAACCGCAGATCACAGCCGTTGCTCTCGTCATCGTTTTCCTCGTCGGCGGCGGCGAAGAGCAGTCTACCTGCCGCGCCGTTTTCGGCCGTGCTCGGCGCGCGTTCCTCGCGTGCGCTGTTCCGGCTCGTGAGTATGAGCAGGAATCTGTTATCGCGACCGCTGGGCGGACCGACTGGTGAGAACGCCGCGCTGCAAAGAGCAGGTCGCGTACGATTCAACTCGACGAAGGCGCCCGAGGCAGCAAAGAAGCAGGCGCCGCCGCCGGCGGCGAAGAAAGAGTCGCGCCTGAAGCAGCTGACGAAGAAGTACGGCTGGCCGATCGTCTGGATTTATCTCGGTCTCTCGGTTTTGGATTATCCGGTGTGTTTTCTGGTTGTGCATATGCTTGGGCAGGAGAAGATTGGCGAGTTGGAGGATACGGTTGTTGAGTTCCTCGAACCGGTTACTTCGAAGATTCGAGATGCTTTGGTTAAGGCTGGGCTGGCAAAAGAGAGTATGTTTGAGTTTATCTTTATTTTCTGTTGATTTGAAACTAACCGAGAGTGTTATTCGTCTTCTAGAAGCACAGGACATCGTCACTCCGCTACCAGGCTCCGACGCGGCCGCTAAAGCCCACAAGGCCTCAATATGGACTGAGCTCGTGATTGCGTACGGCATCCACAAGAGTCTACTCGTCTTCCGCATCCCTCTGGCGGCAGCAATCACTCCGCCGATCGTCAAGTGGGGATCGAAGCATTTCCCGCGCCTGTTCAAGGCCGGACCGAGGTTTGGCGTCAAGGCAGACGACAAGCACCGGTTTGGCAGCGGGCTTATGTAAAATAGAGAATTTAGTAGAAGATATATATGCTGCATGAATATGATTTCTGATATTATCTGATTGAAATGCTTTTGGTGGGTTTCGTGACTATCGTACATATTGCGGTTTAAAAGTCTAGTAGAGCTTGAGATCACCAGTGATCTGATCGAGCTTATTCTTCGGTGCCGGGCCGAGTCCAAGAACAGTAGCCGACCCAGCCGCGATCTGCGTCCTTCCCGCGTCGTGGATGAGACAGTGCGTAATACCGACGGACTCGGCCAGAGCCTGGAGAAGCAGCAACGAGTCCTCGCCCTTGGTCTGGACGGTAATTTTAGGTTGCCCGCTGCGTTCCCATATGCGGACGGTGTTGGGGATGCTCATGCTCGCGCGCTTGTAGCAGCCGAGGGCAGCGTGGCAGCATTGCGCGGCAGCTTTTCCTTTGGTCATGCCGAGGTCGGTTCGGACGACGAGGATCTGGAAGAGGGGTTAGTATGTGTGCGGAGGGATAGTCGAGGGGCTTGGACGAACCATTTTGTGTTCGACAAACATGTCGAAAGGAGAAGCGTCTTTGATGTTGTCGGGGGCACTTTCGCTGTCATAGTCTGAGTCGTCATCGGTGTACTCTTCGTCGTCGTCGTCGTCCTCCTCTTCATCCTCTTCCTCCTTCTCCGATTCAGTGACAGTTTTTCGCTTTGACCGCTTAGACCGATGCTTTGCAGACGCAGCAGGAGCCAGCAGCGTTCTCGAGCAGATTGCCGCACCAAGGACAAAACCCGCAAGACCGGCGGTGACGTACTTTATTGAGTCTGAGGACAGCTGTGGCAGCATTGTTGGATGGCTATGGTTATTGAGTGCTGTGGTAGAGTAAAATGTTGAATTGACTGCGGCTCCTGTAGGTCGATTTAAGGTTGGGTGTGTAAGAGATGACATAATACGGGATTGTCCGTCGAGACTACACCATCGAGCGGATGGGATCGCGAGTTCGGAAGAGAGCACTGGATAGTAATGCCAAAAGCAATGGGCAGTAATGTGACTGCAACAGAATACGATAGACTACAGTAGACTACAGCACACTACTACTACAACAACAACAACGACAACAGCAACAACCAACTGCGGTCTCTACGATCCTCGATCTGACCGGATAAAAGAAGACAAAAGTAGAATAAATTATCAATTATCGACTCTCCTTTGGGCCACCCGCAGTCCTCCTCCAGCACCGGCACCGGCACCGGCATATAGGCGAGTCTCGGCGATAAACCCTTTTGCTCCCCTCCTCCGTCCACGCTGTTCAGCGCTCTTCCTCCTCCTCCTCTCCCTCCGCCTGGCCTCTTCGCGGTCCTGCTGTCCGCCGCGATAATAAACCGGGTGAGAACAATGCCGGTCTCTCCCAGCTCCTTCTGTTTTAATTGTCCGTGTGCGCCGGGTAGGTGCCCCACGCTGCCTCAATGAGTCGTGCGGGACCGGGAAATCTCGGCGCACGGAAGACTCGGGCGGGTAACCTTCTGCAGTCCGCAAGCTGAGCTCTCGGTCTCCGAACCATCCTTCAATCAGCCTACAAGAACCCCGCTTTTCCCTCTTCCTGCCCGCTGCCCCTCCTCCTCCTCCTTCACCACCCTCGTCCTCCTCCTCTTCTGCATCTTCCTCATCCTCTCTTCACTGCAATGTCAAACATCCTCGCCCGTAGAGCCTCCGTCGCCGCAGCCCGCGCAGTAGCCTCCCCTCGTCTGCGTCTCGGCTTGATCTCTCCACTCGCCTCGGTCGCTCGGCGTTCAAACTCGGTCGTATGTCCATTCCCCCCTCTCTCCCTCTCCCTGCCGCCCTCTCCTGCCTCTGCCGCGCTCCGTCTCTTCTTCGGATCACCTGCACTCGCAGGACCGGCGCCCAGACTCCTCTGCGCCGCGCAATTGATCTCGACGCTCGTCGCACGCGCTTCCGGATCACGAATTTACCACCGCGTGTGCGCGCTTCTCGTTCCGTCCTGCGTCGTGTCTAGACCGCTTCTTCCTTTCCTCCGGTCGGAATCGCTAACGTCCCCTTCTCCTAGTTTGCCAAAATCCCCCAGGGTCCTCCCGATGCCATCCTCGGTATGCTGTCCTCTACAATGCTTTTTTATAAACCATTCCTGTTCCGCATGTGACTAACCTCTTCTCGCGCAGGCATTACCGAGGCTTTCAAGGCCGATTCTTTTGCTGAGAAGATTAACTTGGGTACATATCGTCTTCTACCATTCTACATCTCTTGTATCTGCTAACCTGATTGCGTAGGTGTTGGTGCTTACCGTGACGATGCCGGAAAGCCCTACGTCCTGCCGTCGGTGAAGGAGGCCGAGCTCCGTCTCATCCAGCAGATGCTCGACAAGGAGTACGCCGGCATCACCGGTGTCCCTGCCTTCACCAAGCACGCCGCTACTCTTGCCTACTCGCCCGAGTCCAAGGCGATCAAGGAGGACCGTCTCATGATCACGCAGTCCATCTCCGGCACCGGCGCGCTCCGAATCGGAGGCGAGTTCCTCGCAAAGTGGTACCCGCACGGCAAGACCATCTACGTGCCCAACCCTACCTGGGCCAACCACGGCGCCGTCTTCCGCGACTCTGGCCTCGAGGTCCAGACCTACCGCTACTACGACAAGAGCACGATCTCGCTCGACATCGACGGACTCCTCGAGGACCTCAACACCATCCCCAAGAAGTCGATGGTCCTCCTCCACGCCTGCGCTCACAACCCGACCGGTGTCGATCCTACCCCTGAGCAGTGGAAGATGATCGCCGAGGTCATGAAGAAGAACGAGCTCTTCCCGTTCTTCGATATGGCCTACCAGGGCTTCGCCTCGGGCGACGCCGACAAGGACGCCTTCGCGCTCCGATACTTTGTCGAGCAGGACTTTGAGCTCGTGCTCGCGCAGTCGTTCGCCAAGAACATGGGTCTCTACGGCGAGCGTGTCGGCGCCTTCTCGCTCGTCACCGCCTCGCCCGAGGAGAAGAAGCGCGTCGACTCGCAGGTCAAGATCACCGTGCGCCCGCTCTACTCGAACCCGCCCGTGCACGGCGCGCGCATCGCGGCCGAGATCCTCGGCGACGAGAAGCTCAACGCGCAGTGGCTGGCCGAGGTCAAGGGCATGGCCGAACGCATCATCTCAATGAGAACGTTGTTGAGAGACAACCTCGAGAAGCTCGGCTCGCCCCGCGACTGGTCGCACATCACCTCCCAGATCGGCATGTTTTGCTACTCGGGCCTGACCCCTGAGCAGGTCGACACGCTCCGCACCGAGCACTCTGTCTACCTCACCCGCGACGGCCGTATCTCGATGGCCGGTGTCACGTCGAAGAACGTCACGTATGTCTTTTCTTCTTCACACCTTGCCCTGCATAGTATTCATTTCTAACATCTTTGTTTAGTCGCCTTGCCGAGTCCATCTACGCCGTCACCAAATAAGTAATTCCTGCATTACACCACCAACTCAACCGAGCGTGAACACTGCAATGCTTGCAAATATATACGAAAAAGCTCAAGAAACATGCAATGTTTTACGATCCGGCCAAACGAAAATCGGTCCTTCTTTTCTCATTTTTCTCCTTCCTCTTTTAGATATTTTTCTTACTTTCTTTTATCCACGTTGATTGATTGTTCTCCCGTTTTCGGGAAATAATACAGAACAGGACGGGGGTATATGCTAACTGGCTTATCATTTACCTCTCGTCCTTTATGATCTGAACAGTTTCTATGATCCAGCCGATTTATTATTTGTAGATACACGAGATCCGTAAACGACAAACTACACCCACCTTAATGTACAATATACTTACCCCACCAGCGACACAGGCAGAAGAATAGAAAAAGAAAAAACTGCTGGAAAAGAGCAGAATTGACGACGCAGCAATGACTATAGTAGAATGAAACGGGAGAACCGATATTATCTTTTCTTTCGTCTCGAAAAAAGAGATAGAGATGAAATACCTTTTGATTCTTTCTCCGGCGCTGCGAATAGTTGGACCGGCTGCTAAGATAACTGATCACTTCTCTCATTTCGGTCAGTCAAGAGATGATAAGGCCAGATCAAACGTCTCTTTCGCGAGGGAGATTATGAGAAAAGGGATTTACTCTCCTTCTTGCGCTCGTCCGCAATCTTCTTCAATTTCTTCTCCGTCTTTTGCTTTCCTGAGCCCTTGCCATGGAACTGATGCGACAGATGCTTAAACGCCTCCTTCGTCGTCATCGTCCGACCAAACTCATCCTTATACTCCAGCTTCACGTCCGGCTTGTAATCCTTAAACCGCTTCATCGCATCCCGTCCTTCCTGGATCTGCCGCGCAGTGTTCTCCCGCTGCGCCGCGTCCTCGCGCTCCCGCTGCGTCAGGCCGTCGTACTTGCCGCTCCGCCGGTCCGCTTCGCGCTGCGCCTTCAGCTCGACCTCCGCCAGCGCGCGACGCCGCGCCATCTCGGCTTTGAACTGCAGGTTCTCGCGCTGGATCCGTTGGCGCTCGAGGTCTTGTGCGTCGGGGGTCTTGAGCAGACCGCGCGAGCGGAGCATCGAGAGCGTGGCGCCTAGGCCTACTGAGATTTCGGGTTCGTCGCCAAGACCGGTGGGTACGTCGTCGTCGTCTTCAGCGTCCTTGTCACTAGCGTTACCATCTTTCTCCTCTTCCTTGATGTGAGAGCTTTCAAGGTAAGGGTCGGCGTTTTCCATCTTGACGTCGTCGTCCTCGTCTTTGACCACCGTCTCCTGCTGCTCTGCCAGACCTTCGGCAGCCATCTTCTCAAGCCTTTGCCGATCCGCTTCCTCGTCCGCAAGACTGTTGCCGACCGTACCCACAAACTCAGTCATATCGTCGATAACCAGCTCGCCGCCCTCGCCTGCGGCGGGTTCATCTTCAACGCCGGCTGCCGCTGCTGACTGTTCGCGTATGGACTGCGCGAGCATCTCGGGCGTGATGAACTGTGCTTTTTTCTTTTTCTGGATCGCCCGTCGTTGCTTCGTTAGCAGCGCTTGCAGATCTTCGTCGTCTTGCTCAATGATGTCGCCTTCCATATCCGGCATCACGACGTCGTTATCGCCGTCCCGCACGGTTGCTTCGTCGTCGTCTTCGTCGCGCTGGCGCCGCCGACCATTCTTTGACCCCTTCTTTGCTTTCTTTGGCTTCTTCATCTTGACAGGCTCCGCAGGCATGTAATCCGAGCTCGTCGTGACCGGGATATCATAATCCAGTGACACCCTGATCTTTCCCGGATTCGCCTCGTCCGCAGCTTTTTGCTTGACCTGGTCCGCGCTCATGATTTTGTTTTCCAGCGAAATGACCTCGCTATCGAGTGTAAAGAATTTCTTGCTCGAACTCACGCCGGAGTCCTCTTCGAGCGCTTCCTCGTACCTGCTCAGCACGCCGGACTTGCCGTCGTCTTCGTCTTCAAAGCCAGAGTATTTTGCCTTTCGCTTGCGGCTTTCAATGTTCTTTGCCAGCTTTGCTTTTTCTTCGAGAGCTTGTGATACAAGTTCGTCTTCTGTTTTTCCAAAAAGAGTTAGTGATGAAGTAGATTGGCAAAGATAATATTTGAATACGTACCCGCATCGTCCAAGACATTGCTGTCTTTCAGCGTCAAGATCACTTCTTCCTGACCAGCGATATCAGCAAGATCATGCCCGACTTTAAGCCCTCGCAAATCGCTCGCCGAATACTCAGGCTTTGACTCCTCTTCTTCCTCCTCGTCTGCAGGCACGGAGATCTTGAACTTCTTCTTTGCCTTCTTGACCCAGCTCTTGGCGTCGACATCGTCGGCATCATCTTCGTCACCCAATCCCTTGCCATCTAGGAACCGCAATCTCTCGATCCGCTCCTTCGATTTCTGGATCCGTTTCCGCGCCGCCTCGGCATCAGCCAGCATCCGCTCTTGTTCATATTTAGCCTTCCAGTTCGCCAGCGCCTGCTCGTCCGAATCAGGCGCTGGAGCGGAATCTCCCGCAGACGCATCGTCTCCAGGCACGGGAATCGGCCGCAGCCCAAGCTTGATACGGAGCTTGTTTGTGTCTTCGATCGAAAGCGACGATTCATCGAGAGAATCTCCAGTGGCGGCAGCGCGGGGCTCCTTTGCTGACTCTGTCGGAGTGCTGCTGCTGCTGTCGGTTGGAATCGGGCGGAGACCGAGCTCTATGCGCCGCTTGTTTGTCTCCTCGAGCGAGAGAGAGATCTCTTCGGCCATTTCGCGGTTGTGAGGATGAGAAGAGCAGCAATGGCTTTGGTAAGATTTTGGTTTTGCTCTGCGCAAGTTGTGGTAGACCCAGATTCCCAATTACCACAAACCCCACTCACCGCTTACATACACGTGACCGAAATACGCTTCGGCGCAGATGACGTAGATGCGTGCGGCACAGAAGAGAAACCCCCTGAAAACGGTCCGCACGCGACAGGAATGTTTAGCAAGTGCCCGAATTGGAATAGCGCAGCAGCGTCGCGGTCACACCGGATCAGCAGCTGGGTCCGAGATTCCGGCACGAAGTGGCAGAAACAAGGACTTGGAATGTTTGGGTTACGGAGAATGCGCGAGCCCTGGTTGGTGGGCTGTTTGGTTGTTTTGTTGTTAGGTGCGGGCGGGCACGGCGGGAGATGCCGGTGCCAAAGCAAGAACAAGTTCAGTGGCGGTCAGGTAAATTAGAAGGCGGCCAATTTGCTGGGCGGCGATGAGGATAAACAGCCAACATAAACCGAAGGACTGAAGGCAGAAAAGTAAGAAAAAGCTCAGGGACGTGCGTTTTTGTCATAATTGAAGTTTGAAGTTTGGTTTTGGGCCGCGTTGGTCGGAGTCGGACCTGCGGACGGAAGAATCTTAATAAAGCTCTCTTGTTTACTTCTTTCCATCTTATAACTTCCTCTCTCGCAAGCCTCCCCTTCCTTCCCATCCCGCTCTTCTCTCTCTTTCCCTCCCATTCTCCTCCTCCACCACCCTCTCCCCCTCCTGATCTCCTCTTCCTGCTCTTCCCGGCCCGTCGTATGCCGTGCATGAGGCCGGCAATCACACTCGCCTAAAGCTTCCGCCATCCCCATGTCGTCAGCCGTCGTCCCCCGGGCGCTGTCTGCCGATCAGTTTATGCTGCTCGAGCAGCTAGGCAATGGCAGCTTCGGCGTTGTCTACCGGGCCATATACAAGTCCGTCTTTCTTCTTTGTCTTTGTTTATGTGTCTGCTTTGGTCGCGTACGCTGTGGCTACGATACTGGATACTAACCGCAGTCTTTGATCTCATAGGGAGACAGGCGATATCGTCGCAATAAAACAAGTCAGTACCGCCGATCTTTTGCTTCTCGTTGTACTCTGACTGACATTCTCTTTGCTTGCAAGATCGATCTCGAATCCAGTGAAGATGATATCGCAGAAATACAAATGGAGATCGCGCTGCTCAGCGGTTGCGACAGCAATCATGTTACAAAATACTACGGTTAGCCACTTCCGCGACGCTTCAGTACAAGCTGATTGGTATCTGATTCTAACCACTGTATCCGATTCTTACAGGCTGCTTTGTTAACCGATACAAGCTTTGGATCGGTATGTTTCTTATTTTTAGTTGTCCGGCTGGTCTCAGATCAGATCTCTAATTAGCTTCCTCTCGCAGTCATGGAGTATCTCGCCGGTGGATCCGCCTTGGACCTACTCAAACCCGGCCCTTTTACAGAGCAGCAAATTGCCATCGTTTGCAAGGAACTGTTGATCGGTCTCGCATATTTGCATAGCAACGGAAAGGTGGGTCCCCCTTACTCCCCCTTTTTTTTAATGCGTATCTGCGTTTTTTCCTGCCTACGCGAAATCACTTGTGCTGACGTGTTCTTTGATTCATCAACAGATCCATCGAGATATAAAAGGTACGCGCGATCAATCAACCTACAATCCATCTCATCTCAAATATACTGATCAAAAACTATAGCCGCGAATATCCTACTTTCGTCCGACGGCGATGTGAAACTAGGTATGTCTACTGCGCACAGATCACAGATTCAGCTTTGAGTTCTCGTACCCCTAACACTTTGCTTTTGTTTTGATATAGCCGACTTCGGCGTCGCCGCTCAATTATCGAATAATCTATCACGAAGAAATACCTTTGTGGGCACGCCCTTTTGGATGGCCCCGGAGGTGATCAGACAGGAAGCCTATGATTTCAAGGCTGATATCTGGTCACTCGGCATCACTGCTATCGAACTCGCCCGAGGAGAACCACCGCTGTCCGAGTACCATCCTATGAAGGTTCTGTTTCTGATTCCGAAAGCGCAGCCACCTGTACTGGAGGGAAAATTTAGCAAGGAGTTTAAAGATTTCGTAGCTCAGTGCTTGATCAAAGACCATACACGACGACCGTCAGGTGTGCAGACCCTAGTTCCATATAGCATCTATGCAGCAGCTAACTTCATTCTCTGTTTAGCAAAACAACTGCTCAGACACAAGTTTTTTAGAAATGTCGGCAACCCAATTGATCTCCGAGCGCTTATAAATCGCAAAGAAGTGTGGGAGGGACGAAGAGTAGACCGTCCAAAGCCCAAGCTTTACGAAGAGACAATGTGCGTATACAGAGTTCAGCAGCAAATTATTGGGCAAACTTGACTAACAATAACATACAGAGGAACAATTAGCTCGTTGGTAGACGGAACCGTCGACGAGTGGTCGTTCACGGTAGATAAGCCGCCTCAGCAGGCAGTGCAAGTGTCGGAGAACGAGATCACGGACGAGATTTCGATAGAAAAGGTCGCGCGGCAGAATCCGTCGCTGTATCGTCGCGACCGGGCTCACACGCAAAACTCTTCGCAGAGATCGGTCGGTGCGGCAGCTAGTATTTCCGAACAGCTGGGTCGGATGAGCGTCTCATCGTCTAATTCTGATGAAGACCGACATCGTACTATCCGAGCTAGAAGCAGTCATAAGGATTCCCGGAGATCCATACTTCAGTCTTCTATGCGCATAGATTCGGAGTGAGTTTTAGTATTTATTTTTTGAGGATGTGTATCGTATAGCTGCTAACGTTTAGCTCTAGTCGACAACGTACGCTCAAACCACGACAGCACCTGCGAGAAGCACCGAATGCTGCAAATGTCCTGTCAAATGAAGTATCGTCAGCGCTACGGGACAAGCCAAGCGAGGAGAATGCACCACTTCCCGTTCTTGCCCTGTCGGACAAGGCCAGATACGGAAGGCTATTGTTTTCAGAGGCTGTTGAAGGCGTGGTCGAGAAGATCGAGCTGAAGCCCGGCGTGAGCGCAGCCGAGCTCGATGCGGCAAACAAGTTCTCGAGTGCGTGGAAAGCTTTGGACGCTTGTGATCCCGAGGCGGAGTTCTGGATTATGAAGACTATAATCTCGAAAATTCAGGCCCATGAGCAGTTGAGTTCTGTATTTGTCGAACCGAAAGAGCAGCATGATGATAGTGTCAAGAGCTCGACACGAACGAGTAGGTCATCGAGCGTGGCGTCCTCGAATTCGTCTAGTTCTCAGGGGAAGGAATCCGGAGTGCAAAAGACGCTGCCGATCATTCCAAAGAGGTCGCAGATCGAGCAGCTGCTTTACGCTAGATGGCTGGAAGGGTTGCGCGAGCGTTGGCCCGAAGTCTAGAAGTTCAATTTTGCTATAGTGACATGATTGTGGCACTTTGGCACTGAATTCGTTTCTGTTTTTGTTTTTGTTTGTTTTGTTTTGTTTTGTTTTCATGATATGTCATGTTTGCTTTTCCAACGTCATATGGCTAAAGGTACTAGCCATTTATATGAAAGGAAGGTAAGGTGTTCTGGTCCAGGTCCAAAGGCGCATGCTACCAGGATTTTTTACTCTATATGAGGAATCTGATTTATGTTTTGTATGTGAATGAGTCGAGCCGCGATTTATTCCCTAGCCTCCCGTCTGATTTAAGAAGAAGGGCGGAGAGGGGAGCGCGCGAAAATGATTAAAGGTGTAGCACGTTGCTACTATGATTGCAAATCCTGCATCAATGGTTTGATTTTTTATGTTTTATTTTATATTTGGTTCTTGTAAGTAGTTTTCTGAACAATTTCTCTTTTTCGTCGTTTATATGAGGTTGTAGACTCGTAGGATTAGTTTTGTTGGTTCTATAGTGTAGAAGCTTAGGACCAGACAGCGAATGCTCTCTCCATTGAATATTCAAAAACACACACACGCATACACTCCCCACCCCACCACGCGCACACAACTCTAGATACAACCTATTAAACAACAAACAACAAAGACAAGGCAAGCGAGAGAAAAGAGATGTGAAGAAAGATGTCGATATGAAAACGAGGGCCAATGAAACCATGACTGGGAGAGCATGGAGATCATATATTTTACAAACGCCCTAAGCAAAGCGAGTACAGGGAAGGAAGAAAAGTATAAATATATATATGTGGATATTATGAGGAACGGATATGGGACATGAAGATGACGAGGATGAGGAAGATGATGAAGGCGAATGATGGATGCAGGACCGAGAGTGCTGCAGAGATAACTAGTCCGCATGGGCGTATTTGAAGAAATTGTTGATGCAGTTCTCGGGGTTCATGCTCGGCGTGGTGACGAAGCGGCCTGCTTTGCAGCCGCGGCATTTGTTTGATGAAGGACAGTTGTAGTAGGGCTGGTGGAGGTAGCCGATGTCCTTGAACCAGTGGATCTTGCTCTGGTCGAGGAACAGACCGAGGCCGACGCTGTGCACCGGGGCGTCGCCCCAGCGCTCGTAAAAGAAGCCGCCGGCCTGATCGAGGTACTCAAAGTACTTATCGTAGGCTTCTGATCTGAAGAAGTTCATGTCTCCGATCTCAAAGTTGCTCCAGAAATGGCATGTCGAGTAGCCGTTTGCGATGCGGTGGTGGTTCGGGCGGGAGTTGCCGTCGACGAGCCAGGCGAGGGAGTTGTTGGGGTGCAGGTACTCTGGGTGTTTTGCGACGAACTCGAGCGTCGTCGGCCACAGCGTTCGTATGCTTTGCGGGGCGTCGTAGATGTTGATGACGTAGCCGTAGGTCTTGTCGTTGTCCTCCATGTAGCGGAAGACGTCGTAGTCTATGCTGCAGAAATAGCGCGTGTTTGGCTCGACGCGCCAGTACCAGCGCACGTCCTTGAGCGCGGGGTGCTTGTAAAACATGCCGGAGTTCCATCGACACATGCGGTGGTAGCTGCCCATCTGGGCGTACATGATGTTGTCTTCGACGAGGATCTTGTTTGAGACCTCGGTGATGTCGTTGTTGATCCACTCGGGCGTGTCCCAGTGTTCTCTCGGGATCGTCTCGAACCTGCACTCGGCTTTTGTGGCGGCCCGCACCTGCCTTTTGAACACGTCCGAGAAGGGTTTGTCGTTAAAGAAAGTCCATGGGTAGTTGAACTTGGAGTTGAACGTGCGCTCGACGTCGCGCATGGTGCCGAGCAGTCCCTTGAGCTCGTTATTGCGCACGAGAACGAGCAGGGTAGCGTTCGCACGCGGCGCGTCGTCAGTTGCGCGCGTCAGGATGCCGACAGGCTCGTCGACGTCGTCGAGCAGGGGATTGCTGGTGATCACATTCTTGACTGCGAGCTTTTCTGGCGTCGCGCCGAGATACTCGGGAAGCTGGTCGCCTCTGAAGGCGGTCACGGGCGCTGCCTTTTTCGTGCCGGCCGCGGCGGCAGCAGTGGTTTCTTCGGCGGCAGACTCTGGACGATGGAGGAGGAGTATCAGGGCGGCGACGGAGACCAGGGCGACAAGTGTCAAGACGGGTGTCCGCGCCCACAGCCGCGCCCGCTGAGTCAGCCTCATGACGGCAACAGTACAAAAGCCGTAGCGGACAGGGAGACGGGAGCTTGAGCAGGAGGCAGTCGGGAGATTGCGTGTGGAGGAGGCGCGATTGGGGGAGGAGAGCGAGTGGAGTGGTTTGCGGTTGAGAGCGGTGCGGGTTTTTTAATGGCTGAGTCGAGGAAGACGCAGAGGGATTGACAGCGCTGACGGGGAGGAGGGGTTTGTGTCTGAGTCACTGTCCTGCAGAGCAGAGAAGATAAGAAGAAGAAGATGAAGATATGAAGAAGAGTAAGAAGACTCTTGTATTTCTGTGCAAACAACAACAACAGCAGCCAAACCAGCTCTCGGCCGGTCGCCTGCAGCAACTCGTCGGAGCCGAGATCCTTCGCGAGGTTACGTCAGCGGTCGAGTTAAGCTTTCGACGCTCAGGGGCCGCGTTGCCTTTGTCTCTGCTCCGAGCGGGTTTGTTTACCCTTCGCCAACCACCGCCCGAGTATGGACCACACCCCGGCCGCGGCCGCGCGTCGCCAGATCGCGGAGCTTGTTGGACGTTTGGCTGGGATATCGCAGGTGAGCCAGTGCTGCGCTGCTGCTGTGCGTGTGTGTGTGTGTGTGTACTGCGACTGACGTACGTGTACGTGAATACTAGACCTCGCATCCTCGCGCGTTCAAGCGTGTACGCGACCGCGCCATCGCCACCGCAGAGACAAAGTACCGCTCGCCAGACAAAGACGCGGTACGCGAACGTGCGTATGGGTGTGTAGTCTGCTGATGGATATTGTACTGGGTTGGCCTAACATCAGGTAGACTTGTTGAAAAATACAGCGTCGTGGCTCGCGACGATCTCAGCGACGCGCTCAAAGAGAGACTTGATCTGCTCTTCACCGTCGATTCGGAGGTGTGTACCGGCTTTTACTAAATACTCATATTCATACTCATACTCATATCTCTCTGCAGAACACCATTTCCACACTAGCAGTCATCCTCGATCTCGCGCAGGCCACTGCATTGCAGAAGCCGCTTCCAGACGCCATTGTCAACCCACCGCCCAAGGCTGCAGATATCGCGCCCGAAATAGCATGGCGCGAGATCTTGCGCAATGAGCCGCTTGAAGGTGACCACTGGAATACGCCTACCTATGAAGACGATTCCGAGGAGGACTTTTCCGATGCTGAGGCGGAGCAGACGAACGCAAGCCCCTCACCTGAGCAGTCTGCTGCTGTACCGCAGCACGAGGTAGGTCACTTTCGTCTCTCTCGTTTAGTAAAAGCGTGCTGACAAGATCTACAGGACGAGAGCGACTACGAGTCCATTGATTTCCGACTTCGATGATCCAATCCAGTCTATTCAACTACATTCTACTTTTGCAGCACATAGCCAAAATAGTCAAACGACCCGCTCGAATCCGACAGCGTCTCCGTCTCCATCTTCCAGTACGGCCGATCTATTATTAGCCGCGCGAAATGCGGTTGCCGGTACGAGATGTAAAGCATCCGGCCGGTTGGTTTTAGGACTCGGTTCGTCTGTTGAGGTTGTTAGCAGTGCTTGATCGATATCAAGATGAGAAGATGCTCTAGGACTAGCTCACCTCGTCCATGTACTTCAATGCCGACTCTTTGATGTCTTCAGGGATAGTCCAGATCGATCCGGTATAGCTCAGGAATGCATCGAGTGTTCCCTAAACCCGCAGATTACCAAATTAGCAAATAGCAACATAATATCTCCACAATACACCTTACCTTATCAATAGCAATGTCAAACTCTCCGTCCTTGAACTCCTTCATGTCCCTCACATCCATCACATGCCACGTCATCTCGGGCTGGTCCTTGTGCAGTTCTGCCATTTGCGCGATGCAGACGTCAGAGTAGTCAACGTTGGTGATGTTTTTCAGACCGGAGTCGTAGAGATCTTTTGATAGTGTCTGCAGAAAAAGCGCCTCGTAAGTCGAATGAATAAAATACAGAGAAAAAGAAAGAGAGATGAGACTTACGCTGTTCCCGCAGCCTAGCATTAAGATCTTCAGACTGCTTCCAGTACCCTCATTATCCCACGAAATATGCTTCCTAAAAAACGGTTCTAGATCCTTAAATGTCTTGAACCAGTCGAACGTCTTTGCTTCTCCGTCTTTCTGGTATCTTGTATCCTGTACGCCAACAACTTGTTAGAAAGCAGTCAAGGTGAGATGAGATGAGATGTCGCTCGAGAGGGACTTTTGACTCACCCAGTACTCCTTCGTCTGCAGCTTGTCAACCTCCGATAGCTTCAAGTCTGCCATTTCTTCCTCCTCTTCTTTTCTTCTATTTCTATTTCGGTTTCTCAATTAAGACCAAGATCCTCTGAATAAAACATAAATCTCCCAAATCTTTTCCAACGTGCGGCGCTCTGATCAGCGCGGCTTGGCCTCCTCGGCGTGGGTTTCCATCGAATCCGATAACCACGTTCGAGACTTTGCTGTTTCTCGTTTCAGGTCTCAATCTGAGTTTGGCCCGGTTCTTATCGATATCGTCGGTGCCTGGATGCCCTTCTTGGAGTTCTAAACACCTCATACACTCTCTTATCACTGTTCTTCGGTCTTGAAGCATGGCAAAGACTATCCAGCAGTTTCTCTCGATTGCGCGCCAGACTGTTCGCGAGGGCCTCAAGGCTACCGCAGCGCAGCGCATCCTCCTCGTCACTGGCAACGAGTCTGCTGGTATGTCTGTAGTTCTTTCTGTCTTTTTCCCGCCGTAAGAAAGCCAGGCTAACTCACATCTTTACAGATCTCGATTCATTCACGAGCTCGTTGATATTTGCCTATCTGACAGCCACCCACCCCACGCCCACGTTCAAGGACCGGTCATACTCCTCAGTCATTCCTATCGTCAACATCCCGCGCGAAGAAGTCTCAATCAGACCAGAGCTGCTGTTCTTGCTCTCCACTCTCTCGATTCCAGAGTCGGACGTGATCTGCAAAGACGAGTTTCTCGCGTCGCTGTCGACCGCCTCCGAGAACGTCGACGTGGTTGTTCTCGACCATAATAACCTACTCTCTGATCTGGGTGAGAAATTCAGCAGTCGCGTCGTCGGCATTCTCGACCATCACGTCGACGAAGGTCTGCACAAGGATGCCGAGCCACGAGTCATCGCGCCCGTCGGCAGTTGCACTACTCTAGTCGTCAGCTACTACAAGGACTATTTCACCAGCAAGCCTGACACCGACGAGCAGGCGAAGCTCGTGTCTGACGTCGCGCGGCTCGCTCTCGCGCCGATTGTCGTCGACACGGCGAATCTGACGTCAAAGGCTACGCCGGAGGATTTCGAAGCAGTCAAGCTGCTGAACGGTGTTCTTGCCGATGATGCGCTCTCTCAGTTCACGCAGGCCGTGGAGGAGACGAGCGTCGAGAGTAAAGAGGACGAGGAGTCCTCAACTAAGAAGAGCAAAGCAGACCCACTCGAGACATACTTCTCAGCTCTAATGAACGCAAAGCGAAGTATCGACGGTCTCTCACTGCGCGACATCTTACGAAAAGACTACAAAGAATGGCGAGAAGATAATGGTCGGTCGGTCGGGATCAGCTCGAGCGTCAAGTCACTTAAATGGACTGTTGAAAAATTCGGCGCGGAGAAATTTAGAGAGGGAGTCACAAAATGGGTGGAGGAGCGCAAGTTGGACGCGTTTGTGTTTATGGATTCGTATGTGACCGAGGCCGGACAATTTAGACGTGATCTCTTTGTCACAGTCTGCTCCGAGAAAGGCGACGGGTGCGTTAGAGAGTTTGTCAAGGCTGCGAAGAAGGAGTTTGAGCTTGAGGAGATCTCGGGAAAGGAGAGCATCAAGGACTTGACGGTTGACGAGGAGACCGGGTTTTGGTTTTGGAATCAGGGAAATTTGAAGGCGAGTCGGAAACAGGTCGCGCCTCTGATTAGAGAGTATATGCAAAAGTAGACAGAGAGCATTGATGTCAAGCGCAGATGTAGATATACGAGATAGCATATAGAGACTTTTGGTAACTATTCTGATATTCATGTGAAGATAGTAGATATGTACAGATTGATAACAAAGAGAACGCCAAAATGTATCCGGAATCAAATAGAGCGAGGAGAGATGGAAGTAGTGACTGGATCAGTCTTCGTCGGTGGAAGGAGGAGGGCGTTCGTCCAGTCGCATGTAATAATCAACTATGATGAGGCATTGTTAGTATGGATTCCACAGCCATTGAACATAACAAAGAGCAACTTACTGGCACCACTGAATGCCGCGAAAGCAGCACATCCACTCAATGCCGCCTGAGGACCGTTCTTGTAAGCCAGAGCACCTCCGGTCAGACAGCCGGCAACGACACCATTGTACAGATCGTTCTTTGCTCGGAAACTCTCCACGCAGCACTCGACACCGCTGAAGATACCACCGATTTTACCAAAGTTCTTTGCCGATCCCCACATCTTGGTGCCGAGGTCCTTGGCCTGTATCCGGAACTGCTCTTTCAGCGGCAGGTCCGACAGCGGCTTACCGCCCATGCCGACGGGGACATCATACGCCATTGCGCCCATCATGAGCGAAAACAGACCACCGAGCGCGAAACCACCGACACCGGCCATGACCATCTTTGCCGGACAGCTCGTCCAGACCGCCTCGCCGAGCTCCATCTGGCGCGCCATCTCGAGGGCCTCTTCAGACATGGTTGTTATGCGGATAGTAGGGATGTATGGCAGCGGAGGGAATTCGGGAGCGGGTAGCGAGAACGCCCGCGACGGCACGCCGGGCGCGTCGGTGACTGCATTGGTTCCCGGTGCCAGGTTTTCGGGCAGAGACATTGTGTTGTGGGTTGGTGATGGTGAAGATGGCGATATCAGAGCCGGTCTTGTTCGTCGATGGCACTTTTTTTTCTTCCTGGCGGATGTGGCGCAAACAAGCACCGCCACAGCACCGCCGAGTGCTCGTCTTCAGACCTTCACTGCTCTCTTCTCCATTCACCAACCTCTACTTCTCACACCTATTTGCTATCATGGCACCACCTCCGGGCGGAGTTCTGGTCACGAACGAGATCAAGGCCAGGCGGCATGGCTCACAAGCATCTACAACAGACGCGACCGACGACGAACCACGGCCTGCGAAGAAAAGCAGAGTCTCGACAGATCCATACGACACTCTACGCGCACAACTCGACACGCTCTCCAAGCGGCCGGACAAGCCGATCGTGATTCCGCGGCCGCCCTCGCCGTCGTCACTGCTCCCGCCTCCGCCGGAGATTGTGAAGAACGTACAGGGATCCAGCGCTGGTGCCGGATCTGGCGAGTTCCATGTCTACAAGCAGGCGCGGCGACGGGAGATGGAGCGCACGGCGATTTTCGAGCAGCAGCGGAAAAAGGACACGGAGATGGCGGAGTTTGAGGAGAAGAAGAAGCAGCTCGAGGCGATGGATCGCGAGCGGACGGAGCGGAATAGGGAGAAGCGACGGAAACGCAATAAGAATAACAAGTCTGCTGCGAAGACCGAGAAGGCTCAGGGACAGAGTGCGTCTACGGAAGGAAAGGGTGATGTCAAGACGGAAGCAGACGAGACAAGGCAGACTGACAAGACTGAACCTGAATCGTCTGCGTCTACAGCTGCTGCTGCTGCTGCTGCTGCGCCGGTGGCCGATGGCGAGATCAACCTGACGATTGTGGACGATTTCGACTTTTGAACATCTCTGTATATGTGTATATCTATCATCTCTATATATCTATGTGTGTTTTTGTTTTGCCCACTCACGGCCGGCGTTTGGATACAAATATCATCATTTCTACAACTTCTTTCTGTAAGAACCAGATACAAATAAAAACACGCGGTTAGGGCTTCAACTCTCTCAACGCTGCGGCTGCAAAACTCTCCGCAAATCTCGAAAACGCGAAGCGGAAGAGCAGATTCTCTGCTTTGCCACTCCCTCTGTGCTCTGGCTCTGGTTCTCTGCTGTTCGGTGCGGTGCAAGTCAAAAAAAACAGGTTGAAGACAATTGCTGTAGAGCTGCTGTCGAAATCAGAAACAGTCGTTGCGCCGGTTTAGAGATTATTACTCGTTTGCTTTCCTGGCAAAATCATAACAGTTTAATAAAGATATGCTAATGACGATTTGATCGCGCAAAAGAAAAAGGCCCAGCTTTTCTGTTCTCCTCAGTTTTCTCTTTTCTTTCCTCTTCCTCTTCTTAGGCGCTGTTGAAGCACATCTCAGTCAGCATGGCGACCGAAATCACACTTCCCTCAAACCTGCATTATCCCATCACCATCGTGCAACTTATATGTCAGTCTGGTAGTGAAGTGCAAAAGAATGCACCGTTATTCTCATATCGGTATAAGACCAAGGTCACGCAAACCATAGATATCAACGAAGAAGTCGAAGTCGACGCGGAGCTGCTGGCCTCGTTTGATTCCCCGATGGAGGGTACGCTAGGAGACTGGCTGATCAAGGAAGGCGATGTAATTGAGAGTTCTGGGTAATTACCTCGGATCGTTTTTCGTGTGTGTCTGCATTGGATATGTCAGCTAATTGCTGTTTTGTAGCCTGGTCGCCGTATCGGTCTCCGAGCCTTGCACGCACGCGGTTCAATATGCAGGCATGTGCGCGCTCTGCGGCAAGGATCTCACACAGTATGTACTTGAAGAGTCTAGTTTAGTTTATTTCAGCATGATCTAACAACACATTTCTAGCCGTGACTATTCTGGATACAACGAAGCCGCTCGTGCAGATGTTCAAATGTTCCACAAGTCTAAGGGTCTTGCCGTCAGCATGACTGTACGTTTAATGCTTCTACGTGTACGACTTTGGCAATACTCTAACAATGTATACAGGAAGCCGAGCGGATTGAAAAAACAACGACAATGGCTCTTCTGACGAGCGGGAAACTTATTCTCGTCGTGGATCTCGACCAAACGGTGATCCACACCACCGTCGACCCAATCATCGGCGAGTGGAAACGCAACCCAGACGATCCCCACTACGACGCCGTCAAAGACGTGCACTCGTTCTGTCTCCAAGATGGCTCAAACTCACAGGGCTATTGGTATTATGTGAAAGTCAGGCCCGGGCTGGAAGAGTTTCTGGAGCGGATCTCGAAGAAGTACGAGTTGCACATCTACACGATGGCGACAAAGTCGTATGCGGCTGCTATTGCAAAGATCATAGATCCGACAGGGAAGTATTTCGCAGACCGAGTACTTTCGCGCGACGAGAGTGGGAATCTTGAGCAGAAAAACCTGAAGCGACTGTTTCCGGTGGACACGAGCTTGGTGGTGATCATCGACGATAGAGGCGATGTGTGGAAATGGAGCGCGAATTTGATCAAAGTGGTGCCGTTTGAGTTCTTTGTCGGAATTGGTGATATCAACTCTGGGTTTCTGCCAAAGCAGCAGGACGTCAAGGCTACGGGTGCGACTACGTCCGGCGGAACGATTGCAATGCCGCAGGAGGACAAGCCGGTTGGGAAAAGCTCGCTTTCGGGAGACAGGGAAGATACCGAGCTGGCGAATATCGAGAGCTCGCTGATGCGCGTGCACGATGCTTATTATACAGAATATAGAGAATACCAGAAGAAGAAGGAGTCGCAAGTGGTCAACAAACGGAAACGGAAGCGGCCGGGCGACTGGCGAGAAGGGCTGCCGGACATCAAAGTGATTATGCCGCGAATTAAACAGAGCGTACTCGATGGTGTAGTGATTTTGATGTCTGGCACGGTGCCTCTGGGCGCGAACTTGGACTCGGTCGACGTGGTTATATGGGCGCGGTCGTTTGGCGCAAAGGTCGTTGACACGTTGGCGTTCGATGTCACTCATTTGGTAGCGGAACGGACGGGGACGAAGAAAGTGCACCAGGCGACGAAGTTCAAGGGGATTCATATCGTGTCGCCGGCGTGGCTTTACAGATGCCTGTCCTCGTGGACACACGTCGACGAGAGCGACTACGTGCTCGCGGTGTCGCCGAATAACGCATGGGAGGCGGAGTCGGATAGCAGCAGTGATTTCGATTTGGACGACAGCGATCTCGACGTCGCTTCTGAGGCCGAGAACGATGTGTTTGATGCTGTGGTGGACGATGACGGTGTTGTCGAGTCCATCATACCTGAGAAGCAGAGCCAGGACGAGGAAATGGACGACGGCGCGGTAGTGGTCGCAGAGGAGCCCGTAGTGCTCCCGGAGCAGGAATCCGAGACTGTAGAGCAGGCAGAAGAGAGCGACGAGTCCGAGGCGTGAGTAACGAGCGCAGCTGCCCTGTATAATACAACAATAATACAAACAATAATACACAAGATACCTAATCCAGCCAATAGCACGACTTCCAATTCGGGAAGTGCAGCTGCGGTTTTAGAGTTTTGCTCCCCCGCAGCCGAATTCGGGAATTGTTTTAGGGTTTTCTGGTTGCGTCATGCGGCCTTTGCATCTTCGGATACATCCAAATACTGCAAACCCATTGTTTTCCGCATTGTCCGGTTCTTCTCCAGATCTACTTCTCTGTTCAGGTCTTTTATCAAGTAATCATGGGCCGTCCAAGGGTATGCCGCCTCTTATCTGTGTGTTGGCTGTCGTGAAGTGCGCTGGTGACTGACCTACTCTGCAGCTAATCATCTTGGTCCGGCATGGCGAGTCTGAGGGAAACTGTACGTCTCTCCACCTGCTTTCTTTTGCATAACCAGATGTACTTATATCTTCTTGTTATTCAGGCGACCGCACTATCAACCAATACGTCCCGAACCACAAAGTCCCACTGACCGCGCGCGGCCACGAGCAGGCGCGCGCTGCAGGCGTTCGTCTGAGAGAGACCCTTCTCCCCGGCGAGAACGTGCTGATATACACCTCGCCCTACCGACGCACGCGGGAGACCACGCAGGGCATAGTCTCCCAGCTTGACGGGATCGACTACCGGGTCTACGAGGAGCCGCGTCTGCGCGAGCAGGATTTCGGCAACTTCCAGTTCCACGAGACGGAGATGGCAAAGATCTGGAAAGAGCGGGCGCGCTACGGGCATTTCTTTTATAGAATCCCAAACGGAGAGTCGGCTGCGGACGTGTACGATCGATGTGCGGGGTTCAACGAGACGTTGTTTAGACAGTTTAGTTCGGATAAGTTTGCAAAAGTGCTCGTGCTGGTCACACACGGACTCATGTCGCGCGTCTTTCTCATGAAGTGGTACCGGTGGACGGTCGAGCGGTTCGAGAGCTTGCGGAACGTAAGCTACTGCGAATTTGTGACGATGGAACGCCAGGACACGGGAAAGTACCTGCTCAAAACGAAGATGCTCACATGGAACGACCCGCCACCCACTACATTAACCTCCATGAGCTCGGCCGCGGCTGACGGGAACGGGAATAGCACAGATATCGCAGAGAAGCAGCGGAAAATCCGAGAGATGTATGAGCTGCTGGTGGCCGAGGAGCCCGGAATTCGCGATACCTCTGCCGTTAACGAAGGTGACGAGGACGAGGACCACGTTGAGGATAGGCCAACATACCCGGACGCAAGCCTCTCGCATGATGCTGCCCTCAGAGATGATAGCGATTAATCTTAATTTACGATGAACAGAGGCAGAAGCACTCTGATGTGACGGTTGGGATATGATGGCTAGGATACGATAGCTCTATGATAGCTTTATGGGCTTGCTTGGGTCGTTTTAAGCAAAAGCTCAAACCTTTGTAATTTTCTTTTCTCTTGAGTATGATGGCTGTTTCCCTGATCATGTCCATGGCGCTTCCTTTGTTCGGTTCTCTAGTTGTTCTTTTGTAATTTTTTTGGCTGGTCGGATCGGATCGTACTATTTTTATTTTAATGGATTTCTCTTATTCTACAATCACTAGTAATACAAAGCGAAGGAAAGCTTGGTAACAATAGTAAACTGGTAACAAATAGTAAACCATAGGAACGCCCTTCGTACATCTCAACAAAAAAGAGCAATGATCACTTGACATACTTGTTCATGAACTTTTTGTGGAAGTCTGATCGCAGCATGTCGTTGATGAACCTGTTCTTCTCCTTCCCATCAATCCCCTTTGCCTGGTTTTTAAACACCACATCCTCATCCCATCGCTTGCTCTGCTTCGGCCGACTTCCGCCCGCAAACCCATCATTGAAATTCAGCAATGGATTACCCGCCAGCGCTTCCTCGGCGCGCTCAGCCTCGAGAGCAGCTTGCTTCTCACGCTCTTGTCGTTCTTTCTCTGCCGCGCGCTCTTTCTTGATCCGCTCCAGCTCCCGCATCAGCTCTGCTGTTTCGTCTTCCTCTTCGTCGTCGTCATCGTCATCATCATCGTCGTCGTCGTCTTCGCTGTCGTCGTCTTCGCTTGAACTTTGGTCGTCTCCACCCTCCTCTGAACCAGACCCCGACTTGTCATCCCCTGCTTCGTTCTTTTGTGCTTCCTCCAAGATCAGCCGCCGCCGTTTCGCTCTCTTCTCCTCCTCATCCTCATCCTCGTCGTCCTCCTCATCACCAGCCGCGCCACCTTCAAGCAATAACTGAGGCGCCTTCGTCGTCGCGCTCTTCCTCCCACTCTTCGCATCATGCTCCGCCTCTCGCTCCAGCAGCTCCCGCTTCATCGCCTCCCGCTCCCATTTCCGTTCATCAGAAGTAGCAGCCGTGGCCAAATCCTCGCGATCACCGGTGCCGCCTTGGCCGCGCTTCCGGTATTTGAGCTGTGTGTGCGCTGGGAGCATGCGACTGTGGTAGACGCGGGTCGGCGCCTGGGCAGCCTTGCCGCGCGCCGGATCGAAGGTCGGGCGATGGGCTGTGGTCATGTCTGCGTCTGTTGAGTGTCGATTTAAGCAGAGATGGCGGTGTTTGTGTGAAGATCTGTAGATATCAGTGGATATCAGGGATGCAGTCGACGTGTTGATGAGGTTCTCCCAACTCGACTTAACTTTTCGCAGCTGAAAAAATCCTGAAACTCTAAAACCCACCAAATATCCAAACTGATCGCGAAGATCAGAGCTTTATCCTCTTACTGAAACAGACAGCGCAGAGTGCGGAATATAAGACAACATGGCTCCGAATCTGAAACCGTCTGCGCTGGAGAACGCGTTTGTGCTGAAAGCGCTGACGGAGAACGTCCGTCTCGACAACCGTTCGTTCTCGCAGATGCGCAACCTCGACATCTCATTCAGCTCGACAGAGTACGGCGTGGTCGACGTCCGTCTCGGCCGTACAAGGGTGATTGTGCGGATATCGGCAGAGGTCACGCAGTGCCGGTCAGATCGGCCTTACGACGGCCTCTTCCTGATTTCGACCGAGATCAGTCCCATGGCGGCGCCGACGTTCGAGGCGGGCAGGAAATCCGAGGAGGAACTGGTCATCTCGCGGATCATTGAGAAATCAATCAGACAGTCGCAGGCGCTTGACACCGAGTCGCTCTGTATCCTTGCCGGCGAGAAATGCTGGCTTGTTCGCGCTGATGTGCATTTCTTGGACCATGACGGCGGGCTGCTGGATGCGGGTTGCATGGCTGTTAGTGCTGCGCTTTTGCACTATCGGCGGCCGGAGATCTCGATCGTTGGCACCGGCAACAAGAGGGAGGTCGTAGTGCACCCGGTTACCGAGAAAGTCCCCGTTCCGCTGTCTGTTTTGCATGTGCCTGTGTGCGTGACATTCTCATTCTTCAACATGAAACTCGCAGAGTCCACAGCTATGTCTGCGAATTCTACCACTCCCGCGACCACATTAGCCTCTTCCACAAGCAGCACGACAAAGAGCAACGACGACGAAGAAATGGACACAGATGCACCAGACCAAACCGCTGTGCTCGTCGACGCATCCTTACAAGAAGAACTCCTCCGCCACGGCTTCATGGCCGTCACCGCAAACACAAACAAGGAAATCTGCCAGATCTACAAAGCAGGGCAGCTAGTTGTTGAGATCGAGACGCTTCTGAGCTGCACGGAGGCCGCGGTCGCGGTTGCGGAGAAGGTCACCAAGCTTATAAAGCGGAGGTTGAAAGAAGACGAAGCGACGCGGAATGTTGATAACATTTTCGAAGAGGCAAGGGCGGAGAATACGAGATTGGTTGCGGACGAGGAAGCAATTAGGGAGATGGACAAGGAGTAGAGCTGAAGGAAATAGCTAGGCATTTATTTGTAAACTACATGTATCATATTTCAAAAATCTGTCTCTTTCGTTAAGCTATAACAGCTGATGGGACTCTTCACGTCTTGATAATCAGCTGGCAAAAGCAGCTGTATACTCGCTCAAAAGTAGGTTACTCATACATACAGGCTGTCTTTGGTGATATGCTACGCGAATGGCTCGAATAAGCAGCCGTGCAGTGATGTTGAAATCGTTGTATCGGTATGCCACTATCCAACTTTAGATCGTCATCCATCCCTGTGCTCATTTCTCACTGTCTTTCTCCGGTTCGTCGTTAGCAACCTCTTTTGCGACGTCTTTTGCATCGGCCTTATCATCAGTCACGATATCCTTAGGCTTATCTTTCTCGTCCTTGTCTCTGCTTGCGGTCTGTTTGTTTGCATTTGCCGGTTCGCCATCAGCCTCGGGTTTTGATTCTGCAGTATCTGTTTTGTTGTTCGCCTCGTTATCAACCCCGTTTCCATTCCCCTTTTCCTTAGCTTCCTCGATGTCCATCTTGTCGCCCTTTGGAGATCTGGGAGAGCCCTGCGACAGAGCAGGAGAATGCGGCCGTGGAGAAGGTGATCTCCGAGCAGGTGACCGTTCAGATTCAGACTCTGAATGCACCGGCGATCGCTCGGCGTCCGGATATTTTCGACGAAACTGATCCCACAGCCTGTCTACCTCGTCCTCGGCTTCGTCAAACTGTCGGTCCAATGTATCTTCTTCGTCGTCTGTGAATATATAGGGCTTATAAAGGATCGATGGCTTTGCTTTAGTTCGTAGAAACTTTGCGTCCTTCCGTAACCTTTCGATTTGCGCTTTCAGCGCCGACTTTTCGTTTTCGAATTGAATCTGCTTATTCCGCTTCGTCGTCTCCTCTTGCAGCTTTTTGTCCTTCTCAGCCAATGCCTGCTGCACCTGTTTGTCTACCAAGCTCCGCTTCGACGTAGCGGCTGATCGCGTAGTCTCTTCTTTGAATTGCCCAAGCGACGAAAGAATCTGGCCAAACATCCGCCGGCTCCGTCCTTTTTCTTCCAGCTTGGCTTTCAACGGATCATGTTCGCGGCGGACACGCTTCGGTGCTGGTGCGTCGCCAGTTGATTGCGTCGATGGCTGTGAACTTGACTGCCCGGTCTTTGCCTCTAAATTGCTCTCATTCTTCCCATTTCCTGTATCTGATATCGATCGCTTGGAAGAACTCGCTCCCGAAGTTGAATCCCCACTCGCGCCGTCTTTGATCTCGGCTGCAAGATCGGTCATTATCGTGTACCAAAGCCAGCTCACGCACCAATCGCGTAGTAATTGTGCTGTCGATTCGATTTTACTCCCGTCCAGAAATAATAGCAGCCAAACAGCTTCGTGTGTCTATCGATTTTGGCCGCCCTCCGGTAGCCTGGTTGCTGCAGAACTGGATCCAGCTACGAGACCTTGACCGCCCACGGAATTTTCTCTCGGTGGATTGTTTAAAATACACGTAATCAATTACATAATAACATGACGTCACACTGCTTTAAGAAGAAAGGAAGGCATGGCAGACGGTTCTGTTTACTTTGATCTGCCTGGTCTTCTTCACCAAACCGCGATCCTGCATCTTTGCTGGATATTCCCGGTATTGCAACCCAGCATCGCGCTCTGTTTCCTGTCGACCAGTAGCGTCCGCTCGATATGGCACGCCGCTCGTTGTTCTCTGCGCTGGTATCCGCCGCACACCTGTCGCTTCCCCAGCCGAGATCAGCATCGCTACCGATGCGCTATGGGGTTTTTCTGTTCTTTGCCTTGTTCGTCTGCTCAGCATTCGCATTAGAACCGGTCGAGATGGCTGCAGATCCGACTACGCTTCCGGCGTCGCAGAGTTTCGTGAGCAAAATGCTCTGGTTCTTTCCCCGCCTGATGCTCCATGCGCTCACCTTAATCGCATACTACATCCCGGCCCAGGTATTTGCGCTCCTGGGCACCTCGTTCAGCATCACTTTATCCTTTTACTCTTTGCTGTTTATCATGCTCGCTTTTGGAACAATAGTATGGGCTTACGTGCGCTACCGCTATCTCAACATCTACTCGCAGCTTCCTCGAGAAGAGCACCGGGTCGAGCCAAAGGTCGACGTGCTCCTCTACCCCACGAGTATGCCCAGCCATTATGACAAACCTGGATTTTCGAGCTATCTGGACGAGTTTTTCAGCGGGATCAAGGTGTTTGGATATCTGGAAAAACAGGTCTTTCATGAACTGACGCGGCACGTGCAAACCCGGAAGCTGATCGCCGGCGACACCATGCTTCTGGAGGAGGAGAAAGGTTTCTGCATTGTAAGTTATCGTGGATATACTTGAAGGATGGGATAGGCAGAGGCTGACTTTTGATTTTTGATAGGTCGTCGATGGCGAGGTACAGATCTACGCACGTCCGGCTCAAAACCAAGCACGGTCGTCGTTCAGCGATGATTCAACCGACGGAGACGACGAAGACGGTGGATACAGACTACTGACAGAAGTGCGCAACGGTGCACCCATGTCTTCGTTATTCACCATTCTTTCTCTCTTCACCGAGGATATCGACATAAGCCCCCAGGCCGAGCACGAGCGCCGACCTTCTTCCGCAATGTATTCTCCACCCATGAGACCGATGTTTGAGGATTCAGTACCAATGCGGACAGATTACAAAGGGGATGAGCTGAGTCCGAAGCTTTTACCGCTTCCCAATATCCCTCCGTTGAATGAACGACCCTCGTCTGGTTCTTACCCTGGGCCTGAGCATAATAAGAGACATAGATCCCCTACCTCATCCTCAGATCCTGCCGGAATCATCGCCCGTGCGTCGACGGATTCGACTATTGCAGTTATTCCAGCCGAAGCGTTTCGGCGCCTAACTCAGAAATATCCACAATCTGCTGCACACATCGTCCAGGTTATTCTCGCTCGCTTCCAGCGCGTCACTTTTCAGACCGGCAATAATTATCTAGGCCTCACTTCTGAGATTCTGAAGACTGAAGTCGCGTTCAATGAGCTGCTGAGGTATAATCTACCCAGTCACATCAGCGCTAGTGCAATCGAGCGAATCAAGGCTCAGTTTGACGACATGTCAGAAGAGCAATCGTACATCAACATCAACACCCCCAAACGACGAACTTCGGATGCTGCTCTATCGGGTACGCCGGTACGAGGACCGTGGGGCGAGACGCTGAAGACAAAGCCTAGATCGACTATTCAGCAGATTCCTGAAGATCATGAATATACGCCAAAAAGCAACTTCTCGCACGACAAGGTGATGGCCGGAGATCTGGCGTCGAACACGCCTCCTCCGACGGCTCAGAGACATGCATCTTCTTATACGTCAACGCAATTTGTACCGCAGCGGCCGCATCTGAAGCTTCAGCTATCCACAAAGTCTTTAAAGTCTGGCTTTGGCAGTATTGATTTTTCCGAGCTCGGAGAAAATGACGAGGACTCTGATGGCGGCGGTGATATCCGGGGAGCTCGGATTGATGAAGATGAGAACAGGAAGACTCTTGATGAGATGAAGGGCGCAGTGGTAGAAAGCATTTTGGAGGCGCTAGGTGTGACAAGATACTCTTTGGATGGCAAGTCTCCTACTGCCATGTCGGCAGAAAACAGCCCGAGGTTCAATCCGTTTGAGAACAGACGCAATACAGGCCATCGATCTTCGCTTAACAGCGTGAAAGGTGGGGTCCCCACGGGTCTTGGAAATCTTGGCTTTGGCATTGCGAATCCGGTATTTTTGGACGATGAATCAGTGGCTTCAAGTAGCATCCACCAGCAACAGACGCCGCTCGCCACGTTTGCTTCGATCAAGAAAGAGCTTTGCAAAGATGTTGAGATTGTACATTACAAAGCTGATACCCGGATCGTCAAGCAAGGTGACCCGAATCTCGGTCTCTATTACGTGATTGACGGCTTTCTGGACGTCTGCAGTCGCGAAAAGTCTGGCCAGCTGAAGACGATCTACACGGTGAAGCCAGGAGGAATTGGCGGCTATTTGGGAGCCATGTCGGGGTACAACTCATTCGTTGATATCAGAGCCACTACCGACGTATACATCGGCTTTCTACCGAACAAATCGCTCGATCGATTGATCGAACGTCAGGCAATCATCATGCTCACGATGGCCAAACGCTTAACGTCGGTGATCTCGAGTTTGATTCTGCATTTGGATTTCGCGTTGGAGTGGGTGCAGATTGGTGCCGGGGAGGTACTTTATCGGCAGGGGGATGAGGCAGACTCGATCTTTATAGTGTTGAACGGCAGACTGCGCGCGCTCAAAACGGGAGAGACGGGTGAGGTCGAACTGTTTAATGAGTTTGGGCAGGGTGAAAGTGTAGGAGAGTTGGAGGTTCTCAGTACGTCTAATCTTTTTTCTTCTGGCATCTGATTCTTCTGACAAAGAGCTAACTGACTCGTTACTTTAGCTTCTTCCAAGCGCCCCTTTACTATGCACGCTGTGCGCGATACCGAGATCGTACGCTTCCCGCGCACACTATTCGAAAGCCTTGCCCTTCAAAACCCCGCAATCACAATTAAGATCTCGCAGATAATTGCCTCGCGAGTCAACAGTCTTGTGAACAAGGAGCTGCGGGGTAATATGGAAAACACTGTCGGATCGACGATGCCAATGTCGGGCAACTTCCGCACGGTCGCGATCTTACCCGTGACGTCGGGGTTGCCGGCGAAGGAATTTGCAACGCGTCTATCGCGCGCGATCATGTCGATTGGACAGACCAGTATCTTGCTCGATCAGGCTGCGGTTTTGAAGCACCTCGGCCGGCACTCGTTCAACAAGCTTGGAAAGCTGAAGTTGAGCGGGTACCTGACCGATCTCGAGGAACGTTATCAGACGGTGCTTTACGTTGTCGACACGGCGGTTACTTCGCCATGGACTCAGACGTGTATCTCTCAGGCTGACTGCATTTTGCTGCTGGCGGATGCGAACGCAGACCCTTCTATTGGCGAGTACGAAAGAGTCTTGCTTACCGCGAAAACTACGGCCAGGAAGGAACTCGTACTGCTGCACCAGGACCGCTATGTGCCCGCGGGGCAGACGAAGAGCTGGCTGAAGCACAGGACGTGGGTGCATTCGCATCACCATGTGCAGATGCAGTTCCGAGGTCCAGTGCCGAGCAATACGCACGCGTTTTTGGGCACGCAGTTTCGAAAACTGAAGAATCGCGTGCAAAACACGCTGCAGACTGAGTTGCAGAAATTCCGGCAGCCGCTGCCGACTAGACCTGTGTATCTCTCCAGTCAGGTGCACAAGAACGACTTTGCGAGACTGGCGAGGATTCTCTCCGGGCAGTCGGTAGGATTGGTCTTGGGCGGAGGAGGAGCGCGCGGGTTGTCTCATTATGGCGTGATACGGGCGTTGGAGGAGGAAGGCATCCCGATCGATATCGTGGGAGGAACTTCAATCGGAGCGTTTGTCGGGGGCTTGTACGCTCGCGACTCAGACATGGTTCCGATCTACGGCCGACTGAAGAAGTTTTCGGGCCGGATGACGAGTCTCTGGCGGATGCTTTTCGATCTCACGTACCCGGCCACAAGCTACACCACCGGCCACGAGTTCAACCGCGGGATCTGGAAAGCGTTTGGGGACTCACGGATCGAGGACTTTTGGCTGCAGTACTACAACAACACGACCAACATCACGCACTCGCGCATGGACTTTCATTCTTCGGGGTACGCGTGGCGATATATCCGCGCGTCGATGACGCTCGCGGGGTTGTTGCCGCCGTTGACGGATGATGGGAGCATGTTGATGGATGGTGGGTATGTGGATAATTTGACAGTCACGCATATGAAGGCGTTGGGCGCAAATGTTGTGTTTGCGGTCGATGTCGGGAGCGTGGATGATACGTCCTCAATGAGCTGGGGAGACTCTCTTTCAGGTGAGTCTATTTTTGAACTAATTCTCATCATTTTACCGGGCGGCTTGCTAACATCAACGTACAGGCTTCTGGGTGCTTCTAAGCCGGATCAACATCTTCTCGCGACAACCCACGATCCCAAGCATGGCAGACATCCAAGCCCGCCTGGCGTACGTCTCCTCGGTGGGCGCGCTCGAGAAAGCCAAAAACATGCGCGGGGTGGTCTACATGCGTCCGCCGATCGAAAAGTACGGCACGCTCGAGTTTGGCAAGTTCACCGAGATCTCGGATGTCGGGTACGAGTACGCAAAGGAGTTCTTTGCAAAGCTCAAGCAAGAGGGGAAGTTTCCTGAGATTCCGGGTGTCGCGAGGGTTAGCGATCGGTCGAAGAGGATTATCCAGCGCCGGAATTCGATTTGATTTTGCATTACTGATTCAGGCAGTTTGAGTGATCTGCATTAATTATTAATTCAGCAGGAGATTGGAGTTTGTACCTTTGTATTATATCATTAATTTGTACATATGTTCAATCTTTGTCTACACAGTGCATTGATTTCCAAAAAAGTAAATAAAGACGACCAAAAGTTAACTATCTACAATTCACCCTGTGCCCAGTTAGTAATCCAGCTTGCCGACCATGCTGCCCCAGAAATCGTTGATAAACTGCTCCGAGCCCTCGTCGGCCTTGACGGCCAGGTACACGCGCTCGTCGACAGCCGGGTTCCAGAGACCAGGGTTGCCGCCGACCATGCGGCCGCCGGCTTCGCTGAGGATGATCCAACCAGCTGCGACGTCCCAGGCGTAGCATCCACCTTCCTGTAAAGCAAATTATCGCGGTTAGAATTTGGAGAAATCAGGAATAAAAAAGAGCAGGAGAAAAAAAGCAGGAGACGTACCCAGTATGCATCCAGCATGCCAGCAGCAACGGCACAGATATTCATAGCCGCGCTTCCCAAAGATCTAAACCCATGCACCATCGCGCCGTCCTCAGCCGCGAGCTTATTGAACGTGTCGACCTTACACTTGTAGTTCGGCCCCGACCGCTGGGTGCCCCATTCGATACCGATCAGCGCGTTCTGGAGCGTGAGTTTGCTGACGCTCTTGCGCAGCGGAAGACGCTCGTCGTTGAGGAACGAGCCGTGGCCTTTCACGCCCGTGTACATTAGCTTGAGGAAAGGGTTGTAGACGACGCCGACGACGGGCTCGCGGTTGACGGTGAAGCCGAGGGAGGTGCAGCTGAAGGGGAAGGAGTGGATGAAGTTTGTCGTGCCTGCGGGTTGTAAATGGTTTAGTTAGATGGTATGGGAAAAGTGTAGATTTTGCCGTGCTACCTACCGTCAATTGGATCTAAACACAGCTCAGTCAGCTCGGCTATAAATTATAAAACGGTAATGTACTTCGTCAAGGTAATACTCACCGACAACAAAAGTAGGCTTCTCGCCCAGCTTGGTCTCGCCGGGAACGTAGCTCTCCTCGCCCATAAACTCGAAGTCGGGGTACGTAGCAGCGACTCGCTCGGCAACAAGCTTCTCGACCGCCGCATCTGTCTCTGTAACCAGATCGACCGCTAAAACGCACGCAACAAGACTTTATCAGCAAGATTGAATAAAACAGGACAGACGGGGAGGGTGTGGAAGGTGCGCACAGTTTGCCTTGTCGACGAATTCGGTCTTTCCGGTCTTTGAGGTGATGAGCTCGCCGGCCTCGAGAGCGAGTTTCACGAGGAAGTCCTTGATTTCGAGAAGATCCAATGGCTGCGACATTATTCAATAAATGTTTCGATATATATATCTGATTTTGTAGGAATAGGTAGGCGAAGTAAGGAGACAATTGCAAATGGAATGAAAACGTGGTTTGATCTGAATGTGCAGCCGCAGGCTGTTGGCGGCCTCGGGAAAGTTCTCATTAAGCTCGATTAGGTAATGTAAACAGAGCCGCACGGATTCTATGGTATGGCTCTCGGCTACGACCAGATAAATAGCATTCATAAGTAAGGATATGTACAAGTCTTATGATCTTCTGTTTCCAGAAGCACTGCTACTGCTACTCGAGCCGTTGATATCTAACCCGCCCAACTCAGAAAACAGCCTCGAGAGTAGATTCGTCGCCGGTCCCGCCCCGCCTTCTTGACTCTGCATACTCGCAATCAGATTCTTCAGCACCTCAGCTTGCTCCTGCGGATCAGCAGCAGCTGAAGGCATATAAGAAATCGGATCGTCGTCATCATCGTATTCTTCTTCGGATGGCTGTCGTGGTGCTGGTTGCGCTTTTGATTTAGCCTTCGCCTTTTGCTTTTGCTTGTGCTTCTTTTTGGGGTTTGAGGGAGTTGCTTCGGGAATTGGATCAGCTTGAAATTGCTCGATTTCCTCGGGGGATAGTTCTGGTATAACGTTAGCCCTACACTATAAAAGCGTATAAATGAAAAGAGAAAACGTACTGAGCGCCTCTTTGAGGAAAAACTCAAAGAATTCGTCTTCGTCCACGTCGTCTTCTGGCTCTTCTTCAATGTCTTCGCTATCGCTATCGTCGTCAATGCTTGATCCGTCCGAGATATTGTCACTGGCTTGAAGTTAATAAAAAATACAAGAAGGAGATGTCAAAGTAGTTGACATACTCATCAAACGTGACTCCGTCCAAGCCTGACTCTTTATCACCCACAAACGTATTCAGCTTCTGGAAAAGATCTTTAGCTTTCCCCTGCAACTGCTCAAACTCTTCTCTTTCAGCAGTATCGTTATTTTCCAACGCCGCCGAACCATTGAGCGAGTCCATAGTCTTGACGAAATCGTCAAAATCAACGTCTAGCCACGAGTCCGAGTCCTCGATCTGGCCGTGGTCCCATTGGCGAATGTCTTCGTCCGTGGCGGGCGGCATGCTCTCGACCATCGAGATGATTTCCTTTCCGATTTCAAGAGGGACATACTCGTCTCCGCATATAGTCAAGTACGTCTTTTGAGCTTCGCGCATCAGGACGTCGTATTTGGGACTGTTTGGCTTTGCCGAGTCGAAAAATCCCTCTCGCTTCAGCTGGCTGAGGTAGGTATTAAACCGCGGATCGGATGCTAGATCACTGCGGCGTTGCTTGTTCTTTGTGGATTTCCCTGACCCAGCACACAAAAGCTCAAAGCCGCAGGCAAGTTTCATGCCGAGCTCGGCAGCGTCATAGGTCGGATTAGATGGCTCGGGAAGCTTGAACGGCGCAGGCGGCACGATCCTCTGCGCTTTCATCTGCGCGTACAGCAGCCTTGTGAATTGAACGGTGACAGTGACGGAATCGGAAGGAGGGAAGTTCTTCATGGAAGAGCAGGCTCGCATGCTGATTGGGTCACGGAGCATAAATGCTTCACAGGCAGGTGCAATGTAGGATTTATTCAGATGCAGGATCTGCGCGACGCGTCGTGGAACGGTGGCTTTTGCACGGTGGATGTGTGATTTGGCAGCAGACGGGTAGTCTGATAGTCGGGAGAATGCGGCAGTTTGTAGGGCTTTGGGATGGAAGAGGGTGCTTTTGCTTGTGTTGAGGAAGTGCAGGGCGTCGGTAAGGTTGAGGGAGGAGATTGAGTCGTCGTCGTCGTCGGATATCGCAGGAATGATGTTAAGCTCGCCGTTGATGATCCAGACCTGCATTCAATGTCAGAGGCTTGAGAAGGGGATATAGTGAGAGCAGAGGATCACGTACGCGATTGTCTGCATTGTCGGGGTTGATCCAGCGAGGAAGCGCGTCTGCGGCTTCGATGAGGAGAAACTCGCCATCGTTATCAGCAATTCTACATGCTGTCAGCTAAAATTCACAGGAAAGAGAAAGCTGGATAGGTGTACACACCTGATATACAGATCTGGATGCCGACGCGAGAGCTCGCGCAGGATAAAGACAATGAACCATTCGTCGTCGATGCAGTCGCCGAATTCAGTGACGCCGCGCAGACAGGGCTCGTCTGTAGATATACAGTCAGTACAGTTCAAGCACAAACGACAAAGACAGAGCCAACGCACCAGAGAGCTCGAGCAGGCGCAGAGTAAACGGCTGGCGCTGCCAGATGTAGTCCTTTGTCCAGGGCCGCGCAAGGTCGAGGGCGTCGTCGCGGATCTGCTCGAGCCGGGCGCATTTTCGGTCGAGATCCAGGACGGCGGCAGACGCGTCGTCTGCTAAGAAGACCGAGTACTCGACACAGTCGTCCGGCAGACTGTCGAGCGCTGCGAAGATGCCCTCCATTAGTGATACTGGTCCTCTCTTGCTCGCGATGCACTGCAGAGAGCACAGTGGTCTCCGATCACATGATAGGTCAGGTGACATCAGGTGACCGGGATCAGTCGGACTTCGGGCGTAAGGACACGCGATGGCCTGACTCGGCCAGGACAACGGTCGCCGGGAGCAGGTGGTTGCTGTGGGTGGACGCTCAGACGTCACCGCGGTTTCGGCATTGGTTTTGTTTACCTTTTGGGCGTCGACGATGCGCCGGCCGGCTGCGGTGCGGAGGGTGCGGACGAGATAAAAGGAAGCCGCCTCGCTGGCTGCTCTGCGCTGCTCACTATCGCAATGCTCCGTCTCGCCGCTGCCTCCCTCAGCCGCCTTCCCGCCTCCTCTTCTTTCTTATCTTCACCGTCTCGCCTCTCATCACTCTCCTCCTCCTCCTCCTCTGCTGTCTTCCGCCGCACAATGGCCTCCATGAAAGCGCTCGTCTACGAGGGCCCCGCCCAAAAGTCCTGGAAGTCCGTCCCCAAGGCCGCCATCCAGGCCCCCACCGACGCCGTCGTCAAGCTCACCTCGACCACCATCTGCGGCACTGACCTCCACATCCTCAAGGGCGACGTCGCAACCGTCACCCCCGGCCGCATCCTCGGCCACGAGGGCGTCGGCATCGTCGACTCCGTCGGCTCTGGCGTCTCCGCCTTCAAGCCCGGCGACCGCGTCCTCATCTCCTGCATCACCTCCTGCGGCAAGTGCCTCTACTGCCAGCGCAACATGCAGGCCCACTGCCACTCCGGTGGCTGGATCCTCGGCAACGAGATCGACGGCACGCAGGCCGAGTTCGTTCGCATCCCCTACGCCGACACCTCTCTCTATGCCGCGCCCAAGGCCCTCGCCGACGACGCCCTGCTCATGCTCTCCGACGCCCTCCCGACCGGCTTCGAGGTCGGCGTTCGCTCCGCAAAGATCCAACCTGGTGAGTCTGTCGCCGTCGTCGGCGCCGGCCCCGTCGGCATGGCCGTCCTCATGACCGCACAGTTCTACTCGCCTGCCTCAATCATCATGATCGACACCGACGACTCGCGTCTCGAGGTCGCAAAGAAGCTCGGCGCTACGCACACAATCAACCCCGCCAAGCTCGGCGCCTCCTCGACAATCCTCGACGCCATCAACGCCATCAACAACGAGCAGTACACTGCCTCCGGTGAGACTCCCAACCCAGCCATGAGCGCCGAGCCCGGCGTCGACGTCGCGATCGAGTGCGTCGGTATCCCCCAGACCTTTGCTACATGCCAGTCCATCATCGCCCCCGGCGGCCGGATCGCAAACGTCGGAGTGCACGGAACAAAGGTGGATTTGCAGCTGCAGGACCTGTGGATCAAAAACATCACAATCACGACCGGTCTCGTGTCTGCAAACACCACCGCAATGCTCCTCAAAGTCCTGCAGGGAGGAAAGGTCAAGCCCGAGGCGCTCATCACCCACAGATTCAAGCTCGACGATATTGAGCACGCGTACGAGGTCTTTGGCAATGCTGCAAAGGAGCATGCCATCAAGACGTTTATCGAGGCTTAGTGTACATGTACAAAACAGTTCCGTCATTCATTTCTTGCTTTAATTTCATCTGTATTATTAATATATTACACAATATCTATCTTTATCTGTATTAAAATCATCACCACTTCTCATCTGTATTGAAATTATCACCACTTCTCCACCGGGTTCTCTTTATATTTCTCGAACAGCTCGCGATTGAACATTGACACCTCGGTTTCATTGACTGATGAGGATATTGTTAGGAGCAGTGTCTGTAAATCGCGACCAAAAATGATACGTACCAAATCCACATTCCTCAAGGGTCTTTGACGGATCGGATAGGATCCACTCGTCGTGGTCGAGATTTATTATAAGATTAGACGTCTAAGTCGTGTTAGCGTAAAGTAGACGTCGGTAGACAGACAGATCATACCTTTGATCCGTGTGCTTGAGTGTAGAGCTTAAGCGTGTCTATAGATCGCAGTTAGCAATGCCCTTACATCACAGAAAAGCACAGGTACTCACCAAACTCGACATTCCGGAACGGTCTGTACGCTGACTGCGTCTGGATGTCTAACCAAGCCGTAAAGTGTCTGTCAGTATGCTGCTAGTCAAAAATCACTGCAGGATATATCGAGGAATCGCACTCTTCTTTGCCAGCTCGAGCAAGTCGCCGACCGTCGTCGTCGTCAGATCAAGATCCTTCAACACCATGTTTTTCTCAGTCCGGTATTCGAACGACTTGATCAACCGCACTGTGATGGTCGCATCGGTCTCTGCAGGGTGGTGTGGTTAGTTAGCGAAGCTCGTTCATGCGGACTCCGGATAGCAAGGAAGCGCAACTAGAACGGGTAGAAGGACAGACGTACTCGGTTTCAGAGTTGATGTCAGAGGTTCGAATTCTTCAGACATTCTGCTGCAGAATCAAAAGAAAACAAGTAAAATTGAGGTTGTTCGGGGGACAAGGAAGTGGTCTGCTGGCGAAGAGGTGGAAGGCAGAGGAAAGCTTAATTGCTCTCTTTCATTCGTGATCTCGACATCCATCTTTGATCAGCAGTTCACCACCGCAGCACATTATCAACGCGGACAATGGCTGCCTGCACTCTTTCCACTACTCCATAATACAGAAACTATCATCACCATGAACAAGCACGTCTCCTACCAGACCACGGTCCTCGCCTTCATCTCCCTCTTCATCGCACCCTGGCTCCTCTTCTCCGCCATCGTCACCACTTCACTCTCCACCGTCATCCTGATCTGCCACATCATAGTCTCCTACATAATCTGGATCATCCGCGTCTCTACCCTCAAGACCGTTTTCTCCACAACCCACATCCGCGACCGCCTCGCCCGCACAGAGATCTTCATCGCAAAACTCGTCCGCCGTCAGTGGCGCGTCTATCATGTGCGCCAGTTCGAGGCCGGCGCAACGCAGCCGCTCGAGGATCTCAAGAACTTGCAGCAGAAACCAGTGAACTCGCCGCCATCGTATGCAGAGAGCGAGAGGCTGGCGAAGGCGTCTGTTAGGCGGATCAGGAGGCGGCGATCGGCGCAGTGTTTGGATTAAGAATGAGTGCAGCGGCTTGCATTGTATTTGATATTGGATATTGCTTTGGAATGAATGAATATCCTGTTGACATTTTGGATTTGGTTTTGTTATGGATATGGATTTGGTTCTGGTTGGATATTTTGGATACTGATATGGCCAAGGTGGCTACGGTTTGGGCAGGGAGTACGGGAGCATGGAAGCATGAGAGCTATTTTTGATTATAACTATGTGTCACACAATATTAAAAGAAAATCTTGAAAAAGCATCTATCCCAGTGAAATGCAAACTCCATTCATACAGCAACATATATTACATATTTCATGTCTGTCTACTTGCATGTGGCAAGCATACCAGACAACACCCCGACCAACTGCTGATTCTCGCACGCAGCCGCCACCCGCTCCTTATCATTCAACTGCCGATTCACCTGCGACTCGCTCTGATGCGTGCCCTTCTTGACATTAATCTCGACCCTGTACCGCGGCGGCAGACACCGCTCGAGGCGGACGCGGATGCCGAGCCCGATCAGGGTCGCGAGCGAGCAGTGCGTGATCGTCGGCGTGATTTCAACCTTGACCCGTGTGATTCTTTGGCGGCGGCCACGCGAGTCGGCGGACGAGCTCCGCGTGATGTGAATGTCAGGCTTGTTGACGACGGCGAGCTGGCCGAGCGTCAGGGGATGTTCTGGATCTGATATCGAAGCAATGAGGTCTGTAGAAAATATCAGCAGTCAGTAACACATCTATATACATTCGACAATCATAACAGGATCTTCTTACCGTAAATCTCCTGCTCGTCAATAGGCTCCTCGTCCTCAAAGTCTTCGTCGTCGTCGCTACTCCCGCTCTCTGACTCGCCACTCGACAGCACCGGCGCCTCCTCCTCCTTCATCTCCACGTCGCCATCTGCATCTTTCTTCTCCGCAATCAGCAGAAGCGCAGCATACGCCTCGTCCAGAGACGACCTCGATATAGGAAAGACAGAGTCGAGCGCCGAGGAAGGAAACGCGGCGGCCTTGCTGTTCGCGCTGCTGGTGATGTCGCTCGCAGCTTCTCTCGTGGGCAGATCCTCGAGCGAGATGATTTTCGGGTTTGCGTTTATCGGTTCGGACATTCTGTGTATTTGTACAGAACTATTGAATAACCTGCGTGTGTGTAGTTGCTGAATGAGTATCGAGACTGAATTTTTCAGGTCGCTGAACTGCTTAGCAACCAAGTTTTGAAATTTGCTGATTGGGAGTTTGGAGTTACCCGGATCGAACTCGATAAGTTCGGCCCGAGCCGGATATGCATCTCAGCCTTTGGTCTTCGAGAACAAAGCGCTCATTATTCTCTGCGTCTGTGTTGTATTATTACAATCGGCATTGTTTGTGTATGATACGGGAGGGCTGCTGTGGTGCTGCTGGTTTGAAGAACAAGAGCGAATATCGAGGGCTTGTCTGACATCATAAGACGGTGGCAGTGCAGGCTGATCTGCCCTCTCTCCCCTTGCATGATTAGGCAACTTTATACCGCTTCTCTTGCCGAGTAGAACTTGAAGTCTGCTTGCTGTTTGCTCATTTTTGGATATTGTGCGGTGTAGCATTGCCTGGTGCTCTACTTCCTTGACTCTAGTGTATTCACGCCGGATTATGATCGGTCGGTCATACTAATAATATTGGACACGAGGCGAACCGCACGGAAAGAGAACAGAAGAACAGAGAAAACTACTATACAGCTCACTGATTGAGATAATGTCTGGGATAACCGACGCAATTGAGGGACTGCCGGGCTACGACGTCGCGGTAGATCTCTGGAACGAATACGCAGGTGAAAAGTTCCAGACCAAAGGTGAGCTACTGCAGAGTGAAGACTTCCCGAGCCACGGCCTGCTAATCTACGAGCCCAGATCCATACTTTGAGACTCTTGAAGATGGCACGACGCGCCGCCGCAAAGCCCCCGAGGGCACGACGCCGAGCGACGCGGCCGTGTTCAAGCACATCGTCAGCACGGCGTGGAAGCACGACCGGTGCATGTATGGCTGCTACTGGGCGGACTGGGGAATCGGGCAGGCACCGCTGATTTCAATCATCCCGGTGTTTGGGCCGTGGATCATGTATACGATGCATCTACGTCTGAATCGCATGGCCGAGGACTTGGGGATTCCGAATAAGCTGCATATGAAGATGGCCGCGAACGTCACGTTCGATTTCTTGCTCACGCTGGTTCCGATCCTGGGCGCTGTGTTTAGTTATATGAACGCGTGCTCGACGCGCAACGCAGCGCTGGTGCACTCGTTTCTGATGAAGAAAGCAAAGGAGAACCAAGCAGTGAGTGTTCTGTCGCTATTAGCTCTGTATTTTCACGGCACTGACTGGATTTTGTATGATCAAGCGACTTGGAGATTACAGACCTGTACAGACCCCGACGTATTCGTTCTCGCGACCACCGCCGACAACGACGAGAACAGCGACCGCGACGACGACTGCCCCCGCGCCGCCGCCTCGACCGGTGCCGAATCCGTACCCGCACGTCGGGAGCCAGCAAAACACAAGACAGATGCGTGCGCCTGCGGTGGATCGACGGGAGTACGCGCCGGTGGCGATCAGCACGAACGCGGTGCCGGCGAGGGCGTCGAAGAAGAGGACTGGTGATCTGGAGATGGGCGTGCGGTGACAGTGATTGTATATACAGCTTCATCTGGTCCAACTGTAAATACAACTTAACTGTCTGCTCTCTACTTCAACACCGTTTTAATCATTTACACATCTCCATATCAGCATCTGACTGCACCGTCGGATAACGTAGTCGGCAGCGATAATTTCGCGGGCCGCAGCCGAACCCACCCGAAGACGGCAATGGAGGGGCCACCAGACCCTTACCCTCAGACCCCCGCCTTTGGGGCCTCAGCAAACTCACCGCCATTTTTTCTCTTCCTCAGTCCCGTCTGCCCGTATCGCTCTCTGCACAAGGATTTGTGCTGTTGTCTGCTGCGTCTGCTCGTCGTTGTCCTGATATCTGTTTGTGTATTCTCAGAAGTCTCTGTAATCTACCGTCTCCTCATCGAATTGCCGATCCACACTACTCCCTCTCTCTAATCCAGCCAGCAACCATGTCGAACGATAAGAAAAGTTAGCGCACCATCGCCACTCTCTATCACCCCAATTGCCATGCATATCTTGCTAACTCGTGCTTTTTCCACCTCCTAGGTCTTCCCTTTGTCTACCAGTTCCTGTCGGGCGCAATCGCCGGTGTCTCGGAGGTATGACGTGCTCCACCTGTCCTGCGCGGTCACGCAACCCAGCTGCTAACCCAATTCTCTAGATCCTGGTCATGTACCCGCTCGACGTCGTCAAGACCCGTGTGCAATTGCAGGTCGGCACTGGCGGTGCCGGCGGCGAGGCCTACACCGGCATGATCGACTGCTTCTCCAAGATTATCAAGAACGAGGGTCCCAGCCGGCTTTACCGCGGTATCACCGCCCCGATTCTCATGGAGGCGCCCAAGCGAGCGACCAAGTTCGCCGCCAACGACGAGTGGGGAAAGTTCTACCGCAACCTGTTTGGCATGGAGAAGATGAACCAGCAGCTCTCGATCTTGACCGGTGCCACCGCCGGTGCGACCGAGTCCTTCGTCGTCGTCCCGTTCGAGCTCGTCAAGATCAGACTGCAGGACCGTACGTCGGGCGGAAAATACAAGGGCCCGCTTGACTGTGCGATCCAGATCGTAAAGAAAGAGGGTGTCCTTTCTATGTACAACGGTCTCGAGGCTACCCTCTGGCGACACATCACCTGGAACGCCGGCTACTTTGGCGTTATCTTCAAGGCCCGCGACCTGATGCCCAAGGCCGAGACTCCCACGCAGCAGACCATGAACGACTTGATTGCCGGATCGATCGGTGGTACTGCCGGTACTATTCTCAACACGCCGTTTGATGTCGTCAAGAGCAGAATTCAAAACACCATCAGAGTCGAGGGCGTCACTCCCAAGTACAACTGGGCCTTTGGCAGTATCATCACTGTCGCCAAGGAGGAGGGCTTCGGCGCTCTTTACAAGGGATTCATCCCCAAGGTTCTGAGACTCGGACCTGGTGGTGGTATCTTGCTCGTCGTGTTCACTGCCTGCATGGACTTCTTCCGAACCATCCAATAATCGACTCTGCCTTCCCAGTGATGCTGCTGCTTTCAGTGTAGGCAAGGCGAAGACCGCTCTCTCTTTTACATCCCTCGATATGCATAGATGCGGTGCTCGCACTTTAGAGTTCGGCAGTCCAGAAGTCTTCCGTTTTTATTTACTATTGTTACATTTCCTCCTTTTTTTGTTCCTGATTTGGGTTTGTCTCTGTTTTATGGACGATATATCACGGGCTTTTGAACACTTGTTTTGCTTTCGATTTGGATTCTATGCATTATTGACTACAGACGAAAAAATAACAAATACAACCAAGGCCTAATCTTACAATTCCACAACTCCTTGATCAGCCAATGCCGACCAACTGAAAATCAAAAATACAGTAAAATTACAATTTATAACATCTCTTCCCTCGCCGAAGAGCTCTCCTCAGATACGGAGGTCGAGCGTTCGCGGAACTACTCTTCAATTTGCCATTCATCTTCCTCGCCGACGCCGAGCTCTTCATGCGCCAATGCGCAGCCCACAGAGCGTCGACGTCGAGGTCGCTTTCGCCCTTGCGCTTGCGTTTCAGAGCAGCTTGTTTCTTTCGTTTCGCGGCCGCGAGAGTGCGCAGCGTCGAGGGGGTGTCGTAGCTGTTGACTAGGACGATAGAGGATAGTACGCCGGAGGTTAGCGGTCGTATTTGGGGTCGTTGACGGAGGGCTTTTGCTTTTGTTGTTGTTGTTGTTGCTGTTGTTGCTGATGGTGGTGGATGCTGTTGCTTTTGTTGCTGTGGGGGGTTGGCCGAGCGCCGTCGTTGGTGAGAAGAAGAGCTAAGCTCTGAGTGCGTTCGTTTGCGCGGCCTATCCCTGCGAGACCCTACCGACGACTGATCATGTTGTTGGTCCTGCTGCCGTAGTACTTTTGAGATCCGCGCATCGATTTCTGAATCGTCTTCCGCGTCAGAGTCGAGTTCCGGCAACGCGTCAGAGAGGGTTCCGTCGTCGGTCGTCCGTGATCCTTCGTTCGGTCTCTGCCCGTCACCAAGCGGAACCTTCACGTGTGCCAGATACCGCTGGACATATCTCTGATGCAACTCATCCAACCGATCGACCCCGGTCGCGTCGCTGTCGCTGCTCGCGGCGGCGCCGACAGTCGTCGCGTAGTCTGTCCAAAAGCTCTCGAACGCGCGGCGGATCTCCTGGACCGACTGGTACGAAAGACTGTGGTCGTCTTCAGCAGCAGCAGCAGCAGTGTCTTCGCCAGCCTCTGTCGCGTCCATCATCGAGCCATTGGCCTGCTCTTCTCTGTTTAGAAATATCTCTGAACTGATGAGTGAACATAGGAAGGCAGGACGATGGGCAGCAAAACCTTAATTCGGTGGTTGCTTGTTTTGGATTCAAAGCTCCGGAAAAAAAATTATACGCGAAGAAAGTATTCAACGACAAGAAAATACAGTCGCCATTTGCCATTATCGCATATTCACCACCTGTTTGCTGTTTGCACTTCCCGGGGTTATTGATAAGACTCAGCTCAGCACATTCCAGCTCTTGTCTTGTTTTTTAGAAATAAGTTAGACTGGTCACGACAGATTAGTGCGCTCCAGCAGCAGAAACACAGAGAAACGAAAAGATGGTTTGGCCCTTTGGAGGATCACAGGCCGCGCCCGCGGCAGCAACCACAGCAGCCGAGCCGGCGGTGTCGTCGACGCCCGTCGTCGCGAGCACAGAGTTCAGCAGCACACCAGAGCACGAGAACAAGGCCGCGGAGGTGCCGTTCCTGCCGGACGATCTCGACATCTCGAAGCTGCATCCGCTCGCTGGGTTGGGCAAGGACTTGGACGTTCTAGAACTCGAGGACGATGCGCTCAGTGACTTGCCGGGATCGCAGGGGTTCCTGCCATCACGAGGCTGGTCGGATGATTTGTGCTATGGCTCTGGAACGATGTATATGGGTGGTATGTTTTCTCTCGTCGTTCGGTCAGCATGTCTGTTCGACTGCTTACTTTGTCTTCTCATCTAGGTCTGGCAGTCGGAGGTGCCTACGGTTTCGCCGAGGGCATGAGAACTACTCCTGCCAATGCCCCGGCCAAGATCAGAATCAACGCTGTTCTCAACGCCATCACCCGCCGCGGTCCGTATCTCGGCAACACTGCCGGAATCCTCGCCATCTCCTATAACATTTTCAACGGAATATTCGGTAAGTCCCTGTCAAGTCTTTTCGCGCTATCTGCTATATACGCCGTGCTAACTTGACTATATAGACATGTCCCGAAGTTACCACGATATTTACAACTCGATCGCCGCCGGCGCCATCACCGGAGCTCTCTACAGATCAACAATGGGCGTCAAGCCTATGGCCATCTCGGCCCTGCTAATGGGCAGTGCTATGGGAGCCTGGAACATTGCCACCAGCGCCTTGTAAATTCCCCTTCTCTCCTCTTTCAACCTAGCTATTTCATGACTCGGATTTCCTTTTTCATTTCATTCCAGTTTGTATCTTGGGTTTCTTCTATATACGTGCCTGAATATGTGCTTTCCTAGCTCTTTGCTCTACCTTCTTGTCATTTCTTCTCTGGCTACCTACCTTTGTCCTGGCTCTTCTTATGCGCTCAGTCTCGGGTTGTGGTTAGAGTCGTTCCGCTGTTTTTCAGGTCGTTACTGGTTTAAAGAAGAGTGATGGTTGGAAAAAGTCAAGGCTCCTGCAAAAAAGTTCTCTCTCCTCTATATCTATTGTATTTGTCTTTTTCTCAACAGGGTCCATCAGGTTGTCGAAAAAAAAGAGATGGGGCGGCCATATTCATGCAGAACTGTTTTGATTACACGTTACCTACTATCCCCGTTCGAATTTGTGAATAGTTTTCTCTTTCTTATTTTTTTCCGCCGTGTTGCGTTCTTCGTTTATTTATAGCTTGCTTCACTTTCCCGGTCTTATTACTATGTACAAAGAACATCCCCCCTCCGCTTATAATATACTCCTTGGAATCAATCACTGGCGAAATTATCATACAAGCTGCACTGCTTCTTCTTCCCTCTCTGACAGAGGTTGTGTTTAGCGCACGTATTTGGCCTTTTTGGCGCGGGTGCGGGCGGCGGGAGGACCGTCTTCCATGTTTGCGGCAGCGGAGCGCTGGCGGAGCATGGGGCCGATGAATGAAGTGTAGGCCATGTAAGAGCCGTAGAGGGGGATCTAGAAAACGGTTAGCAGTCTTCGATAAATGCTGCGAGTTTCAGAAAAGAGTGGGGACGTACGACAAGATACAAGAACCAGACCCACGAGCGCCCGATAATTACAGCCAGGATATCGCATGCAAGCGTGACGTAAACGATATCAAACAGCCATTCAGTTAGACCTGCCTGGTGAAGATCATCACCGGCAGACACCAGGGATCCGTTAGCAGGGTTGAACTTTGGTCTCCCTGCATGATCATTCAAGAAGTTAGCAGTCTACCCTTCGCACCTCATCACAAGCAAAAAACAAGACCACGCACCTATCCGCTCGAGCTGGTACTCGATAATCCACGCCGGGATCGAAAAGATCACAAACGGCTTCAACGAGGCAGGACGGTGCAGGACAAAGTAGGATAGCAGGTAGACGAGGTTAATAGCGCCCGCGTACGTGTGCAGACTCTTCAGCGCCTGCGCGTTCGCCACCGCTCTCTTCTTCACTGAAGCGTTGGCCATTCTTTCTTTGGTTGAGACGGTGGTGGGAAGACAGTCGGCGGGTTTGTTTGTGTGGATCGGTGATGTTGTGGAGGCGAGGTGAGAACGGGCTGGTTATCCTCCAGGAGTTAAAGTTTGTCAAAGTCGGTTGTAACGCTGTTGTTGGGGCTTTATATGCGGAATCCTGTGTTTGATATGCTGTCTGGCTATCGCTTCAGTTTGGATTGCCTCTGTTGCAACTAAATTTCCCCAAAGTGTCTCTGTTTTCGCTAGATTCTTGAGAGTATCGATGAGTCGGAATTGATAGTGCTTGATAATTGGTGGTCTTAGAGTGAATCTTGGTAGTGGCCCAGCTACGGCGCCGAAAGCAGATGATACAAAGATCAGATCACAGTTACTACTGATAATCCGATGCGAGCACGATGTCTATACGGCTCACAGCATCAAGTTCCTCGACCGTGCGGAGGAACAAGCGGAAACGGGAACCGGGGTACGGGTCGGATATGATACAGATTGCAGAGTATGAAGCGCAGCAGCAGCAGGAAGAGCCCGCGCAGGAGTCGCCTAAGAAGGCAAGGGAGGAGAAGTTGCAGATGACGAATCATATCACCCGGATTGGTGCGTGTTTGCTCTATATTTTTCTTTTGGTTTAGTGGAGGGAATGTGGAATGCTGATGTCGAGGTGTGTGTAGATGGCGAGTTGGCTCAGTTGTCCGATATACACTTTGGAATCAATGCGTCGCTGCTACAAATGTGGGATGCTATCCCGGAGCGAGGTACACGATTGAACGGAGACGGGATTGCTGATCTTCTCCGGTTCCGCAAGGTAATTATTGATCTCAGAGCAATTCAGCTTGACGTATGCAAACATCTACTGACGTGTGGTGACTAGACGATCCCGCCTATAGTAATGGTCTCCCACCTGCACGCACTATTCCCCCACAACCCCACCTTCATAGATCGTGAACTGCAGCGTGTAGTCGAGGCCGGGAAGATCCGACGGATAAACGTGAACATGAACGCGGGCGACATGGTGATTGAGAGCAAGTACTATTTCCGGATCCTGCGAGATCGCAAGACGGCCGTGGCAGCGGAGGACGAGAGCGCGGCCGAGATCTTTGAGAAGTTTGAAAAGCTGCTGAGGCAGAAACCCGCGGTGACGGCCATCACCAGCGATTTTTTGGCAGAGTTTCAGATCTCGGAGGAGGCTGGGATCCGGCACTTGCTCAACACGGGGTTTTTGGTGTTGGCCGGTGCGCCGGGGGTATACCAGATCTCGGTGCCGAACGTGGGTTCGTTTCTGAAGATTGTGTTTCGGACGCGTAAGTGGGTTGTTAATCTGCTGCAGAAGACAAAGTTCGGGGAGATGGTTGAGAAAGTCATCCGAGAACGGTGGGAGGCGGGGGTGAAGAACCGCTGGAGAGAGTTTAGAGGGGTCAAGTTCTCGTGGGTGATGATGGAGTGTAAAGGCGGTGGGTGGTGTGAGCCGTTTGAGACGCCGACGGGCAGAGGCTGGAGACTTACGGGGAAACGAGAGTGAATGTAAATATGATACTGTATTGTAATATAGAAGAACTGAGTGATGATACTTCCTAAACTGGAAATAAACAGACATATTAGGAAATGCAGCCAAAACAGGGAATCGCTTGGGAGTTAGCGAGAATCAGGGGGGAACTCTCCGCGCAGTCCATCCCTCTCCAGACTTCCTCGCTGACAGTTGGTTCTGACGTCGAACTACTTTGCGGAGCTCTTTCGGTAGTCGACATGGACTCTGCTGGTATTCCTCAGATTGACGATGCTTCTGTGTTTCGATATGTCGCGGAAGGTGCCGCCAACGTTCTCTACGAGTGCTCCGATCCTCTCTACGTGCGTGTCATCCCTTCGTACAGCTTCTATGCGCTGTACCTATTCAAGAAGCTAACCTGCGCCCAAGTCTCAATACCTATTACGTCTGAGAAAGAAAATGCCGTCTCAGCCGTCGACTCTTTCCGTTTACAAGTTTCTGCACGACACGATCGGCCCGCTTTTCGACCCCGGCATGATCGTCGCAACGAAACTCGTCCGTCTCTCGCCTGCAGTCCTGCAGCAGCTCAACGGAGCGCTTGTCGGACTCGAGCAAGATGGTACACGGGATAAAAAGCGGCATGGGACTGTGCTCGATGTGGATGAGCAGTACGGCGTCTTTGTCGAGAACATGACTGCTACCGCTAGCACTGCTCGCGGAGGTGCTGCCGCGCTGCCTATATTGCAAGACGTTCGCTATAAAATAAAAGGCAGTAGCTCCGTCATCGGGTACGTTCAAAGAGGGGACAAGAGTGGCGAGGTTCAGGAAGTCGCGGTGCTCGAATTCAAGCCAAAGTGGCTTGCGCAGTCCAGAGACGCTCCGGCGGAATGGACCTACTGCCGCACCTGCGCTCTGCGGCGGATGCGCGCAAAAGACGCCGCAAACAGCTACCAATTCTGTCCGTTTGATTTGGTGTCGGGGGACAGGGAACGCGTGTCTAAATGTGTAAACGCACTGCTCCCGATCGAGGCCGAGGAGAGAATCGGACAGGGGTCGCGATGTCTAGATGTACAGAGATTAAGACGAGTGATGGTTGACTTTGTGCTAAACACGGGGATTTTTGAGCGATTGAAGATGATTCAGGAAAAGATGGATAGGAATGGACTGCTGGGAGATGGAAATGACAACGACGAGAAGGAGCAGGACTCGACTGATTTCTTGATTGCAATGACTGTGCGCGACTGCACTGCGTTTGTGCGAATCAGCGCCGCTGCCGAGTCGGACCTTCCTTCTGAGGCAATCAGCGGCCCGACTCCGACGTATGTTAAAGGCAAAGACGCCAGGGTTTTCTATGTCAGAGACGAGCAGGAATGGTTTGCAGTCAGCTGTCGCCTTGCGGATCTGGACATCAAGGACGGCAGCGGGACAAAACGGGAGTACTGGAAGGGCATAGAGCGCGAGTTGAATGTGGGCGGGTGGTACTGCGGCCACGACGCGAAGCTGGCCGAGTGCAGATGAGAAAATGCAGCAAGAGAAGTGCATCAGATTAGAAAAGAGATGATCGGATAAGATTGTTGATTGCGCAGTCGGTTGGCACGTGCATCTGAATTTCATCAACTTTTCATCCAGCGTGCGGCGCATCTGTCCACGCAATGGGGCCAAGTCAGACCGGAACGGTTTCCGACTGCTGCGCGGCGAGGCTGGGACGGTGGAGCAGAATGGACTAGAATTCAGTGTACTCGGATGCGACGGCGACGTTTATGAGAATATGACACTACGCGACGGCAGATCAGGCGGTTCGTTGGCGACAAAGCAAAAAAAGGAAGAGTCGGATCCGCTGTGCTCTGAACAGACGGAGCCGAGACTTCGCGAACCAACCCGCGTTTTTTTACCTTCCGCAGCGGCGCCGGGGTTCGCCACCCAGCGGCCTTCCCCCGGTCTGCGCGAGCTGGTCTCGATGGACTTTGCTGTGTTCTGCTTCATTGTCCGAGAAAGACCTCGTACGTCTGCTCTGTCTGTCCGCCGTCTGGAGCCCGCGGATAAGATTCCGCAGAGCAAAACGCAAAAAGACTCGAGCGAACCGGCGACTGTCAAGATTTTGTCAACCCGCGCCGCGCGCTAACTCGCTTGGCCTAGCCTGTGCGCTAACCGAGACCGTTCATCTGCATAAGTGCCATAACCATCACTATTCATTTACACTTATGCTGCACTCACGTGCTTTCTCATCGGCCATTCTTCAGCTGGCCCGGCCCTTGCCCAATCGCAAGAGAAGAGCAAAACGGCCCCGGCCTCCGTCTCGGTTCTCGCATTCGTGCGCTTCCTCTCCGCAAGGCTCCTCCTCCGTCCGCTAATTCCCCTTGACCAGACGAGCATGGCAGCGAACTTTGCAGCAAACTACGCTGCGCCTCCTGTCTTTGAGTCCGCGAAGCGGCAAGACCTTGCGTTTGCTTATTCCGGCCCATCGTTGCCCCAGCAACCACAGCAGGTGCAATTTCCACCCCAGCCAGGCAATTCCCATGGATTCACCATCCCCAGCCAGTCGGACGGTTTTCCTCAGCAGTTTCAGCAGCTGCCGCAGCAGTTCCAGCTTCAGCTTCAGCAGCAGCAGCAGCAACAACAACAACAGCAGCAGTATCCTTCCGGCGGCATGTACCCTACGGATCATGGCGGTTTGGGAGGTGCCCAAAATAGCAGTATCTCCACCACCAACGACGACTTTTTCGACATGCTAGCCGGCAACATCCTGCTTGCCGGTCCCGAGCCGGATTATGCTCGGGTGCAGAAGATCTCTGAGGATTATATGCGAACTGGCGAGCCTCCATACATTGGCTCGGCCACCGTCTTTGGCCACATGTGGGAAGATACCTGGCAAGAGCCCGTCGTTCACCACCAGCTCCAACAGAGTCAGCCACTGCACGAGCAACTCCACCATGCACAATACACACAGCAGTCTCAGCAATGGGTGCCTCGGTTACCTGCCGAAGCCGAGCCGTTGCAGCAAATCATGGCTAATCTCCCCCCACAGCTACAGCAACAGCAGCAGCCGCTCCAGCCCCAGTATCATCCACAGCAGCAGCAGCGACAGCAACCGCAGCAGCGGCAACAGCAATACCAACAACCGCAGCAACGGCAGCAGTATATCACGCCTGTCGCCCAGATCCCTCAGAGATTCCCCCAATCGCAGCAGAATCATCCGCAAACGCGGCCACAATTACAGTCTCAAGTCGGCATCAATAAGCAGCACTCGTTCTCCAATGACTTTAGGCCTCCACTCGGCGACCGCCAGACTTCGCAGCCAGAGCATGTCCAGTTCAGTAGCATCAACTGGGACCTACAGGCCAGTCTGGGAAATATGACGCCCTCGGTTGCTGCGTCTACGGCATCCAATTCACCCGTCTCCCACATGACTCCGATTAGCTCGCTGCAATCCCCGAATTTATTCCAATCGTGGGACAGTGCCGGTCCTTCACCTATCGCTAGCAATTTGGACCTTTCCTCGCAACCCAGTCCGCTTCAGTCGTCATTTCAGCCTGCCAATCGGTCGCATTCGGCTTACCAGATGCTGCCGGACACTACGTTGAACTCGAATGTAGCTATGCAGTATGGACCTGCGTATGGTGTACAGAAAGGTCAACAGCCGGAAAAACATATTCGTCATATAAGCTTTGACGCCAATCAGGCTTATAGTGCACAACAAAAGCAGCAGCAACAGCACATAATATCTGCCAACGGACTTTCCCCTGCGCCAATCATCAGCAACCGGACCACAGAGGCAGATTACGCAAATGCGACCGTGAAGAAGACTGAGCTCAATAATGTTCGTGCGGAGCCTGATGAGCCGGAAATGGTTCACCCTTCGCAACCGCCGACTTCAGGTCTCATCATCCCACCGTTGCCATCTGCTGTGAGCAATGCTGCAGTACAACCGGCGAAACCTATTCTGGATCGCGGCGACAGTTTCACAAAACGGAAAGGAGTTGAAGCGGCGATTGCTGCTCCGGCAAAGCGGACAAAAGAGCAGATCCAGCAAGCTAAAGAAGAGCGAGCGAAAGAGAAAGCTCGAAGGCAGCAAGCGAATAAGGAGAAACAGGAGAAAAAGAAGCAAGAACAAGCGTTAAGACGGGCAGAGGAGCAAAGGAAGATGCAGGAGATCCGGGATACGCTGCCTAGATCCGAGATGGAGAAGAAGAATAGCGAGAATACGGTGGAGGTGTCGGTCAATCCTGATATACAGGCCGAGTTGAGTTACGCGCAGAAGGAGCTGTTGAAAGACTCTGCTTTGGGTGAGAGTTTGCATTGCGCCATTTTTTACAAAATGTATTTACTAACATCCTGTTCGTCTAGCATTCAATGACCCTGCTGGTGCTCCTCAACTAAAGTCTCTGGCGAGCTCAAACATTAGCCACGGACCGATGCCGTCCCCGCAGTATTCACCCTCTGCCAACTCTCCTTTCCTGTACAGTGTCAATAAGCCGATCAAGGGCCAGTCCGCCGTGAACACTCCCGTATCCCTTCCTGACACGGGTGCTAGCGTCTGCGGCAGCGGCGGCAAAATGTCAGTCATGGGCGGCAAAATTGACAAGGAAGAAGAAGTAGTGCAGAAGACCCCGGCGAATATCAACGGGAAGCTGATTTTCTCGCCTCATCCGCCGGATCGAACGCCGCCGAAATATGTCTCGCCTTCGCTGCCCAACTCTGGATTCCAGGTCTCGACCCCGCTGGCGTCGACGCTGCCGCTTATTGTTGGCAAGCCAAAGATGTCGCCTCAGTCGCAACGATCTCCTATGCAGCAGCGGTCGCAGTATCTGTCATCGTCGTCACAGGTGGTAAGCTCGTCGCAGTTCCAGTTTGATCCAAATGACACCTCCACCCCACAAAACGCGGTCCATCGAGGTCCAAGTACCATGAATGGAATTTTCGCCGCGCCCAGCCAATATAGCCTCTCATCATCCTCACAACCGCCCCAGCCTACACCCGAAAGCGAATCCCGCAACAACCCGAACGAGTCCAAGCAAAACCCAATCGTCGCTCTCGCCGCGCAGAAAAGGCAAGAATTCGACCTCTCCGATTTCCTCGGCACAGACGACACACACCTGCCAGACGGCGGTCTAAGTCTCGACGTCTTCGGAGCACTAGACGATCCCTCTGGCTCCTCGCCGTTTCCAGATGCGCAGCGACAGAGCGCCTCTGGCGGACTGCAGAGTTTAGAAGCCGCGCTGTCGGTCGGGAGTGAGGAGAACGACTTGATTGGTGACGTGTTTAATAAAATCGACGATTGGGGTCGGACGCAGGACTGGAACGTTACCGAGGAGGCTATGAAGTTGGGTGGGGTGTCGACTAGGGCTTAGAGTACTTCCATTTCTGTTTTTTTCTGGGTATCTATTTTGATCTATTGTTTGGGCGCTGGAGCATGTACTTTATTGCTTCTTATTATCAATCTGCTTATTCGGAAATTGTTTTCTGGGAATCTACCTTGTTTATATATGTATCACATTCAGATCAACACCGTACGGTCGGACAGGGAAAGGGACAGGGATGTATTTGATTGTTTTCACCGCTGTCTGGGGTGTTCTCTTGTTTTTGGTTATTTTATAGTGAGTATTTTGAGATAGACTAGTTTCTCCAACGGCGTTCGAGAGCGGATCTTTGTCATTTGATACAGTTCTTTGCTGCTTCGTTTATATTGTGTTCAATTTATTAGCATGCACTTGTTTATCTTTTCGCTTGTGATTTTAGGGACAAGGTTGTATCTAGTTATCAATAGAGAGTAGCTACTCGGTTTTGTGCACATCCTATCGTAGAACACCTTCTCCCGACGAAAACTTCAGACGAAACGAACTAAGCAAACCCATCATCGCTATCATCGCTCACAATCTCAATAGGCGCGATCCTCGGCCTACTCTGCGACGCCGAATCAGCCGTCGCAGAGGACAAAGACGGAAGCTGCTGCTGCTGCTGCTGCGGTCTACCGCGAGCCGGAACCGCGCTAGCTGCGCGTGTGGTCTTGAGCGTCGTTTGCTTACGAGCTGGTGACGATGCGGTGGTAGATGATGAGGGTGCCGGACGTCGTGAGGGATTTTGCGGTTGGAATTTGCTGAGGGCGGAGAGACGCGAGGTGGTGCGCGAGGAGGAGGTCGAGGGTTTGGATGGTGGAGCTGGTGTTGTGGGTTTTCGTTGTCTGGTGGTGGACAGCGCAGGAGCTGCTGGATTGGTTCGACGCCGGCTTCGCGGAGCAGGTTCTTCGACTTCTGAGTCCTCCTCTTCGCTTATCGATTCGACATCCTGCATCACGTCGTCTTCGTCCTCGTCTTCATCGTCGTCGTTGAGTACCGGTTCGGGCACAAAGTCGTCGGAATCGCTGCCGTCGTTGAATAACGGTTGACTCTGGTGGACAGCAGGGGTCTTTCGGGTCGCCGCTGATCGGGAAGGTGGATCTCGAATTGCTGGGGCTCGTCTGGTAGTTGTAGATGGTGGTGGGGCAGGAGTAGATTTGGTTGTAGCTCGCGCTCGAGAGCGGGATGAAGGAGCTGCTTCGGGAACTGGTACAACCTCATCATCGAACCCGTCGTCCTCATCCTCGCTGTCTGGAACGCGCGCTCTCGTTCGCGTTGTAGAAGCCGCCTGGCCCGTCGCCCGCCGAGCTCCGGCTGCACTCCCCCCGTCGTCGTCCGCGTTCCTCGCGCGCTTCGATCCCAGTCCTGCGTTCTCTTCCCCCACCGCCGGTCGCGCGGTGATCGCATGCTCGATCGAGTCCTCGTCGACATCGCCTAGGTTCATCAGCCGCTTAACCTGCTCCTCGATCGTCTCGTCCACAAACGTCTTGATTGCGTGTCTGTCGTTTTTGTCCACGTACTGGCCGATCGAGTCGTCGAGACCGGCGGAGGGGAGGACGGCTAGGGTGTGCTGTTTTAGGAAATCTTGGACTAGGTCTTGGACTCTGAGACCTTCGAGCTCGACTGCGGCTATTACGTCCACTTCTTCGCCTACTTCGTTTATCCGTCCTGAATATGACTGTCAGCTTGAAGCTCGCTCCTCCTTTGAAATTAGAGAGCAGACTTACTGGTCATGGTAGCAGTCTTCTTCCTATAAAACTGAACCACATCGTTCACATTCGCAACCTTGCCCACAAACCGATTCGAGAACCGTCGCGGATTCTCCACCTCGTACCCGCCCGAATACTCGACTCTCAACCTGATCAGCGGCAAAGGCGGCTCCTCGTCCGTCAGCGGCGTGCCGTACTCGTTCGAGTTTGCCCCGCGCCATTGCTCGTGTGCGCGGTCGATCAACTGCTCGACCTGGGCGGTGAGCCATTCGATTACTCGCCCGCGGTTTTTGCTCGTGGCGGGGAAGCCGCAATCGCGCGCCATGATGACTTCTTTCATGACGAACGGGCGCACGGTCGCCAGCTTGATCTTTTCGACGGAGTACTCTTTGCCTGTAAGGGAGAGCAAGCCGACGAATTTCTCGACGGACTCGCCTTCGCAGAGACTGGTGACGACGGAGGAGCCCGGTTGCATGACGGCAAAACCGGTCTCGGGGTTCGTGACGGGGTCCATTAGACACTCGTGCTCGTGGCCCCAGATGACGAGGTCGAGGAAATGGGGGAGGAAGTTTTCGGGTAGATAGCCGGTTTCTGAGTGAGCGTGACTAGGCAGGTCGTTAGTACACCTTTCTTTTCTTCCGAGTGAAATCGCATGTAAAACGAAGTTGACGTACTGATTCTGATGCAGCGCCATCAAGTTAAAATACTCATCATCGCGATACGCATCGGGCCTCATAAATTTGACCTTGTGATCCCGAAATGTCCTGTGCAGACGTTCCTCGCGCACACTCTCCATGCCGTAAATAGCAAGCTTCGTGTCTCCTTTCTTGAAGACGAGCGGGGCAAGCACGATGTTGTCGTTCTCGCGGATCTTGCCAATATGGTTCACGAGACCGGAAGCTGAGAGGATGTCGAGCGCGGAGAGACCACCGCCCTGGGTTGGAGGCACATTGTTAGCATTGTTCTTGTAGAGATGGAGGATTGAGAGGATGATATATACCCCGCCTGCATCATCGTGGTTCCCACTGATAGCGACGACTGGAATTGCGACATTTATATTTTCGTCTTCGTAATTGATATGATCTGATCTGTAATTAAATGTCTTGTCAGCCGTCTTGCACTCTCTCGGGCAATTGCTGCTAGCCGTACTCGTCGTTAAGGGATAATGCCGGATCACTCAGTAGCTCGAGCTCGCACGGTTTATCGCCGTAGCATGTCTCACGCAGAGATTTCATCACATGGTAGATCGACTGTCTGGAGGGTTTGTTTTCGTGGAATAAATCGCCGGCTAGAAGTACCAAATCGACCTGCACCCGCGAGACGGTTAGCAGTGCTTTATACATCAGGATCGCAGGGTCGAATGATGACTGTGACATACCTCACGCTCTTTGGCAATCGTCATGACCTCGTGGAATGTCTTCCATGAGTCTTCGCCTCGGATCGGGTCGCGTTCGTTGTATCCGACATGGTTGTCAGAGGAGATTAGTATTCGGATCGTATGAGCATCTGCGAGTCGTCAGCACGTCGTCGTAAAGCAATGTAATACAGAACTAGGCGGAGTAGCAAACCTTCGGATATAGAACCAGGCATTCTTGACGAGAGGCTGATGGTTGAGGAAGGGCTGAGGTGAGGTAGAGCTGGAGGGTTTGTTTTCAACGCGTCGAAGTCGTTGACATACGCGCGGCGCACAAAGTTATTAATTAGTGATGAGCAATTGCTTCTGCACGCGTGGGTTAATTCTATTCGCAGTATCATCCACAGTTTCTGTGATGAGATAGATAGTGTTTCTATATAGGATCCATATGGACTGACCACTTATATGAGTGTGTTTTATTACGCAGATGAGGCCAGTACATTGCGTAAAGAATAGGCTTCTTTTGCTTCCTGCAATATTTCGTTTACATTATCTTGCACTTCCGTCGCAATTTCCAGCATTCTTTTACTCATTGAAGCTGACCCTCTAGATGCGGACATTAATGTAAAACTATGGCATATATTACATGGGATGTTATTCCCCAATAAAGAACTAACTGTCTTCTATCGCCGCTGACAAAAATGCATTCATATCAGATTAGCCCATTACTTCTGCATTCCTAGTATCTCATCAATATTCTTCTTTGCGTTCTTATAAGTCTGTTCAAGATAGTTGAGCTTCTTGCCCATCGCCTTCAACTGCTCTTGATCGCTCGATTTCTCGGTTTCTAGTCCAGCAATGTGTTCTGTGATTGGCACGTTCAGGAACCTAAAAGTGAACAAGAACTCCTGTTAGCATCCAATTGAATCTGAATATGCGCGATCCTGCAGTAACAAAAAAAATTATACTCACATCTTGCCCACTCCCTCCCAAACGCCGACGGTGGGTGGAATCTCACGAAGCTGTTTCAGAGCAAGTTCTTTTAACCGGATATCGCGTTCCTTTTGTGCTATTTGCTGCCGAACGCTGCTCAGTTCCATCTGGGATGAGATCATTCTGGCTTCAATCTCTTGGACAACCTGCAGGTTTTAATAAGACATTCTGTTAGGCTTTGAAAATATATGATGAATGGGATCAAGTTGACTGAACGAAGCAGGTGTTCGTTGTTGGGTCAAATCGTACCTTCTGGAGGGCTTCTGGTGGAATCGACATATTGTATGAGATGATTGAACGCGTATGAAACTTATGAAATACCGCTGAATTGATTAAATAGGAAAAACCACGAGATAAGTGCTGTGCTTGAGGATTGGAGGTTTGGAGATGTAATGCGCGTCGATGTTGAAATTGATGTTGAAATTCATTTTTGAGGGTTTCGAGGTGCTGTGAAACCTAAACCGTTCTCTTTTTGACAGAACAGGATTTTTGCTTGTTCTTAAGTATTTATTACTGCGATACTACAGTTCATAGCAGTGAAATATATCCGATTAGCAGAATTGAGAATGCTATTCTTGATGTATCTGATTTTCTACAGTGTTTACAATTTCCTCAATTTCTTCAGTTTCCACAGTTTTTGTACTAGCTGACAGGAACATACAGACAGCAATGTCAGTTTCCGCGACTGTTGTTACGTTGATGTTGGTATCCTGTAGCTTCAATAACTCGAACAACTGTTGGTCTATATTCTGGATATGAATAAAAAGCACAGCGAAGACCATTCCATACTATGAAGAGCACTGACACAATACTGCCAAGCTCGTCTCTACGTCATGAAACACAAAATGAATTCCGAATTCCGCGGCGAATGCCAATGGTAGAGTACAACAACAGAAAGTTCCGCGGAGAGAGTGAAGTAGCCAATATATCTCGTTTGCTGTTTGTCTTACCCATGCTCATTGCAGTTAGTGGCTACTTTGTTTTAAAGTCTGACGGAAGCGGCCAGATGAGTAAAGTAGCAAGAGTAGATAAGGGTTGGAAGAGACATATACGTCCACGGTCCGTACAGAATGCATTCATTATATCCCGCCATCATGGCGAATTAGATCGACGAGAATCAAAGCACACAGCTTCACCCACTATCACGACTCAATTCGGCTAGCCAAGCATGATTCAAGCGCCGCGAGTGCGCAGGCGCAGGTGCCGGTGCAGCAGATGGCATCGCCAGCGACCAGGAACAGGAGGAGGAAGCCCTTATCAGTAAACTCAATCCTGCACCCGGATTCCAGTCCTGTCCTGCAGAAATCCCGCTCTGCCCGCCATTTCTGCCGTTTCTCGCTGCGGCTTGGCTCGGGCCTAAGCAGCTTTCAGCTGAGGAGTCACCGGCTGGTGTCTCTCGGTTTGACTTGACTAGTCCGCTGCCTGACTCGGCCGGGCCCGCGTTGAGTCCATATTACTCAGTCATCCTACTCCTTGCTGTTGCTCCTCCATTTCCCCCGCTGGCCTGCGATCTCATCTCGGTCCGCGCATTTAAACACAGTCACAAGCCGTATGCAGTAGAATCCCCGCCCGTGCTGCACCTGGTTCGTGCTAATCTTCGCTCGCTGTCGATGACTGCTCGGACGGGCCCAGGAGTGGGCCTCTGCGCAGGTAACGGGCCTTCCTTTGATAAGAACGCGAATACGGAATACGACAGATTGCGATAAGCCTCGTCCTCCCCCAGTGCGCTCGGGGCCACTACTCGCTTTTCACCGCCTATCGCTCGTACTTCTCCTCCCCATATCAACAACCTCCTGCTCTTGACCTGTGGCGCTGATAGGCCGCCCTCCTCGAACTCTACCTCCCATCTCTCTTCCTCTGGCTTTTCTCTATCAAATCGCTCGTATACACCCCGTCACTCTTTTTCCTGTTTGCCTCTCTCTCCTCTTTCCTTCCCTCCCCTCCCCACCTTTCTTTCCTCGCGCCCCGGAGTAGATTATTATCATACCCCAACCATGGCGAAATACGACGACGAGAAGGCACCCCTCACTGTAACCTCAAAGGCTGTCAGCGAGGACTCAAAGTCTGTCAGCTCAGCATCCACCCGCAAGGGATACTCCTCCATCCAAGGTCTCGACGACGAGTTCTCTGGTCTTCCTGAAAAAGATGCCGAAGTCTTGAGACAGCAGATCTCTGTTCCTGAGGTCTCGGCTTCCTTCTTTAGACTGTTCCGCTATGCAAACAGAAGAGACTTGATCATCCTCTTTGGCGGTGTCGCTGCTTCTATCCTCGAGGGACTCATGCGTCCCCTCATGTCCTATGTCTTTGGCTTTGCTACCGAACAGTTCACAAATCTCCCCACCGGTATGACAAATATGTGGGGCAACAGCACCTATGAGTACTTCAACAAGACCGAAGGAATGGTCTACAACGAAACCTCGAGCTCCTGGTACTATCCTACCGATGGCAACTACACCTTCGACATGGGCTACGGCAACTACACCGGCAACAACTACGAGTACTACGCAATGTCATCTGAGGAATTCCTCCGTAGCATTAGCCGCTACTCGCTCGCTCTTTTCCTCATCGCGACCGCCGTCTCTCTCTTGACCTACATCAAATCCTTCATCTTCATCGACCGCGCTGAAGTCCTTGCCTCCCGTGTTCGCGAGGAATATCTCGCTGCTACCTTGCGCCAGAACATTGGCTACTTCGACAAGCTTGGCGCTGGAGAAATCACCACCCGTATCGCTTCCGACACTGTCCTTGTGCAGGACGCAATGTCAGAGAAGGTTGCCTACGTGATCTCTCACACTACGACCTTCATTAGCTCCATCATCCTGTCTTTCACTCAGTCCGCCGAGCTTACCGCTATTATCCTTGGAAACGTAGTTGCCATTATTGTTGTCAGTCTCATCGGCTCCAAGGTCGTCACCAAGTTCGCCGAGCGCTCGCAGTCTGGATATGGTGGTGGTGCCACCCTAGCTGAGGAGGCTATCTCCAGCGTGCGCAACGTTAAGGCGTTTGGTATTCAGGACTGCATGGTCCAGGCTTTCGATAAGTTCCTGCAGGTTTCTGAGGCCTGGGATCTCAGAGCTGGTTATGCTAGTGGAATCCAGTCTGGTCTTGTCCACATGTTTGCCTTTGGTATCGATGCGCTCACTTACTGGCAGGGAACCCGTCTCCTGACTGAGGACAAGGTCTCCGTTGGCATCATGATGACTGTACGTTTTCTTTCTTTGTGAACGCCCTCTTCTTTAAAGAAGTTACTGACTCTTTCTAGTGCGTTATGGCTTTGTTCCAAGGTGCTTTTGCGTTCACGATCATCTCGCCTTACCTCGCAAACATCTCCGCGGGTCTCGCTGCTTCCACCAAGATCTTTGCTACCATCGACCGCAAGTCCGCCATCGACTCCTCAGTCGAGACTGGCGAGAAGCTGGCCACTATCAACGGAGACATCGAGCTCAACGACGTTCGCTTCATCTACCCCTCGCGCCCTAACGTCACTGTTCTTCGTAACTTCTCGCTGAAGATTCCTGCCGGAAAGACTGTTGCTCTGGTTGGTTCTTCCGGATCTGGAAAGAGTACCATCATCGGTCTTATCGAACGCTTCTATAATCCGCTCGAGGGTCTCATCACTCTGGACGGCCATGATATCACGGAGCTCAACATCCGCTGGCTGCGTCAGAACATCGCCCTTGTGTCTCAGGAACCCAATCTTTTCGCTGTCTCGATCTTTGAGAACATCTCCTACGGTCTCATCGGAACCAAGTACGAGCACGCCTCGCGTGAGGAGAAGATGGATCTGATCATCGACGCCTGCAAGCAGGCTAATGCCTGGGACTTCATCTGCGATCTGCCTGATGGCTTGGACACCGAGGTCGGAGAGCGTGGATTCCTTATGAGCGGTGGTCAGAAACAGCGTATTGCGATTGCTCGTGCTATTGTCTCGAACCCCAAGATTTTGTTGCTTGACGAGGCTACCTCTGCTCTTGACACCAAGAGTGAAGGAGTTGTCCAGGAGGCTCTCGACCGCGCGTCGAAGAACCGTACTACTATTGTAAGTAATTTCTGTCAAGCCAGAGTTTATCGGATGCTAACATGTGAAATAGGTCATTGCACACAGATTGTCGACGATCAAGGATGCTGATCTCATTGTGGTTATGCGTACTGGCGTTATTCTCGAGCAAGGCACTCACAACGAGCTTATCGAAAAGAAGGGTGAATACTTTGGTCTCGTTGAGGCCCAGAGCATTGCTGGTGTCGCCGAGTCGTTTGTGGCTACTCCTGACGCCGACGATGGCGAGGCACAGCTTGATGAGAAGGCCGGCATTGAGATGTCGTCGCTTGCTAAGGTTAACACTACTGCTACCGAGGGTATCTTTGATTCCGCCACCGGCGAGACCGAGGAGCTTGCTTCTGCTTTCACAATCATGAAGATGCTCTTCAGGATCGGCAGAAAGGATCTTGCTGCCATGCTTTTGGGATTGTACTCGGGCGCCTTGACTGGTATTGCTTATATCGGATTGTCGGTTCTCTATGCTTTTGCTCTTACCTACCTGCAGGAGTACGGAACCCCGTACTACTACGACATGCTCCGACGCGCAGTCTACCCCCTTGCCGCGTTCATCTTCATGCACGGTGCCGTTTTGTTCTTCTCCAACTCCGTCGCTGGTATCACTTTCGGTTACGCCTCTAGCCGACTCGTCCGCCGTCTGCGCGGCATGTCGTTCCGCCAGCTCTTGCGCCAAGACGTCTCGTTCTTTGACATGAGCGAGCACTCGGTCGGTGTCCTCACTTCGTCGCTCGCAAGCGATGCGCAGAGTATCGATGCCCTTGGAGGAGAGACCACAAACAAGATGGTTGAGTCGATGGTTGTCATGATTGGAGGTCTTATCTTCTCGCTCTTTGTCGGATACAAGCTCGGTCTTGTCATGTTTGCTACCGTTCCTCTTATTCTCGTTATTGGATACTTCCGCTTCCGATTCCTTGCAAACTACATGGAACAGACAAAGGAGGAGAACACCTCTTCGTCCGACTACGCCTGCGAGGCCACCTCCGCCATCCGTACTGTCCTCTCGCTCACGCGCGAGGAAGAGATCATGGAGCGCTACCGCGCCAGTCTTGCGCGCACGGTCAAGAGCAACCGTGGCGCAAGCAACAAGTCTGCTATCTTCGACGGCTTCTCGCGCGGAATGCAGTACTACATCATGGCTCTTGGATTCTACTACGGCGGTCAGCTCGTTGCGTCGGGAGAGTACTCGCTGTACCAGTTTTTCCTCATCTTTTTGACTGTTGTGTTTGGATCCGAGAGTATCACCACCGTTTTCACGTTCGCTCCCGAGATGGGTAAGGCGCTCCGTGCTGGACGCAACATCAAGGCGCTGCTCGAGGCCGAGCCTACCATTGATTCCGAGAGCACCGAAGGAACCAAGATCGACTCGGAGAAGGTTAACGGTGAGATCGAGTTCCATGATGTGCACTTCAGATATCCTACCCGCATGAATGTGCCTGTTCTTCGCGGCCTGAACTTGAAGGTCAAGAAGGGTCAGTTCATCGCTCTTGTTGGATCGTCTGGATGCGGAAAGAGTACGACTATCGGTCTCATCGAGTCGTTCTATCGCCCACAGCGAGGAATGGTTACGCTCGATGGCGTCGACATCTCGACTCTCAACGTGGCCTCCTACAGATCGCAGATCGCTCTTGTCCAGCAGGAGCCTGTCCTCTACGCTGGCAGCATCCGGTATAACGTCGCGCTCGGCTCTCCCACCCCCGTGACGGACGAGCAGATCGAACAGGCCTGCCGCTCGGCAAACATTCACGACCTCATCATGTCTTTGCCCGACGGATACGACACCCTCTGCGGTTCCAAGGGAGCCCTCCTCTCCGGTGGCCAGAAGCAGCGTATTGCCATTGCACGCGCTCTGATTCGCGAGCCCAAGGTCCTTCTTCTTGACGAAGCCACCTCGGCGCTCGATAGTGAGTCCGAGAAGGTCGTGCAGGCCGCCCTCGACGTTGCCGCCAAGGGCCGCACCACGATCGCGGTTGCGCACCGCCTCAGCACGATCCAGAACGCGGATATCATCTACGTGTTTGAGAACGGCCGGATTCTTGAGAGTGGAAGCCACCAGCAGCTGCTGGCGAACAAGGGCAAGTACTTTGACCTTGTGCAGCTGCAGGCTTTGGAGAAGAACTAGATTATAGAGTTTGGAGGTGTGGTTTTCAAAAGATGAGCAGGATGCGTTTTGACGTACGTTCAGTCTTTCTTTTTTATCATTTTGTTTTGCACTATTGGTATACAGGGGTCCATTTGTTTTTGGTTTTTTTATCACTATCGATGCCATTCATTTTGTTATTTTTTCCTATCGGTATACAGTAAAAATGAAGCTTTCTTCAAGGGGATTATAGTGCGCTTAAATCAGTAGAAATTTGTCTGAACCGTTCAAATTGTCCAAGATATATTACAAGTAGAGTACAACAACAGCGGTCACTACTGCTCATGCTCCTGTTTCAAAGTCTGCTCTCGCAGCATCTCCTGCTGCTTCCGCAGACCCTCCGCCCTCTTCCGTATCCGCCGTTCCTCTTTCGACTCAACTTTTGCTGCGTCGGGGTGTAATCCCATACTCTTTTCTATACTCGCAAACAGTCTGTCCGTCCGTCTTTTGTTTTCTGTAAACCGCTCGGATGCCATAGCCATCAGATGCGCGAGATATGTGTCGTCAACGAGAGGGACTACCGCGTCTTCGTCGTCAGGAGAGAGGAAACCGACAGGGGAGTCGATGCGCAAGGAGCAGCGGATCGCGAGGATGTTGCCGTTGTAGCCCGACTCGCGGAAGCCGGCTGCGAGTGCTATACCGAGCAGTTTCATGGCGACGGCGTAGTCCGCGCAGAGCACATGCAGAATCTGTTTTCAACGTAAGCTAACCGCAAACAAAATCGGCAAATATAAATCAAGGACGGGTACTCACCAGTGGCTCGAACTTGAAGTGCACATATCGTCGTTGTAGAGTATCGCGCGGATCCGCGTCGGTACCTACCGTGGTAGTTTTCAGGCCTCCGTACAAAAACTCGCTCCATGTCTTGCCAAAATCTGGCTGTGCAAGCGGGGCATCGTGTGTCACATAGAGCCATCGTCCTCCGCTACCTTTGCCGCCGACCAAGACAGCCGGCGCCTGCGCCAGCTCTTCGTCGTCGTCGTTGACTTGTTCGTCGTCACCATCATCACCACGTCGCCCTGCGCCGTTTTTACCCACACCCTTCGCCCTCACACCTTCAGCATACACAGCTACCCGTCCCGCACACGAGGAGGTACTGACCAGGTCTTCGTGCCGGTTAATCAGCTCGAGCAGCGGCAGTATCTGAACATCCGGACCACCTTTGGGACTTAGATCCGGCAGCGGGGAGTTCAGCTCATCCAGGATCTGTCGTTTTCGTTGAGCAAAGACAAGTTTTTGCTGATGGGGTTCATCGGGAGAAGGCATTTCTGTGCACTACTCCGCCTTCTGAGCAGTCAACGAGCTGGATTATCTCGGATTTAGTGCGTCTTCTCGCAGTGGATAAATTTCATCGGGGAAGGTTTTCAGGGAGCGCGTGCGGCTCAGTTGCATAGTACGCCCAGTTACGCGTAGGGCTTTCTTCGAAATGCAACTTACCACGGTTTGCAAACATCGGGACAGCATATACGTGCGTCTGTATGATAATGATGGCGATGGAATAGGGATGAGAGATGACCGTGATGGCTGAAAATGATTTTAGAAGACCTGCTATATAGGAGTATCTGATACGCCAATACCGTCGATAAGCATTCTAGATCATACTCTCGAATCTCTCAGTCTAAACATCTTCGATCAGCTCAGCGCTTTTCATCTCATGAAGGAGGACATATCTCGAAAAGCAGAAAATTTTGACAGCAGCTGTCATGGAACTGTCATTTTCAAAATTTAATGGTTTACTGGACTTTCCTCTCATTTCTCAGGCGGGCTTTCACATACCGCTGACGCTGCTTTGGTTCGACGCGTCTTGGTGCGGCTGCGTGATGCGTCTCTCTACCGAGTGGGACTGGAGAACAGAGCAGAGTAGTTCAACTGCGAATCAAGCTATTGCTTTACTGTATTGATGATCTGTTTATAAAGTGCAAGATCTTTTGTTCTTGAGGTATAGTTGACTGCTATGCTATCGGTAAGGCAACCACATAGCTAGCTGAGATTGGAAGTGAAGTGAAGTGCTCAAGCTGGATGGCAGTCTATGAAGATATCACCCAGTGCACAGTCACATTTCTCTCTATAAGCATAATGTCATATTCATTATGACCACCGCAATGCATTACGCTGCATGATCCGCCTATTGTACTGGATGATATCTCGATGACGGGGAAGGTCATTAACGTGCGTATAAATACTTGGGTAGATACCCTGCCAAAGTAAAGGCCATCAACACTCACTGTCAGCATGATTTACAACCTTCTCGCCATTCAGGCTCTCTTCCTGTACTTGGCCAGCGTCGCCTCCTCTGCTCCCCTGACGAACTCGTTCTCGCTCTCCACCATCATAGACTCGTTCGTCATCTTCCCCAAGACAAGATGGTTACGCAAAGCGCACTCGACCGACTTCACGATCGAGAACGTCACGGACTATGGCAGCTTTAATTTCCTGGGCAGCGCTGCCTCTGAATCAACAATCTACGCACCCGTCACGTACTGCCCCTTTGGCGAGCGTGCGTTCTGGTTCACGGGTGATGTGCTCTTGCAGGCCGGACCTCTTCTCCCGTATATCGATCCTGTCCGGAACTACTTTTCTCCCGCGCATTCTGGGTCCGATAGTGTGAATACCCTGTACGACAGGCCTATGTTTGGTACGGTTTACAACGCTTTCCGCTACATAGAGGGTGAAGAAACGGATTGGCGAATGGTTCCCATAGAATCTGAGTTGTTACGCGACACCGCCGTTGCTCGCTCGCCATGCGCCACGTTCTCGGATACCAAGGCTGTGCAGTTTTACGAGTCCATATCGACTGATGGTTCGTACGGCTCGTTTATGGTTGAGTACGAGGTCTCTGTTGACGAGTCAGGAGCGACTACTCTTAACGTCACTCGGTCGGACGAAGTCACCAGCAAGTCGGCAGATAATCAGCTGTACTGGGGAGTCTTTGCGACGATGAGGATCAACCATGTCGTCTATATGTACGCTCTCGACACGAACAACTACCAGGATGTCTACCTCGCGTCTGTTCCCGCCCAGCAAGTCGATGACAAGTCAGCATGGCAGTATTGGCTGCAGTCTTCCAAATCATGGACGACCACCGAGCCCACCACCGCCGACGATATCTCTGCCGACGCCGTATTTTCACTCACCGGTAGCGACAGGTTCGCGATGGCCAACGACGATATCACGCAGACACTTGCATACCACACCGGCGCATCTATTTTCTACTCGCAATACCACTGGTCGTACCTTTTCGTCTACGTCTCGGCTGATGATTCGTCGACTCTCATTATCGAATACGGACCCACGCCAGCTGGTCCGTTTACGAGCGACAAGAAAGTTCTCTACTCGAATGCAGACTATGATATGTCGTATGCATCCGTTTCGCCATTTATGTTCAGCACGAGCGAGATTGAAGGCGAGACTGGAAAGGAACTGCTTCTCACGGCCCCAGCAGCGGGCGCGGTTACGTCTCCGCACGCGATTAAGATCACGTTCGAGTGAGATGTGTGGCTTGAGTAGGTGGTGAAGTGTAACGAATATGTGATGGAGTTTTAATGGCTTGAGTACGAATCTTAGTTGAGACAGCATAATTATATAGTAGCCGTATGTGTATTAACATAAAGCACGTCAAGAATTCTGACAGACCGTCAAGATATCGGGACTAGATCGTCAGGACCTGCTGACTGTAGTCCAAACTTCGTAGTCCACTATTTCTAATAAAAATCCAATTTCTCTCAAATGCTCACTAATCTGATACTGCAGTGTTATTCTATCCATGATATCGGCTAGCAGACATTTCAAAGAGCCAGACGAGCGGTCTGTTGACAAAATTACTTGTTGAGGTAAGAGGGCGTGCGGCTCACTCCGCGCGTCCAGCGGTAGGGTTTTCATAAAATGCTGCAACTTACCACGCTGTGCAGACATACGGCTGCATCTCAGCACCAGCCCAACTCTATCAGCCGTGTTAAGTCGATGTCATTTTTTGACAGTGAAAGATGTCTGTGTGAATTATTGATAGCTGTCAGTAGATGTAATAGCTGCATTATAGCTCCTGCTGAACTAGTATTGTCATCTCTAAATCTAGTTTTCCTCCTCGCGCGTCAATCTAACGCTCGAAAGATCCTCAATTAACTCTGTGCTTCTCATGCTTTGGATAAAGGTATCTGAAAAAGTACAGATTATCAACTTCGCATTGAAAAAGGAATGCTGATTCTCCACGATTATGTGATATGTGTATTTTTCCAGGCGGGCGTTCACATACCGCTGATACTGCTTCCGAATTCTGGGGTGCGGCTGCAAGGACGCATGCCCTGATAGCGAACAGGCGCGCTCCTGACAAGGGAGCAGATTAGCTGTATCTAGTCATTGCTCTGTGCAGTGATAATATGCTGTATTGAGTGCTATCGTGCTCAATGCGAAATGCGCGCTGGAACTGAACACCATCGTCTGTGAGGTCCTTGTTGGATTTGCTGCGATGTGCTATGGTGAAGCCACCTGCATGACTAACAGCTATGGAGGGGTCCTCCGACGCGACGGAAGCACTTTCATTATATCATCACTTGAACAATCACATCTTTATCTTCTATAAGCATAGTGCACTGTACATAATCTCATACCGGTGATGCTGCTTTGGCTCGACGCGTCTTGGTGCGGCTGCGTGTTGCATCTCTCCACCGAGCAGGACTGAAGAACTGAACAAGAAAGTTAACAAGGAAGTTCTACTGCGAATCAAATTATTATTTTACTGTATTGATGATTTATCTGTGAAGTGCAGCGGTTTTTTGTTTTTGAGATATAGCTGACTTCTATGCTACTGGTTAGGCAACCACATAGCTAGCTGAGATTAGAAGCGAAGTGGTCAAGCCGGATGGCAGCCCACGCGGATGTCACCCATTACACAGTCACATTTTTTATCCTTCATAAGCATAGCGTACTGTACATAATGACTACTGCTATGCATGACGCAGCCTAATACCTCTATTATACTGGATGTTATCGTGATAGCGAGGAATGGTCATTACCATATAAATACTTGGGTAGATACCCTGCAAAAGTAAAGGTCATCAACACTCGCTGGCAATCATGATTTACAATCTTCTCGTTATCCAGGCTTTTTTCCTGTGCTTCGCCCACGTTGCCTTCTCTGCTCCTCTGTCGAACCAGTTCTCGCTCTCGACAATCATCGACACGTTTGTCATCTTCCCAAAGACAAGATGGTTACGCAAAGCGCACTCGACCGACTTCACGATCGAGAGCGTCACGGACTATGGCATCCTTAATTTCGCGAACGACACTGAGACTAAATCAACAGTCTATGCACCCATCACGTACTGCCCTTTTGGCAAGCGTGCGCTCTGGTTCACGGGTGATGTGATCTTGAGCAACAACCACACGGTTCTTCTCGGTATCCCTATCAATTCTATGGATGTTATCCGGAACTATTTTTCTCCCGCGCAATCTGGGTCCGATGATGTGAACACCTTGCACGACGAGCCGATGATTGTCGATAGTTTCTACGGTCTCCAGTACGAAGAGGGAGATACGACGGATTGGCGAATGGTTCCCCAGGACTACGAGACTTCACACGAAACCGCCGTTGCCCGCTCGCAATGCGCGACATTTTCGGATACCAAGGCTGTGCAGTTTTATGAGTCTCTATCGACTGACGGTTCGTCCGAATCGTTTATGGTCGAATACGAGGTTTCTGTCGATGAGTCAGGAGCGACTACTCTCAACGTCACTCGGTCGAGAGAAGTTGTTAGCAAGCCGGAAGACAATCAGCTGTACTGGGGAGTTTTTGCTACGATGAGAATTAATCATGTCGTCTACATGTACGCTCTCGACACGAACAACTACCAGGATGTGTACCTCGCGTCTGTTCCCGCCCAGCAAGTCGATGACAAGTCAGCATGGCAGTATTGGCTGCAGTCTTCCAAATCATGGACGACCACCGAGCCCACCACCGCCGACGATATCTCTGCCGACGCCGTATTTTCACTCACCGGTAGCGACAGGTTCGCGATGGCCAACGACGATATCACGCAGACACTTGCATACCACACCGGTGCATCTATTTTCTACTCGCAGTACCACTGGTCGTACCTTTTTGTCTACGTCTCGGCTGATGATCCGTCGACTCTCATTATCGAATACGGACCCACGCCAGCTGGTCCGTTTACGAGCGACAAGAAAGTTCTCTACTCGAGCGCGGACTATGACATGTCGTATGCATCCGTTTCGCCATTTATGTTCAGCACGAGCGAGACCGAGGGCAAGACCGGAAAGGAGCTGCTTCTCACCGCCCCTGCCGCGGGTAACACGACTGATGCGCATGCGATTAAGCTTACTTTGGAATGAGCGGTGGCAGATACTTTGTGACGATTATGGTGAAGAGGATGATTATTTGGAGATAGAAGCGTTGAATTACTATAAACGATACCTGAGATAGTGTATACTAGAAAAAATGTATTATCATAGTGAGTTGAAATCTGAATCTTGAAGCGTAATTAGCAGTGAGTGCAGTTTCGGTGGCTTAAACTAGACTGTACTTTTCCACACGATCTGTCTATTTTTGAAGTCTGGTGTGGACTGAGAGCGGAGAAGACAGACGATACAGCGGCCGCGAGAGGCGAGAAGCGGCACAACTAGCTCTCAGTACTAGCAACACCCTCTGCCTGTCAGTCAAGAACCGTAACGAACAAGAAGCCTAGCAAAGCCGAAGTAGCAACGAGTAAATACAGCGCAAGCCGGGCAGGAAAACATCAATTTACCGAATCAGGCAGGTGAGTCACGCGTGATCCGCCTGTCACACGCGTCTGGCGGGCGTAGCGTAAAACAAACTCCCAGCTCGCGCGTCACAGGATCTGGCTTTGGGCTTTTGGGAGTTTTGGGTTATGGATTTGGGCTGCGGGACTGGGCCTGGGAGTCTGGGAAGATTAGCTTAACAAGACATACAAGGCTGCTGGTGATCAGTGTTTGAGGTCTCGTTGGTCTATCTGCTTCCGCTTCTGCTACACTCAAACAGAGCACTGTCTGCGCTCCTTCTCTTTCCTGCCGGGATCTTCACAATGTTCTCGGAAACTATCACCGCAGTCTCGACTGCGACCGCACCTGCCATCACCGTCGGCCCCCACGACGACGGCAACGCAGTCCTCCGCCTCGGCCGCCCAACAGTACTCAGCAAGCTTCCAAACGAGCTCATATGTGAGATCTTCAAGTACATTCCCTACCCGTTCATCCACACACTCGCAATGGTCTGCCGCGAGTGGAAGACCTTCCTGGACGAGTACTTCCGCTATGATCTCGACCGGCGCAGCGGCACGCTCGACTTCACCAGCACGCGGGGCTTTCGAACGTACGGATATTTAGGTCGCGTGCTTGAGCACATACCTTCGCGGCCGATCGAGGCCATCTTCGTCAACACGGCTGACAAGCTCGAGGACTCGACCGTCGGCGTGCTGCTCGACATAAAGATGACAATGACGCCCGGCCAGTGGTATCACTACCACGGCTCCGGCGAGGACTGTCCGCTGCTTGAGCGGTTTCCAAATTTAGAGCACAGACTGAGCGGAATCAAGGAGCTTTCTGTCGACCGCTCGGTGATGACGGTCCTTCAGCACTGGAGCGTGCACTCGCCCTACCTGCGATCGACAGCGTTCTACAGACTCGAGGCACTGACCCTGCACCTCTCCATCTTTGGCGATTTCGTCAACACGCTAGCAAAAGTACAGACCGGCCTGCCAAACCTGCGACGACTGACCGCCGAATGCGGCACCTACGAGCGACACAACCTTCGCGGCCGAGGCGGCGTGCTGCTCAGCGACAAAGACACCTACCGCTCGATCTTCCCCGCGCTCGAGTACGTCAAGATCGGCGCCCGCTGCCTGGGCACGCCCAAACCGCCGCTCGAGCCGGGAAAGCCGTATTATGTCAACAGACCGGTGTGGACGGTGGAGGAAATGGAGAGTCTTATGCGCATGGCGCCGGAGATGTCTGAGCTCTGTCTGTCCGGCGTGGTGCTGCACAGCAATATCTTTGGCGACGGGCCATGTGTTTACAGATTCAATGCCGCGATGAAGGTTCTTGTGCTAAGTGGCTGCTCTTTGAAGGCGACAAAGATCTCTGTCGCCAGAGCAGACCAGGAGCCAGTGTGGTCTATGAAGCGAGCGCGGGGGAGCAAGATTCCTCCCAAGCGGATAGTCTTTGGCTGAACTCTGATTCATCGCTTGAAGACCTTCTTGCTCTGTGTTTGATTTCCTTTTTTATTTGTTTTTTGTTCTGTGTGCGTGTTTATGATGTTTACGGAGTTTGGGCGCGGGCTATGAGAATCCGGGCACTTGTAGGATTTTTTTTCTTGTTTTCTGTTTCCAGACGTACATATATATGACTTCTCTTGACTTTATACTTTGCGTTTTCGCGTTTGTGTTTCCTTTCCTTGGGTCGTGTGCTTGCTTCCTTCGGGTTTTGTTGTCGGTGCAGCTACAATGGCGCTTTTTCTTTCCTTCTGCTTTGCATTTTGTTGCTGTTTTTTTCAAGTGTTTTGGTTTTGTTTCGCTTCGTTTAGTAGTACTCAATAAACAACAAGGGCATGTATGTATTTTCCTTTTCGGGCGTAGTAGGCTCGCGTGAGCTGTGAACTTTGTATAGTGCACGGACGATCTTGATATTTGTCGTCGGAGGGTGGTTTCATTCTGTCTTTGTATTTCTTTGGAGCTGTAGTGATACGCGAAAATCACTTTCCTTCTCACAATGGCACACATGAATCTCTTAATAGCAGAAGTAAGTTTTGTCGGGTCATGCTTGAAAGTGCTGGGGACGCGCAGGATACCTGATCCTACACCAGCGACATCACCTCTAATCGCCGACAGCCAGCGCCAGCTCTGCATCCCCTATGTTTCGACCAGGACGACAATTAGCTAGCCAGAAATAAGACGAAAGGTTAGTGTGTAAGTAGCTGTTCATAACTTGCTTTGAGGGTTTGGAAAGAGGGTTGCTGTCGATTGAGACGTGAGGGTGCATGTCGGGGATAATGATGACAATAAATCTATCATTGTGCACACGCCGAAACGTCAAGCTGCACACCTGCGTCATCGTGAACATACAGGCTGGGTTATAACGTCACTATTCTTTTGTCATGTCACTCACGCAGTGGTAGATTGAGCTGTTGCAATGACTGTTTGGAGAGACCACGACTCTGTCTTTCGGCGATAAACGTCAGATTGAAGCGAGCTGACAGACACGGCAGTGCTACTAACGAGAACCAGCCAAGACTTGTCAGAATACATATTTTATGTAATCCACAAGCGCAGAAGGGGGAATTATGTGGTGTTTATATCGTTTGGTGCGGTTGCGTCGGCGGACGAGAGTGGTGGGTGGTAGATGTGATTATTCGGGTATGCCGGCTCGCTAGCCTGCGCCGGAATTTTCAGGAGAAAAGAATGAGTCGATGAGGGCTTTGCTGGTGCATACAGAGAGCTGTCAAGAGTTTGTAAAAGTCAGAGCTGCTGAGCTGACTAGAGCGTGAACTTAGAGTCTGGCGCAGCAGACAAGAGGAGGGAGTTCCGGGAAAGAAGAGGGAAGGAACGATGCCAACTAGCTGGGGATAAATAATCAGTTAGACCGCGTTTGGATGTGCTCTGTAATAGGAGTATTTCGAGTAGAATTCGTAGCAGAGCAAAATACTAAAACAGAAGTTGCAATAACGGTCTAGATCCTCCACTTTTCTAAACAGGAAAAGGAGCAAGTAAACAGAGCATCAGAACCATCATATCTCCGAAAAACATTACTCGCAATTAGTTCTCTAAGCACTAAAGAACAGCATCCAGATCGTCTCTGGACCTAGCAGCCAGAGCCAGCGCGTCAGCACAGGAGGTGTAGCGCCCACACCGGCCAGGACAAAGGCCAGAGCCGGGCTTAAACCGAAGGGCAGTTAAGATCAGGAGTCAATCGCGCAGAGAGATGGCCAGGGCATCGCCCGGCTTAAGCGAGACTGTGGGGGGAGGATTCGGGGCCCTAACCCGCAGCGACCCAAAGTCTTTCAGTATGTAAGTGATGACAAATCAGAGGACGCCAGACAAAACATAGAATGGCAGCCTCGGCTCAGGGATTGTGAAGGTAGGAAGATGAGCGGTGTAGAAGGTGTTGTAGAGCAGCAGAGAAGCAGGAAAGCAGTTGTAAACAAGTAGAAAGGACTGTCATATGCAGCTCTGAACATCTGAACGGCATAAAGACAAAAACCCACCCAAAAACCAGCACAGGCGGGTGTTTACTCTGCCTCTGAGCTCCCCGCATCGTGTCAAAGCCGAGAGCCGAAGATCGCTAAATACAAGCCTCGATCGCTCCACCTTCTTTCCGTTCTTCTTCACTTTTGCCCACTGTTTCTTCTACATTCTACATTCTGTGTGTGAATATACTATAAACTGATTCAAAAATGACGATAACTACGCCCATCACTGAACTCTTTGGGATTCAACACCCCATCCTCCTCGCTGGCATGAACGTTGCCTCAGATATGTCTTCTCTTTGTTTTCCATCCAATAGTATTATGAGACTAACTTAATCAATGTTCACGACCCCAACTCGCAGCTGCAGTCTCCAACGCCGGCGGCCTGGGTGTGATTGGCGGCATGGGCTACAGCCCCGAGATGCTGCGCGAGCAAATCAAGGAGATCAAAGCCCACCTAAATCCCGGCATCACCAAGTTCGGCGTCGATCTCCTGCTGCCCCAAGTCGGCGGCAACGCACGCAAGACAAACTACGACTACACGCACGGCCAGCTGCCTGATCTCGTGAAAGTGATCATCGAGGAAGGCACGAGCTTGTTTGTGTCTGCGGTCGGCGTGCCGCCAAAGGAAGTCGTCGACGCGCTGCACAAGGCCGGCATTCCGGTCATGAACATGATCGGCGCGCCCAAGCACGCCAAGAAAGCACTCGCGGCCGGCGTCGACATCGTCTGCGCGCAGGGCGGCGAGGGCGGCGGCCACACCGGCAGCATCCCGACCTCGATCCTGATCCCGGCCGTCGTCGAGGCCGTCAAGGGCAAGAAGTCCCCCTTGACCGGGAAACAGGTCGAGGTTGTGGCCGCGGGCGGCATGTCGAGCGGCAAGTCGCTTGCTGCCGCGCTGATGTTTGGAGCGTCAGCGGTGTGGGTGGGCACGCGGTTCATCTGCGCGGCCGAGGCTGGTGCGCCGAAGGGCCATCAGGACGCTGTGCTGGGTTGCGACTACGATGGCACGTTCAGGACGATTATCTACACCGGCCGTCCGCTGCGTATACGGAAGAACCCGTACGCGGTCGATTGGGAGACGAACCGCAAGGAGGAGATTGTCAAGTTGACGAGCGAGGGAAATATCCCTGTGCCGTGGGAGGTCGAGCAGTATGAGAAGAGCGGCAAGGATCTGCCGGAGCAGATCGAGGAGTATTCGTTCCCGTATTTGATGGGCGAGGTTGCGGCGTTGGTTAAAGAGATTAAGCCCGCGAAGGCGATTGTGGATGAGATTGTGTCAGAGGCGGAAGTGCAGCTCAAGAGGGGCTCGTCTTTGGTCAAGGCCAAGCTCTAAGCGTTGATGCGTGAGTTTTTGCTGCTGCTGTTGTTTTTCATGGAAATACATTACAAGTTAAAAGCGATTATTAAGAGTCAATATTATTTTCTATATTATTCTAATACAAAAACATGCAACACTCGTAAACTCTAAATCTAGCTACCAGAGACAAGACTTAATTGGTGAGAACGAAGCGGTATCTAGCCTTGTTGGCGTCCATAAGCTTGAGGACCTCGTTGACCTCCTCCATGGGGTAGCAAGTAACCCAGGACTTGACGCCCTTGGTGGCAGCGATCTCGAGCATCTCCTTGATCTCCTTGCGGGATCCGAGGAGCGAGCCCATGAGGTGCACGTTCATGTTGATGAGCGGGCCGAATCCAAACTGCGGGATGGGCGACTCGGGCAGACCGACCTGGACGAAGCGTCCGCCGGGCTTGAGGATGGTGAGGTACTCACCGAGCGGCATGTCGGAGTTGTTGGCGGTCGAGACGATGAGGTCGAACTTGCGCGCGTACTTGGTGTTCCAGCCGGGGGTCTGAGTGGCGATGATGCCCTCGGCGCCCATGGCGATGGCGTCGGCGCCCTTGGCGTCGGAGCGCGAGATGGCGTAGACCTTGTCGGCACCGAGCGCCTTCGCGAAGAGAAGGGCAAAGTGGCCGAGACCACCGATACCGACGACACCGACGGTCTTGCCGGGGCCGCAGCCGTTGCGCTTCAAGGGCGAGAAGACGGTGATACCACCGCACATCATGGGCGCCGCGATCTCGGACGGGAGCTCGTCGGGGATCTTGAAGCAGAACGAGGCGGGGTAGCGGCCCTCGAGAGCGTAGCCGCCCCAGGAGGAGTCGCCGTTCTCGAACTTGGAGTTGTAGGTGTAGACCTTGTTTGCGCAGTAGGGCTCGTTGTCGTGGGTGCACTCGTAGCAGTCATCCTTGAGGCAGGAGAGGACCTGGGCACCGACACCGACACGGTCGCCGCTGTGGAGAGGAGGTGTTAGCAGGAGTGGTCATGAGGAGATCAATTGAGTGGGGTAGGCTTACATCTCGAACTGGGTGACGTTCTTGCCCTTCTTGGTGATGGTTCCGACAATCTCGTGTCCGACGATAACGGGGTAGGGAGTAGCACCCCATCCGGAGCGGAGAGTATGGAGGTCAGAGGCGCACATGCCGCTAGAGAGGAGAGTTAGCAAGTGAGTTGGATGCAGATTGAGTTGCAAGGCGCCTCAGAACGACGAGAAGTGGAGCGTAGAAGAAGAAAGAAGACGTACCAGTGCGAAATCTTGAGGTCGACATCGTCGTCAGAGAAGACCTTGGGGTTGAAGGTACCCTTGACAAGGTTTCCGTTGACGGAGTTGGCGTCGAGGCCGAGGTAGCCGGTGAAGGTATCGGTGGAAGGCATTGCTAGGACTTGAAGAGGAGCAGAGCGGAGGGTGGAGAGAAGAAGAAGGAAAGGCAGGATACGAGGGGGAGGCCGGTGGTTGGTTTTATAAGTTGGGAGCAGCTGAGTTTCATTATCGGCAGTAGCACGAACTTTATCTTCTCTTGCGCGTAGAACAGTGACAGAAGGGCTGTTCTTCTTCTGCGCAGATTGAGTGTTTATAAGAAGATAGAGAAGAAGAGAATGCTCAATTGAGTAGAATATAGCATAGATTATAACTAAATACAGAAGAAAGATATTGCAATTGCTGGTTTGGGTAGGTTGTTGTCTTGCCCGCATAAAACCTGTCTCCGGCAAATTCGTATTTCTGGCTTATCGGGGTCGGGGTCCTGCTTCATTCAGTGTCTGTTCAGTCGGCCGAGAGATTATTAGTAATGTGCTATGTTATCTTTATGTAATCACGATTAGTCAGTTAGCTGAGTCAATAATCTTAGTCATTATGCTTAGTCAGATATATGTCAGCATCATCTGATAAACTCAGCTCGGACAACTCGATTATCTCGATTCGATCCAGACTTCTCTCTCTTTCTTCAGCTCCGCACCGTTCTCATCAGCTCTCCAACACTCGAAATCAGCTACAGCGTATGTAATCTTGCTGTTTACAGTCTCTTTTTATTGATTGACTAATGATCGTAGATGTCAGATACTCTCCCGACTACAGAAAAGCCAGCGGTGACCGCCCCCCCAGCAACCGGCCCGGTGTCGGCCAAAGACCGCATAATCACGCACATGAACAAAGACCACGAGCTCTCTCTGCGCGACTACCTGACTTTCTACAAAGGCATTGTACCTTCGCGCAACGTGCAGCTCAAAGACATCACGCTCGACAAACTCACAATCTCCTACGAACTCATCCACAACCGCGGCATCGACGAGCTCGAGGCGGTGATTGACCTCACGCCGCCGATGAAGAGCATGGCCGAGGCGCGCGACGTGCTTGTCGGAATGGCGCTGCAGGCGTCCGAGGGACTCGGATACGCTACCGTCACGCCTGTGGATGCGTTCTTGCCGCCGACAGCGCGGTCGGTGCCAATCATCCTCTCCATCCTCGCGGGGATCTACTACGTCTTTGTGAACTCGGCCGCGCTCGACAACCCAAACTCGGTGCTGCGCCAGTACAAGCTGTATGACTACGAATTTGTGCCGACGTTGATCAAGGCGGGCGTGTATCTGGCGCTGATATACCACGTCGGCGAGGCGCTTGTTCTATTTATCTGGACGGGAGCGTATCGCGTGCCGTCGCTGAAGCGCATGGCGTGGGTGGTGTCGGGGTTTTTCGAGGGATGGCCTGCGCTTGCGCGGTTCCGGTCGCTGATGGAGGAGAAGGATAAGGCGAGTGCGAAGACGAAGGAGAACGAGCATAAGGCTGAGTAGGAGAGTCTTTGCTGTTAGTACAATAGTTTCATAATGTATGGTGTCGTATGGAGTAAATAGCTCACATGGTCGAGAGGCATCCTATCGCTTACCTTCACCGTTGTCAACCTGCGACGAAGAAACAGTTTGCAAGTTGGTTGGAGAGTTTGTAGATTGTAGAAGTATGTCATATATTTTTAAAATAGAAGTAAGATGCCATTGTAACAGTTCAACCACAGCACTCCGACTTTGCTTATCCTGCTGCAATATTTACTACAACTACACCAAAAATTCCATATTTTATTCATATCTGTGGTATTTACATTTACAAATACATTTACATTCACATTCACATCCACTATTGCACCTCTTCAACCTCACACCGTGTGCCGAGACGCCGAGCTGAGAAACAAACTCAACCAAAAGCTGTGCGGCGCACTCGACTTCGGACTCGGACTTATAGCTCGAAAGCCCCGGCCCGGCCAAGAAAGCACCTCAAACCTCACCGCCCTCGCGCTTCCTTAAACCTGCTCATCCCCCTCGCTGCTCGTCGCTCGACAACGCATCCTGTGCTCGGACAGAACATCGACCAGCCTGTCTGACCACTTCTCATCTCTTCCTCACCCTCCTCCACCCCTCTACGACGACGGACGACTTCCTCCAGCCGACCCGTCTGCCGGCAGCAGCCAGCGCCGGCCTGCAATTGCCGGCCATGGACCACTGCCGGCAGCAGACCATCAACAGCGGCCACCACGCCTCCCCGGGCATCAGGTACCCGCCGTACTATACCAACGACCGCGTCAAGGCGTTCATCAACCACTTCTTCGAGATGGACGACGACGTCAAGAAGGAGGAGGAGTTCCTAGACTGCTTCGCTGATAGCGGGTTTTACATCGTCGGCCTGCAGACCGTCGCGGGCAGAGAAGGTGTGCTCTCCTTACTTCCTCACTCGCTCTTCTCTCTTCTCTACTAACCTCCTCATCAGCAATCCGCAGACTCAGAGCCCGGCTCTGGCAGCGCGTATACTCCCGCCGCCACGAGATCGACGTCGTCTTCCCCTTCTCCGGCACTCCCTACCCGCACACCGACACCCCGCACCCCACGCCCGCCACCCCCGCGCCGGCCTCGTCGCCCACAAACCCGAGCGCGAGCCCGCTCAACACCACCAGCACCGGCGCGGCCTCGGACGAATTCGCAATCTTTGGCCGCATCCACTTCGTCATGTCGGACGAGCAGGCGTTCCACTTCATGCACCGGCACACCGACCTGCAGAGCTTCGTCACGCGCGCGCCCGAACCGGGGCGGCCGCCGACGCAGGCGGTCTTGCTCACGCTCGAGTGGGCGGCGAGAATGCTTATTTCGCTCACGGATATGCGCGTCATGTTTTATCAGATCTATCCGTGCACAGCTACTATCTTGGAAGACGATCAGGTGCCGGCGACGTTGACAGATCGGTCGAGTATGGCGAGTTTGAGTCCTGCGATTCCTACCGCTATTACTACGCACGATCAATACCCGAATTACTCCTCACAACCACCACAGCAACAACAGCAACAACAACAGCAGCAGCAACAACAACAACAACAGCCGCAGCAACAATACAACATTCGTAGCCATTCAAAGTCAAAGAGCATGGCGGACTGGGAAAACGAACTGAGAAAAGAATGCGAGACAACAGTGACGGTCGCCGACTTATTCAGAGAGTCGACCTCGCGGTGGTAACATCTAAAGAAAAAAGAAAGAATAAGCATATGCATGGGTCGGCATGGGGCAAAGGTGGGTAGGAATGATAACTGGTTAGGCAGAGGGAACTATATCGGAGGGAAAATAAAACGTTATAATATGTTACACTATATATACACCAATGCGTCTACTCCAACTTGCGTCTAGACTGCACCGCCTGTCTAAACTCATCCACATCCTCACTATTCTCGCCCCGACCCTTCTTCCCATCCGCGTTATCTATATCCTTCTGCTTATAAAAATGCGGCGACACCTCCGTCAACCACTGCGGTTTAATCGTCATCACGTTCCGCATAAACTCCTTACTCGTCAACACAAGCTCGTGGTACAGCACCCATTTCGGCCGATTCTTCGCCAGCACAGACGACGGATGGATGTACACCGTCTGCGACGTCTTCACCGTCTTGTAACTATCCCCGCTCTGCGAGAACCGCGCCGTGTTTACGAAAAACCCCGACGTGATTGCCATCTTGATGCCCTCGACCGCCGCCTCGTGCGTGCCCGCGCTCGACAGCTTGACGCCCACGCGCTCGCACAGCCGCGACAGTTGCTCGCGCACGTCGCGCGCCCGGTTCAGACTCTTGATCTGCACAAAGTTCTCGGCCGCCCACGCGGCAGAGTACTCGGTCTCGACCCACTGGTTGTAGATCTCGAGCAAGGTCAAGTGATCCCCGTCCGATTTCTTGAACGCCTCGCGCGCGGCGTCGGCAAGGTTCTTTTTATCCTTGGGCCGATAGAACAGCGCCGAGGCCTCGCCCAGCATCGCGATGATCGAAAGCACTTCCTCGACGCAGCCGTACTTGTCGCTCGCAATCACCGCCTTTGCAAACATCGGATCGGTCGGGAACTCGGCCATTTGCCGCCCGAGTTTTGTCAGTTCGCCGCGGTCGTTGAGCGCGCCGAGCGCGTACAGATGCTCGAGCGAGCGCGCGAGCGTGTCGGTGGGTGGCGGGTCCATAAAGTCAAAGTTGAGCAGGTCGGTGATGCCGAGCGACATCAGGAGCAAGACCACGCTCCCGAGATTCGTGCGCTGGATCTCGGGCGTCGTGCTGCGCGGCAGCTCGTTGAAGAACGCCCATTTCGTGTACAGTCTGAAGCATTTGCCTGCCTGCACGCGGCCGGCGCGGCCGGCGCGCTGGTCGGCTGACGCCTGCGAGCACTGCACGACGACGAGCGACTCCATCCCGCTGCGGGGATTGTACACGTTCTCCTTGACGTATCCGGGGTCGATTACGTACACGATCCCGTCGATCGTGATTGATGTCTCGGCGATATTTGTCGCCAGCACGACTTTGCGCGAGTTCTTGGGCGTGGGTTCGAAGATTTTGGATTGTTGGTCGGGAGGGAGGTTCGCGTAGATCGGACAGACTATCAGGTCTTTGATTCGGTTGCCGAGTTTTTGGCAGTAGTCCAGGATTGTTTCCTGCATTGTCTCAATCTCATCTTGTCCCTAGATAAGTGTTAGTGTTTGTAGATCAACAATTTGTAAGAAGCTTGCTACATACAGTCAAAAACACCAAGATGTCGCCCGGATTCTTCGACGTGTGGATCTGAAACACAGTATTAATAGCCGCCTGGATATAATTTGCCTCCGGCTGGGGCGTGTAGAAGATATCGACGTTGTAACGACGGCCCGGGATCTGGAAAATCGGCGCGTCGTCAAAGAACGCCGAGAACTTCTCAGAGTCCATCGTCGCCGACGAAATCAGCAGCCTCAGATCCTTCCGATACCGCGCGATATCCTTCAGCAGACCAAACAGGATATCGGTGTGCAGTGTGCGCTCGTGCGCCTCGTCGATCATCAGGGCAGAGTACCCCGCAAGCTCCGGGTCGGTGAGAAACTCGCGGAGCAGCATACCGTCGGTCATGTACTTGATTATAGTCCTGTCTGACGACTTGTCCTCGAACCGGATCGAGTAACCCACCTCGTTCCCGAGCTTGACGCCCATCTCGTCGGCAACGCGCTGCGCGACCGACATCGCAGCCACCCGGCGCGGCTGCGTGCAGCCGACTTTCTTGCCGCCTTTGGTGTAGCCCGCTTCGTGCAGGTACTGCGTCAGCTGCGTCGTCTTTCCCGACCCTGTCTCGCCGACGATGATCAAGATCTGATGGTCTTCAAACGCCTGCAGTAGCTCGTCGCGGTACTGATAGATCGGCAAGGACGCGCGGACCTGCTTCATATTGACCGCGCGCGTCTCTGCTTCTTTAAGTCGCGCGTTCAGCTCCTCCTGCTCCTTCGACACGCTCTTGCCTGCCTCGAGCACAAAGTCGACCCGGTGATCCGGATCGTCGACAAAGTCGTACGTCTGCTCGTCTTCCGCGGCAGCAGACGACCGCTTCTTTGTCTTTGCGAGCGCGCGCCGCGTCTGCTCTTCCTCCCAGTGTCCTTCGTCCGTCACCGGCTTGCGCTTACGGTCTGAAGCGGTCTCCGAGTACCGCTTGTACATTGTATCTTTCTTGCGCTTCATATCCAACTTTCCTTTTTCGGTGATGTAATCGTCCAGCATCTGGTATCCCTGATAACTCGTATCGATATCCATGCGCTCCTCCGCGATCCGCAGCAGCTCCTTGTTATACTCAATCTCCTCCAACTGCGCCTTCGAAAGCTGCACGGATTTCGCCAAAATCTCATCATCTTTCACCTGCGCGCGCAACTCCTCCAGCTTCTTCTGCTCCCGCGCTTTCAAGTACACTTCCCGAGACCGGACTCGCATCTCAGGCAACACCGCCTCGTCGAGCTCGGCGCGCGCGCGATCGGCCCCGCGGTCGCGGCGACTGTCGCGCTCATTCAGGCGCTTGGCTAGCTCGTCGCGCTCGCGGATGTCGCGGTCGCGGTCGTCGTTGTCGTCCGGCATGTGTGCTGCTGCTTCCAGTGTGGTCAGCTGCTGTTGATGTAATGAGTGGAGGGTAAAAGTCTGTAGGGTTAGGCGTTGAACAATTGCAGGCGCGATGAGCAGAATCCCCTGCACATTCGTCAAATGTTCTGCTTAGTTACTGCCATAACAAAGACAAAGCAACAGCAAATACACCACAACTATCATTTAGGTGTCTGTTCAACCCCGCGGCGCACCTGAAATTATTTTGGCTTCGTCGGTATAAATTCAACGCTGAAGAAATCATCATAGTGGCGTCCAGCCTGTTCTTATAAACCCCATCTGCTACGCCTGTTTCTTCTCAGCAGCTTCTTTGTTGCAGTGTCTGAGTCGCGTTGGTTGTTTCTGCTTTGCTGTGGTGCTTTTAACTGGTACTTCGCCTCCCCTCTGCTCATTGTTCCTGTTCGCGTGCGCTGACTTCTCGCCCTCTTCAACAAAGAACTGCATCCGAAATGGCCTACCGCCCCGCCTTCCGCGCCTTCTCGCGATCCCTCTCCTTCTTCCGACAACTCCCCTCCTCCTCATACTTCTCCTACTCCACCGCCGCGGCCGCCGAACTCCCCCTCGCGGCCTCCTCCCCAATCCAAATCCTGCGCACAAAAGCCGAGGTCCGACACTGGCGCGCAGCGCAGACGCTGGCCGGCAACTCCGTCGGCTTCGTGCCGACAATGGGCGCGTTGCACGAAGGCCACTTATCGCTTGTGCGGTCGAGTCTGCGGATGAACGACAAGACGCTCGTCTCGATCTTTGTCAACCCGTCGCAGTTCGCGCCGACCGAGGACCTGGCGTCGTATCCGCGGGATTTTGACCGCGACGTCGCGCTGCTGTCGGAGCTAGAGTACACGCCTGCGGAGACGCCGAAGCGGATAGCCGCGCCGGAGGCGAACGTGGACGAGAGCGTGCTGCGGACGACGACGAAAGTGGACGCGGTGTTTGCACCGAGCGTCGAGGAAATGTATCCGTCCGGGATCCCGCTTGCCGTGTCTGAGCAAACAGGCGCGTTCGTGACGGTCGAAGGACTCTCGTCCCAACTCGAGGGCGCGATCCGGCCGCAGTTTTTCCGCGGCGTGGCGACGGTGGTTACAAAGTTTTTGAATATCGTGCAGCCGGACCGCGTGTATTTCGGGCAAAAGGACGTGCAGCAGACTGTTGTCGTCAAGCGCATGGTCTCGGATCTGTGCTATGGATGCGCGGTGGTTGTTGTGCCTACTTCGCGCGCGGACAACGGGCTCGCGCTGAGTTCGCGGAACGCGTACCTGACCGATCAAGTTCGCGAGGACGCGGGCGCAATTTTCAAAGGTCTGCAGCGAGCAGTCGACGTCTACCGCACCGAGACCGACGCGGGGAAGATAATTGCGGCGGTGGTGGAGACGGTGGCGGAGAAGATCCCGGTGGAGGAGATTGAGTACGTGTGCATCAACGATCTCGAGACGCTCGAGGAGCTCGAGCGGGTGCATCCGCTCAAGGGGGCGATTCTGAGTCTGGCGGTGCGCGTGCCGAATTCGTTTGGGGGGAAGACAAGGTTGATTGACAATGTCATTTTGTAAAATTGTCTTGAAGTTGCTGCATTTATGGGTATGATACAGAAAAGGGGAACAGTCTATAATACAACAATACATATCTATACATCATCCTCTCTATACATCGTAGCCATATATCGTTCTCCTGCTCTACTTCGTCGACAGTTCTATCGTAACCGGTCCGTCGTTGACGAGCGACACCTGCATATACGCCCCAAAAACCCCAGGCTTCACCTTCCCTACCGACGCCTCGCCAAACTGTTTCTCCATCTGTGCCATCGTGTAGTCGTACATCTCCAGCGCCGCCTGTGCTGTCCTAAACGTCAGTACTTTCTCTAATCCCAAAAAGACATGTCAAGAACTTACGCCCCTCAGCTCTATGGAAACTAGGCTTATTCTTCTTCACAGACGCAAGCAGTGTGAACTGCGAAATACACAAAATCTCCCCGTCGATAGCAACCACGCTCTTATCCCACTGCTTGCTCAGCTGCGTCGACCCTTCCGCAGGCGTACTCGACGACCCTTCCACAGCAGCAGCGGGCGGCGACGGGAATATTCTCAACTTGGTGATTTGGCTAGCCATCTGCTCTGCATCTTTTTGCGTGTCGCCTGCTTCGACTCCGAGGAGTACTAGCAGACCTCTATTGATCCTACATGCATATGTTCGCGTCAGCTTCTGCGGTCGACAACAGATATTCAGAGGGGGAGGGGGGCGCACGAGGAGATCAGGGTGTCGTCGACGGAGACTGAGGCCGAGCGCACACGTTGCACGACTGCGCGCATTCTTGGCTCTGGGCTGCGAGTGGCGGGATGGAGGAGAGGAAGAGGGAGGTGGTGGTGCAGGTTGAGAACTACTTTGATACTCAATGAGATGGCGCCGCACCGATGATCTTGAATTTACTAATTACAACAACTCGACTATAAATACAAAACAACTTGTTATAAATACAAAACACAATAAAGAATCCACCAACACCAACAATGCTTGATATCATATCGATATTATACACCCCCAATCCTCCTCCTCTCCCCCGCCACCCTCTCCACAACCTCCTCCCTCCCCACCCCCCCACCCTTCGCGACCCTAACGCTCGAGATCGCGCCCATCCTCACAATCTTCAAAACCTCCTCGCCCACACACTCCGCCACCGCCTCCACCATCTCCGTCGCCTCCTCCACACTCAACACCCCTCCGCGCCCGGCCACCGACGCGCCAGACACCCGCACGCTGTCGCGGATCATCTCGACTAGTTTCCGCAGCGGCAGATGTGTCGGCTTCGCGGTGCTCTGGCTCGCGAGGTGGAGAATGACGTCGATCGCGCTGTTGGGCGCGCAGGATTTGCCTAGGAGGTTGAATCGGCGTTGTTCGGCGGGGGTTAGTAGTCTGCGTTGGGAGAGCGCGGTCGCGCGGTCGGCTTGTTTGGCTTTGATCCGGGCGAGGAGAGAGCTTTGTCGGTCTTTGATCAAGGTTGGGCCGGTGGTGCCGGGTGTTGAAGGCGGTGGGAGCGGGATGAATTTGGATTCGCCACGGAGTAGAAGCTGGACCTGACTCGCGTCCTTCTTGAGTACCTGCTGCCGCTGCCTAACCACCGACGACGGCGACGCCGACTCTGGAAGTTTCGCAGCCGGCACCGCGACGATTGTCTTGTCTTTCTCTGCGGATTGCAAAAACGCGGCGCAGAGCGAGATGAATGTCCTGTTGCGCGAGCGGAGAAAGTCGGGCGCCGTGAGTTCGCGCTTTGTGATTGTGGACGGGAAGTTGAGAATATAGTCCAGCCCTGTGGATTTCTTTGTCACCGCGTACGCGTCTTTGTACAGGCCCAGAATCTGTCTCAATTCCAGCAGCGAGAAGTTTCTAAGCACAATCAAAGTTAGCATCCACTCAACCAACCGACCAAACGAAAAAGTACAGCACACACCTCCGACAAGACCGCTCGACATCAGCCTTAACCTGCAAAAACGACGTCTGCACACCAACCACATCCCCAGAATACACCATAAACAGCACCGTATCCAACGCCGCGAAAATCAGCTTCACCCGCTCAACCTGCTTCTCGAGCTCCGATCCCTCTCCGCCCTCATCCTCATCCAACCCTTCAAATAGCCGCCGCTCATTCTTCATCTTGTCGAGCTGCGCTCCAGCTTTCGAAGGAGATGCGGAGACGGTACTGAAGAAATCCATCTGCTTGTGCGGTTTGAATGAGAAAGCAGTTAAATCCTTCCGCGCCTGCTTGCGCGCATACTCCTCCACAAACGCCGCCGGCGGCGCCTGCTGCCGTGCGCGTTTCCGAGGGGGTTGGTTTTCCTGCTGCTGGTGCTCATTTTTGATGGCGGCTGTTGTTGCTGTGGTTGATCTTGTTGCGCGAGGCATGGTTGTGGTGGGGTGGAGGTTGTGGTGGAGGGTGGAGATGTGCGCAGGGGGGGATATCGAGGATATTGTAGGAGACTCGGACGCGTGAATCAAAGCAAATCTCACAAACGCGATTCTGTAAGATAGATAGCACCGCAGCACGACTATGAAAACACCAACACTGTAGAACCAGAAATAACCCAGCGAGCACGAAGAAAAGAAAGAAAGAGACAGTCAAGAGCAAGGAGAAAGCGCGAGCCAATTCCACACACGCGCTGCTAATTAAACTCCTCGGGGGCGTTCTTTTTAACGCGTTTTAACGCGTCGCGCGTTGAAACTTTATAGTGGGTTAATTTTCTTACTTGATTGGGAAGCGTCCGTTTGTGTAGGGTAAGTGTGATTACATGAGATATTATGTAAGCGGCTAAGACGGTGGGATAGAAGGAAAGAGTGAGTAGCAGGTTTATTGTTATGATGGAGATGAGAGAGAAGAAGATTGTAAGAATAATATATGACTATTATCAGCAATCTATGCTGGACACCCAAACCAAACCACAGATAAATGAACAATCAGAACAACAAAAAGAAGAAATCATGAATGCTCCACTCCGCAAGGCCGATACCGACTCTAAAGATCTAGTAATACAAAAAAAAAGAATGACTGTACAAGATGAGAAATGAGAAATGAAGACAGAGAACCGAGTATTATTACAAAAAGTGAGGAAGATCGTATCGTGCGTGACATGAGGAAATATAGAAAATATAAGATCAGATGACGGGAGTCGAAGTACCGGATGAAGAGCGACTCAAAGACGGGGGACCAAAGTAATCGTTTCTAGCGTTGAGCGACAACATATTCGTCGTGATGATATTCGTACTTCCCATCCTCGCCATCTGCGCGCGCTTGCCATACTTCTTCTTCCCGTTCGCGTCGCGCGCCGCGAGCGAGGTGATACTCCCGTACCGTCTCGACGCGCTCGAGATCGAGCTCGGCGGGAGCGCGGGCTGGTCGAGCTCAGAGAAGATGCTGGGCGAGTGGGCGCCCAGCTTGCGGCGCTTTTCGGCGACGTAGATGCGCCGCTGGGAGATCTCGTCCTGGGAGATGTGGCCGAAGCCGTTGTGTCTGCGGAAACAGGATTGGATGAGCGAGGAGGCGTCGAGGAGTTGGCGGGGGATTGTTTGGACGACTTGGAAGATTTCCATTGGGTCGCGGACGGACTCGATCTGGGGTTCGCTGAGTTTGAGGATCGTGAGGGCGATTCTGAAGAAGATTTTGGAGTCCTCGCTTAGGGATAGTTAGCATGGATAGTTGAAAAAAGGAGGGAGAAGAAGACGTACTAGAAGAAACAGTCCCAGACACGGGCAACAGACTCAATAGGCAAGACACCAATAAAACCACTCATAAACCATGCGGCGGTACACAGTGTAATCGGCGGCAACCTGACAATCATATCATCATGCATATACCCCTCCAGTCCCGCACCAATCTTATTCCATACGATCGGCAGCGACTCCTTGACGCACATCATTAACACGCCCTGGTCGATATTCGCGCCTTCGAGGTTGATCTCGTGCACGCCGGGTAGGTAACGCTGGGTCATGATGACGAGCATCCAGAATGCTTTTTCTTCCTCCATCAGCAGCAGCAGTAACCCAGCCACAAAGTTCAGACTCTGGCAGTATCCTGTTTTCGGAACGTAGAGCGAGAACGCATACAGCACGCGCCTCAGAGACTGCACGATCGGCGTCTCTGGCACGGACGAGTTTCGTCGCGAGTTGCTGCTGCCGCTTTTGGTCGAGCCGGGTGTGGTCGCAGGGGAGCCGCCGGTAGTAGTGGGTTGCTGCTGGCTGTCGGTGTCGCGGTAGTGGATGTTGTCAGGAAACGTTCGGTGCAGATCGCGCTCGATGAGCTCAGAGTCGACGGGGGGCGACCCGAGTCCGCGCGTCCAGAGCCGTTCGTAGAGACCTGGGTTCTTCTTCAAATACTCGGGCCCCTTTGCGTACCAGAACCAGGCCGCGCCTCGCCAGTCGATCGGGATTCCCTTTCTGATGTATCTTTTCGTCTTTTTTGATTTTGGCGGGAACGCGAGCGGCACGCCGTCGTCGCCAATCTCTATCTTGAGGTCGCGGAGATAAGTCTCCCAGCGCCGGCGGCGATGGCGCATGTACTTTTCGTAGCCGGCGAACCACTCATCGTAGTCTGCGGCGGAGATGTACTGGGACTGTTTGCGGAAGCCGTAGACGTCTCTTGCATCGGCGGGGTTTGAGGACGAGGAAGTGGATGCGGACGAGTGGGCACGGGGCAGGTTTGGTTTGACGGAGGAGAACGAGCCCGGGGAGAACGCGGGATGCGAGTTGCGGTCGCGGGAGAAGTGGTGCTGGAAGCTGCTGGAGAGCTCGGAGAAGTCGTCGCCGCCGACAAAGAACCGCGGCGAGGACGGGCTGTTGGGGGACGAGAGGTCGGGAGCCGAGCGACGGGCGGCGGGGATGGCGTAGAACTGGGCGGCGGCGGAAGTAGCAGGCGGCGGCATGCCAATTCTGGGCTTGGAAAGAGACAAGAGCGAGAGCGGCTGCTTCTGCCGTTGCTGGAGGTCAGCAGCCGACGGCATGGGTTGCAGCGGGTGGGTTGTTGATGATGGTGAAGATGGAAAGATAGCAATAGGAACAAAAAACTACTATCAGCGGCTCGGTAAGCGAGCAGATAGCCAAAACGGGAAGGGCATTCCCGGCACGTGATGTCACGTGGTAATGTCACGTGTGCATTTTACTCCAGCAGTGATGTGAAGCTGAGACAGCAGGAGCACTGCAGCACGGAGAACAAGGACAGAGAGGAGCACAGAGGAGCAAGGAAGATGTCATACGAATCGATAATATTCATTGCACGAGAGGTGATGGTGTACCAGATCCCGCCATTGAAGACATCAAAGGGCTACCGGGCGAGCGAGTGGGATGTCGCGAAGCCGCTGTGGACGGGCCGGTTGAAGGTGGTGGAGAAGAGCGTGCCGGTGCGGGCGGAGGCGTACGATTCGTCCGAGCTGCGGTGCGAGCTGATGCTCGAGGACGGGAATACGGGGGAGCTGTTTGCGACGGCGGTGTATGGCGCGAACGGGAAGGGGGTGGAGCAGGTGGTGGACTCGAGTCGGTTTTTCGTGATCCGGGTGGTGGATGGGGAGAGACATGCGTATTTGGGGATGGGCTTTCAGGAGCGGAGCGAGTCGTTTGATTTTAATATCGCGCTACAGGATTACAAGAGGTGGGTGGTGGTGAGATGGAGGGAGGGTGTGGATGAGGATGCTAACGATGAGATATGGTATAGACACGCGACACCGGGAACAGGGCTGACAGAGGCAACAAATGCGAAGGAGCCGACGAAGGACTACTCGTTGAAGGCGGGCGAGACGATCACGGTGGAGATTGGGGTGAGTAGAGTGAGTCGAGAGCAGACATGTGAAGACACGGGCTGACGAGGATCTGATTAGAACAAGACGCGACGGAGAAAGGCGGGGAGTTCGAGCGGGAGTAGTAACAGCAGCGGTGCTCTGCCTTTCCTTCCACCGCCGCCGTCAGCAGCGCAAGTGAAGCAGCAGCAGAGTGAACAGGAGGAACAGGATGATTTTGGTGAATTTGTGTCGTGAAGAGAATAAGAAGAATGACAAGAATGACAAGAATGACAATAAGAAGAACAGCGCATCTAATAACAAGGAATAAAGTGTAGATGAATCGACGCCCAACAAACGACGAGCCCCAACGAGCAGCGACTGACTACTAACAACTAACAACTACCAAGACAGACCCGCCTCCAAGGGCTTCGTGGCTCGCGGCCTGTGTACATCGACTGTACGCAGACTGCGCGACTCCTTTGTTTCTGCTCTTCTTCTTCTTCTTCTTCTTCTTCTCATCGTCATCGTCATCGTCATCACCATCTCTTCAACATCATCTCCTCTTCACTCCTCCTCGTCGCATGGCCAGTGTGACTTGTTGGGCGCCCAGACTGGCAGCAAGGCGTGGCTATACGCTCTTCTGGGGTCCGTTCTCCTTCTTTAGTCCACGTAGTTCTCTGTACTTCTATCCCCATCCCGCCCCTCGACGATCGTGATGACGTAAGGCCCTCTGCTCTCTCTTCGGCTCAGACTTATTTCTTCTTTCCGGCCGCGCTCTTCTTTGCCCCGCCATCCGCTTATCTTGTTCTTGTTCTTATATATCTTCCTTCTTCTCCTTCTTCTCTACCTACTTCTCTTCTCTATTCTCTTTCTATTCTCTTTCTATTCTCTTCTCTATTCTCTTTCTATTCTCTTCTCTACTCTCACCTCTACTTTCATCTCATAACTACTACTCTCACCTCAACTCTCTCCAATGGCCCCCATCTTCGTCCCCGCTGACCCTCACCACCCTCCCATCTCCCGCTCCTCGCCCCCCTACACCTTCGCCATCGGCCCCGCCGAGAAACCCGGCGAGACCCCAATCCGCCGCTCCGTCAAGGCCTCTCCCGCCGGCGAGCCCCTCATCACCCGTCCCGCTCCCGACGTCGCCACCAACTGGGATCTCGTCCAGTTCGTCGCCAAGCGCTACAACGACAAGCCATGTCTCGGCTCTCGCAAGGTCATCAAGATTCACGAGGAGACAAAGATTATCAAAAAAGTCGTCGACGGAAAGGAGCAGTCCATCCCCAAGAAGTGGAACTACTTTGAGCTCTCCCCGTACTCTTACATCTCGTACGCCGAACTCGAACAAAACGTCCGCGTCTACGGTTCAGGACTCAAATCCCTTGACGTCTCCTTGTTAGAGGTTTACGGCTCGACCAGGTGTGTATTTTCGTATTTCCTTATTCTTTCCTTATCCCTATCTCTCCTGCCTCCTGTCTCTTGTCTCCTGTTTCCATAAAACCGTCATTTGCTGACCTCCTCTCCTCTAGCGCCGACTGGCTCACCATCGCCCTCGCCGCCGGCTCTCAGTCCATCCCCATCGCCACCGCCTACGACACCCTCGGCGAGGATGGTCTCACCCACTCCCTCAAGGAAACCGAGGCCTCCGCCGTCTTCACCGAGCCCACCCTCATCAAGTCCCTAATACGCCCTCTCTCGCAGACTCCCGACCTCAAGTACGTCATCTACCGCGACGAGCCCGCGCCAAAGCCTGAGGACGTGGCCGCTTTCAAGGAAGCCCATCCCTCCATCGCCTTAATATCCTTCTCTGAACTCCACCAGAAAGGTCTCGACGCAAACCTCCCGCCCACCCCGCCCTCGCCGGAAGACATCTGCTGTATCATGTACACCTCGGGTTCGACCGGAACCCCCAAGGGCGTCGTCCTCACCCAGGAAAACGTCGTTGCCGCGATCGCCGGTGTCGATGGCGCCGTCGAGGGCGCCGTCAACGAGCACGACTACCTGCTCACCTACCTGCCGCTGGCCCACATCCTCGAGTTTGTCTTTGAGCAGGCCTGTCTCTTCTGGGGCGGCACCCTCGGCTACGGCACCGTCAAGACCATCTCCGACGTCTCCATGCGCAATTGCAAGGGCGACATCACCGAGTTCAGACCGACCGTCATGGTCGGCGTGCCTGCCGTCTGGGAAACCGTCCGCAAGGGCATCTACGCCAAGATCAGCGCCTCCGGCCCCGCCGTCTCCAGCATCTTCTGGGCTGCCTACCACGCCAAGGGCTTCATGAGCCACTACCGCATTCCGGGAACTGGAATCATCGACCACGCCATCTTCAAGAAGGTCAAGGAGGCCACCGGTGGCCGTCTGCGCATCATCATGAACGGCGGTGCCGCTATCTCAAAGGAGACGCAGACCTTCTTGGGCTCCGTCGTGTGCGCCATGATCCACGGCTACGGTCTCACCGAGACCTCCGCCAACGGCGCGCTCATGTCGCCTCACCAGATCACCGTCGGCACCGTCGGCGCGCCCACCGTCTCCATCGAAGTCAAGCTCGTGGACGTGCCCGAGACCGGCTACCTGTCCACCAACAGCCCCCCTCAGGGTGAGGTCTGGATCCGCGGCGGGCCCGTGTCAAAGTGCTACTATCGCAACGAGAAGGAGACCGCGGAGTCGTACGAGGATGGTTGGTTCAAGACCGGCGATATTGGTGAATGGGCGCCGAACGGCCACCTGCGCATCATCGACCGCAAGAAGAACCTGGTGAAGACGTTGAACGGCGAGTACGTCGCGCTCGAGAAGCTCGAGAGCGTGTACCGAACATGCAGCGTTGTGGGAAACATCTGCGTGTACGCCGACGCCGACCACGTCAAGCCGATCGCGATCATCATGCCCGCGGAGCCTGCGTTCCTCAAGTTTGTCAAGGACAAGGGTCTTGGAGATAAGGAGCTCGGCCACCTCGTGCACGACAAGGCCGTGCAGAAGGCGGTTCTTGATATGCTCCTTGACGCGGGCAAGAAGGGCGGATTGCACGGCAGCGAGATGATTTGCGGCGTCGTGATCACGGACGAGGAGTGGACGCCGCAGAACGGGTTCTTGACTGCTGCGCAGAAGCTCCAGCGCAAGAAGATCATGGAGGCGAACAAGAAGGGCGTCCAGAAGGTTTACAAGGCCAGCTCGTAGACTTCTAGTAGAGAGAAGGTGATGGTGTGAAGTCGGTCGTTGAGTGCGAATTAGGTGAAATAAGTGTTGTTTTTTGAGTGATTTTGTTTGATGTGTTTTGACCCTTCTCTCTTGTCTTTTTGTCTGATGTTTTGAATTGGTCGACATACATCTGTCGATCCTTCGTTGTTGTGATTCTTTGCTTCCACTTTCTTTTTGTCGTCCAGTCTACTGTTTTTGTGTTTGTATGTATGGGTCGTGTCTTTATGCGGTGTTTCTCTTGCATTATGTAACAATAATAATAATCCTCCTCTCATCCTTCTTACTCTCCTAAGCTTCTCTTCTACGAGAAAGAAAATGCACCTCGCATTTAAACTTCAAATCCGAACCCGAGCCCGCACGTCACCGCCGCCCCGCTCTGCGTCCGACTCGAGCTCATTAGCTTGCTTTCAGAACAAGGCCCACCGCTCGGACCGAATGCGAGGCAGTTTGCGGCCTCTTTTCTCGTTTGAGGACAGCGTTGGCGAGATAAGGACGGAAACGGGTGGGTTGATTGTGTTTTGATGCGAGGAGATGGGAGGGAGTGGTCTTGCGCTCGGGGTAGAAATAGCTTGCTCCTCCTCCTCCTCCTCCCTCTCTATACGACTATAGACAGACAATGGCAGCATCCTACGACTTCTCCAACAAAGTAATCCTCATCACCGGAGCCACCGGCGGCATCGGCCAAGCCACCGCTCTCGCCTTCGCCAAAGCCCACGCAAAAGCCATCGTCCTCGCAGACCTCCCCTCCGCCTCCGCCTCCGCCTCCACCCTCGTCTCGGCAATCACCGCCGTCTCACCTTCGACCTCTGCAACATTCTACGCGCTCGACGTGACGGCCGGCGACCAAGTCGCCGCGTGCGTGCATGCGACTGTCGCGCGCTTCGGATCGCTCGACGTCGCGTTTAATAACGCGGGCGTGCTCAGTAAGACTGCGTCGCTGATCGATACCCCGGACGAGGAATACGACCGCACGCTCGGTGTTGACCTTAAAGGCGTCTTCCTCGGCCTCAAGCACGAGATCCGCCAGATGCTCGCACAGGACCCTCAGGGAGGCGTCATTGTAAACTCAGCTTCCATCGCGGGAATTCTGGGAGGCCCGATGATTGCGCCCTACGTGGCAGCAAAACACGGCGTAATCGGCCTCACCAAGACCGCGGCACTCGAGTACGCCGCGCAGGGCGTGCGCGTGAACGCGATCGCGCCGTCGGCGGTCGCGACGGAGATGATTCAGCATTGGCTGCAGGACCCCGCGCAGCGCGAGTACATCCTGGGCGGGATCCCGGTGAAGCGCGCGGCGACGGTCGAGGAGATTGCGAATTCGGTGCTGTATTTGTGTTCGGACGCGGCTGGGTTTGTGAATGGAGCTACGTTGGTGTTGGATGCGGGGCAGACTGTGCAGTAGATGTAGATGTGTTATAGTTTCATAGAGGGTGTATTTATTGCTTGTATAATTGCTTATTTACTCGTTTTATTAACCACAATGCTGTACTTTAACTATCAAAAAAAAAACCGATCCAGAACATAGAAGACATAAATTACAGAGCAAGGACGGGAAGCGGCACCTCAGCAACACCGTACTGATCGACCTCCTCGACCGTCTCGGCCGGCTTCGCCGCCGGCAGCGCGAATCCCTCAAAGAACTTGGCGACGTCCTCGATACCCTCGAGGCCGAGGGGCGCGACGTGCGACACGTATCCGTCCGGACGCACGACGATGAGCGCGCCAACCTTCGGGTCGACGCCGTACTTTTCGTAGGCGTGGCCGTGGCCGTGGTGGTGCGACTGGTCGTCGGTGTAGATCTTCCAGTAGTCCTCGCGCAGGAACTTGTCCTTGGGGTGGAACGCGGCCGGGAAGTCTTCCCACTCGACGTCCACGCGCGGGCTGGCGTGGATAGTGAGGACCTCGATGATAGAGTCGATCTTGGCGCCGGCGGGCGTGTATTTCTTGATAAACGACTTGTCGGACTCGAGGTACGCGCCCAGCTCCTGCAGCTTCGCAGTCAGCTCGGGGCTCTTCTTGATGTCGCCGGCAAAGTTGAGGATGCGGAAGCGGCCGTCGGAAGGCATGACGTCGTTGATGTAGTGCGGCGTGGCCTCGGACTGGCTGACGACCTGGGCAGAGTCGAAGCGCATGCCGATCGTGGTCTTGGACGCGAGCGGGTTGATGTACTTCAGGTCGCCGAACTGGTCCTTCTGCGCGTACTTCTCGGACTTGGCTTCGAGGCACGAGGGGTTGTAGTCGATGATGCAGCCGCTGGCAAACGCCTTGCCCATCTCAAACACCTTGCGGAACTCCTCGAGCGACACGCCGTCGTCGTTCTGGCCGGGCAGATGGGGCTTGCCCGAAAACAGGCGCGAGAGCTTGTGGTCAAAGTTGATGAGGTCGTACGCGTTCTGGCGACGCTCGTCCTCGTACGTAGCCAAAATCTTCTGGTCCGCGAGGCCCTTGCAGACCCACGCGAGCTTCCAGCCGAGATTGTAGGTGTCCATCATCGACGTGTTCATGCCCTGGCCGGCCTTGGGCGAGTGGGTGTGGCACGCGTCGCCGGAGATGAAGACGCGGTTGTGCTTGTGCCACGAAGGCGAGACGCGCTGGCCGATCTGGTAGGCCGTGTACCATCTGATGTCGCGGACGTCGATCGTGTACGGCGCAAAGATCTTTTGCGCAGCGCCGAGGATGAACTCGGGCGTGATCTGGGAGCGGTCGACGCGGCCCTTGGTGGTGGCCTCGGTGCCGGCCTCTTTCTCAGACTCGGTCTTGGTGTTGGGGTCGCGCGGGGTTTCCTGGAGCTGGATGTAGAAGCGAACGACGCCTTGCTCGCGCGGGATGACCATGATACTGCCGTTCTCGGCCGAGTGAATGGCGCAGCGGTGGCGGATGTCGGGGAAGTTTGTGAGCGGGACGGCGTCGAGCACGCCCCAGACGTAGTCGGTAGACTCGCCCTCCATCTCGATCCCGAGCTGCTTGCGGACCCAGGAGTGCGCGCCGTCGCAGCCGACGACGTACTTTGCGTGCACGAGCTCGACGTCGGACGCGGCAGGGTCGACGCTGTCGTAGTACTTCTCCTGGTCGCCCTGGAACTGGCGGAAGAGGCCGTTCGCGATCTTGCCGCCGTACTGGTCCGGCATGGCCTCTTCCTCTGCAAGCTTCTTGAGCACGACCGAGACGGGGTAGGCCTCTGGGTCGTCGACCTTGGCCTCGTCGATGTCGATGGAGAGCGGGAGGATGCCGCGCTCGATCTTGACCTTGCCCTGCGAAGACTTTTCGATGGTGTCGATGAAGTGCGACTCGATGCGGCCCTGGTGCAGGACGCACTGCTGGAAGCGGGAGATGCCCTTGACGGTATCGGGGATGCGGGCGGAGCGGAAGAGGCTTCCTTTTCCGTCGGGTTCCCAGAAGCAGACCTCTGTATTCGTGTTAGCAGACAATAGAGAGACAAGAGACAAGATGAAGAAAAGAAGGCTCACCCTGCATGTGATTGGACTCATTCCAGGGACCGTCGATGCCGAACGAGCGGAAGACCTCGAGGGTGCGGCACTCGAGACCGTCGGCCTGGCCGGCAAAGATCTTGTCGGTGCGCTTGTCGATGATGCGGCAGGAGACGCCGGTGCGGGCGAGCCAGGTGGCGGTCATGAGGCCGGCGGGACCGGCGCCGATGATGAGGACGTCTACGTTTGATTCTTTTCCGACCATTGTGTAGAGAGAGAGTGTGAGTGAGTAGTGCGGAGAAGTGCGGAGAGGAGGAGAGGAGGGAAGAGGAAGAGAAGAGAGTCTGTATATAAGCACTGGCCGAGCGAGTTTGTGGAGAAGTCGAGCTGCCGCGCTGGACCAGACGCGCGATGGGGGGAGGAGGGGCAGTCCGAATACGGCAGGAAATCAATAGGCGGCCAGCGCCCGAGCATCCTCGCTGCCGCAGCCTGAATAAGGCGGCCGTCAGCCTGAGTCAATGCGGGGAAGGGTTAGGGCCGGTACCCCACGTAACCCGCCGGCTTCGGCGCGGAGTCTCGGAAGCGGATAATCAAGTCAGGCGAGGATTTGTGGGAGGGGAGGAGTTATAGAAAGGGTGCTGCCTCCACATCTGGTGTCTCCACAGTCCTGACATATCTCATATTCATACATCTCTCATCTCATAAGTTCATCACCACCATGCCGGAATACAAACCCGTCCCGCTGCCACCGCTCAGAGACCTCAACGATGACAACATCACCGAAAACACAATCATCGTCAACAACCAGTCGCCCTCCCCCCGTCTGCGCTACGTGTTTGCCCGACTAGTCACCCACCTCCACGACTTTGCCCGCGAGACCCGGCTCTCGTCCGACGAGTGGATGGCCGCGATCGAGTTCCTGACCGCCGTCGGCCAGATCTGCTCCGAGACCCGCCAGGAGTTCATCCTGCTGTCGGACGTCATGGGCCTGTCGTGCCTCGTCGACGTCATGAACCACCCCAAGCCCGCCGGCGCGACCTCCGGCACCGTCCTCGGCCCGTTCCACACGCACGACGCGCTCGAGTTCAGTCAGGGCGAGTCCATCTGCTCGGAAGGCAAGGGCGAGCCCGCCCTGGTCTCGATCACGATCAAGGACACCGCCGGCCGGCCGATCGAGGGCGTCGCCGTCGACATCTGGGAGACCGACGAGACCGGACACTACGATACCCAGTACGCCGACCGCGAGGGCCCGGACTGCCGCGGTATCCTAAAGTCGAACGAGAAGGGCGAGATTGTGTTCAAGGCGATCAGACCTGTTCCGTACCCGATCCCGCACGACGGCCCGGTCGGCAAGCTGCTTGAGAAGCTCGGCCGTCATCCGTACAGACCTTCGCACATGCACTTCAAGTTCGACAAGCCCGGCTACGACGAGCTCGTGACGTCGCTGTACTTGCGCGGCGACCCCTACGAGACCACTGATGCTGTGTTTGGCGTCAAGTCGTCGCTTATTCTCGACTTGAAGAAGATCGAGGACGCCGAGCTTGCAAAGACGCACGACTTGAAGGTCGATGATTATCTGATTACGTATGACTTTGTGCTGGTCACAGACGAGGAGGCGAAGACGCTCAAGATCAAGAATGCGGAGGAGGCGTTGAAGAAGCTTGGAGTTACTGCTCTGGTTGTCGAGGGATTGCCGATCGATGCGCTGGACTAGTCGATTGTTTAGTAGCTACAATATATCATTGTTTCATTACCTCTTACAATTCCGCTCTGTTGTAAACAAGTACAATTCCGTCATAATATAAATATCTACCAATTGCAGTCAGAAGAACAGAAAAACATCAGCAGAACTGATTGCAATAGACTCTCGCTGAGTGGCCAGCTCTGTTCTCCCGTTCGAGCAATTGCGGGGCACCCGGCCGCGCGGAATCTCAGTTAACGCGATTAAATTCATTCATTTTTCCCCAATTTTTTATTTTCTTCCCCGCCGCCATTGTTTACTTTCGGTTCGGTTGCCAATCGGCAGCTCAGCTGCGCAATTGGCTGCTTCCACTTCTTCCTCTTCGGTCTTTGCCCTCGTCTCCTCTCCGCCCGGCTGTCCGGCTTTGTTGACTTTGGCTCCGTCGGTCGGCTTTGGCTGCTTTCGTGGGTGTTTCGTCTCGTCATCGTTCAGTCGCTCGGCTGCTCTGCTACCGATACCGATACCGATACCGATACCGAGTTCCGAACTGCGGTAAGCATCGCTCTGTATTCGTAGTTTCCCTCTTTTGATAGTCGATAATTGAATCGACAAGGCATCTGTTAGTACATGCTGACGTCTACGCTGACATCTGCACCACCAGTCATTCACTCACTGTTCACCCAATCACCATCTCCCATGTTACTTACATAATCTCTGACGCATCTTCCGAGCCCGCGATAAGACGAAGAACCAAGACGAAGCCATCCTCTTCTATCCGCTTCGCCCTCGATAACCACCATCTTCCTCTACATCATCATCGAATAGATAACAATGCCTTCTTACAAAGGATCCTGTGCTTGCGGCGCCGTCAAGATCGAGGCCGAGATCGACGACCCGACGTCTGTCTTTATCTGCCACTGCAACGCGTGCAAGATTAGGTGCGTCTCGTCTCTTATCGTTTATAGATTATTCATCTCGCTGACTCTTCTCTCTTCATCAGACACGGCCCCTTCAACTCTGTGATTGTCATCCCCGAGGACAAGTACAAGATCGTCGAGGGCAAGGACAACCTCTCCGTCTGGGCCTACACCGCCGACTCCGGCAACCCGCTGCCCAAGTCCTTCTGCAAGACCTGCGGTGTCGCACTCTTCGCCACCGCCGTCCCGCTCCCGGGCATGATCATCGCCACCGCGCCCACCTTCACCGAGGCCTGGAACTCGGGTGAGCTCCGTCCGTCGGCCCAGGCTGATGTCGCGCAGAAGCTGTCCTGGATTGACACTCTTGCTGAGTTGAAGGCCATGTAGGTGTACAGTGTGTGCACACTTTAGGTTACGTACGAAGCTTTACGCGGAAGTTAAGTTCTGAGCCGTATGCTCGTCACGCAGCTAGGCTCGTACTGGAATTCCCTCGCGCGATTTGCCTTGCTGTATCTCAGTTTCTTATCTTTCTTTATATCCTCATATTATAGACAATAGAATTAATTACACTACTCTTAAAAACCACAACAATATAGAAACATACAGACAACATTTCATCATCTCCACGGCTAAGACCTGTCGCCGTCTCTATTCTTTGGAACATTAAACCTTAACCTAGTAATCACTTGATTTATTTTCGGATCAAGCAAAAACAAAAGAAAAAAAAATATCTATTCTGGGTCCGCAGCTGAAAATTGCCTCGCTGCTCTGCTCTGATATCGCTCGATAGCAGCTGTTGTTGTTTTTGTTTGTTGTTGTTCTTCTTCTTCTTCTACTACTACGCTTCTCTTATTCTCCTCTTCTTCTTGTCTTCTTGGTGGTCTCGTGCCTATCCTAGACTGTGTGATCCGATCTGCATCACCATGCGCCCCCCCCATCCCATCATCGCCGCCTACATCCTCGCCGGCGCAGTCGCAAGCTACCTCCTCCTCTCCTTCATCGTCCCCTCCTTCTCCTCCCACATCGTCCCCCACAGTCTACAATGGGACCAGCCAGAGTCCAAAGACACGAACCTTGGTGGCGCGGCGATCACTCCCGCGCCCGCCCCAGCTATCCCCTCGCCTTCCCCTTCCCCTTCCTCGGCACCCACACCTCCTGCGCCGCTCACGCTTGAGGAGATCCAGGAAAAGGAAAGTCACCTGCTGGACTCGATCAAGGGTATGGCGCGCGACGTGCTCGAGCCAAAGGGATCAAAGATCGTCCTTCTGAGCGCGTCGGATGGGCATGGGCATAACAACGCGATCGCGAACCTGTTTGAGCGCGCGACTTCGAATCGGCTGCAGTACTGCGCTTTTCATGGTGTGTTTCTTTCTCATCTACTTTTTTTATGCTACTTTTCTCCACAGTAGCTAACACTCAACAGACTACGTCTACCAATACATCGATCTCTCGAGATACGAAGCCGACGGCCGCAGCGCGGTATGGCACAAAATCCCCGCCATCAAAGACACGTTCGACCTCCACCCTGACGCCGAATGGATCTGGTGGCTGGACATGGACGCCATCATCATGACGCCCACGCTCGACCTCGCCAGTCTGGTCCTGAACCCGGACGTGCTCGCGCGCCGCATCACATACGGCGAAGACATCAACGACACAAACGGCAAGCCGACCGGCGTGCGCGTCAACTCCACCCTCGACGTATCTGACGTTGATCTCGTGGTCGCGCAGGACTTTAGCTTGAACGCAGGCTCGTTCTTCCTGCGCCGGTCAGACTTCACGTTCGACCTGCTCGACAAATGGCTCGACCGCGCGAACCCCGAGTTCAATCAAAACAACGAGCAGGACGCGCTTAATAGGCTCATCGTCCAGAACGAAGACATCCGCAGCCACGTCGGGTTCGTCGATCTCCGGCTGATCAACGCGTTTGGGGTTGGCGGCAGGGATATGGGCTGGTACCCGGGCGATTTGGTGGTGCATTTTGCGGGGTGCTGGGTGCATAAGGAGTGTAGCAAGCGGTTTGAAAAGTTGTGGCCGCAGCGGCATACTTTTGATCGCGATTTTTGATTAAGATAGACTGAGAGTATATAGATAGGATTGGTCTTCCTCGTTTATGTTTTTTTGACTATTTCATGTGCTTTTTGCGTATCATCTCATTTTGGTTATTTCAGTATACAATGCATATCTACACAAGTATCAAAGACCTGGCGATGACGTCGTGGCAGATGACGTAACCTCTGCAGAAGGTGGCATCAACTACGCCCCTCTTTCCACTCCATATCAAGAGTCTGATCCAGAGCAGAGGCAATCGAGGTGTAGAGCTCGTTTGTTTTAGGAGACTGTTTCATGAGAGGTGTCTGAAGAGAAGGTCTGGTCTGGTTCATGACTCGAAACGGATACTTTCGTCAGCAACCACCTCACCGACGTACATCAAAATTCCCCTCACCCACCCTTCCAACCCCTTCAAGCAAGTACAAAACCTCCATTCGTCACCCACTCCAAAACCAGAAACCCAGCTCTGAACAAACTCGAACCAGCTCTGCAAAACTCGGAGACCAGAACCGGCGCAAATCGCCGCCTGCACGGATCAGGATGTGGGGTACCTTTAGCCTGTCCCGATCTGGCAATTCCAAAACTGAAAAACTCCCACCGCCCCGCGAGGTCAGAGGTGATGATTGCCTGTCTCAGAGCGCAGATTGAACCCCTCCGGCGCCATTCGCTGGCTATAAATGCGCGCGTGCCTGTCCTTTCTCTTATTTTTCTGTTCTGTGTAGACTTCTATTACTCTGCTTACTATCTTATATTCACTTTCTGCTCTACTCTATTCACAATGACTAAATACGACGGAACTTGCGACTGCGGCAACGTCAAGGTCACGGCCGAGATCGCGGATCCTACCAGCGGCATCATCTGCCACTGCGGCGAGTGCAAGATCAGGTATCCCCCTCCCTCTCTCCCTCCCTCCCTCCCTCCTCTCAACATCTCTCTAACACTGCACAGATACGGCCCCTACAACGTCGTCTTCGCCGTCCCCGAAAACGACTACAAAGTCGTCTCCGGCGCCGACTCCCTCAAGACCTGGTCCTACACCGGCGCCTCCGGCAACCCCGTCCCCTGCAGCTTCTGCAGCAACTGCGGCGTCAACCTCTTCCGCAAGGAAGCCACCCTTCCCGGGCTCACCGTCGTCATTGCTTCGACCCTGGTTAAGGGGTGGGAAAGTGGTGAGCTTAGACCTACGCAGTCTTTGCTTACGCATAGAGCTTTGCCCTGGATTTCGGAGGTTGGTACTTTCAAGCAGTTGTAAGTGCATACTGCATGAAGCAGCTGTGATTGCCTAGATTATCAATGCTCTGGCTCTTGCCTCAAAATGTACTTTCAAAATATACTTCAAAAATACACATCAAAAACACACTAAAACACCACCGGCATCTTAAAACTGCTAATCAGATTGATATAAAACCGCGTCCCCTCCGCCGACGCATCCCGACACAGCTGGCCCGACCTCTCCGCCGCCTCGAGCTCCTCCTGCGCAACCATCACGCTCCATCCAAACCGCTGATTCACGTCCTGCGTCGTCACCCCGATCTGCGCCGTATGCTCCTCGCCCATCTGCCGCATCCACTCCAGCAGCATCCGCTTCACCTTGCTCTCGGTGTAATACGCCTCCTGCACCACAATCACGCCCGACCGGAACTTGCGCATCCGGAACGGCAGCTTCAGCCGCTCGAACCCGGAACACGCCTTGTAGAAATCCTTGGGCGAGATAAGCGAAATGCCCCGCGCTCGGTTGTACAGCGCGTACAGATCCACAAGCGTCACGATCCCGCCTTCCCGCACTAGCACCCCGTTATCCAGAAACTCTGCCACCTGCCGCGCAAGCTCGTCGTAAAACGTCTCGTCCTGCGACCCCGCCATCTCCCGCACCACCACCGGCGACGACAGCGACAGCGCAGTCGACGACTCCAGCAGCGCCTTCCGTGCTTCTGGCGACACGCCCGGCGCGCTCGACAGCCGCCGCGCAAGCGACTCGGCCAGCGCGACCATTTCCTGCGCTTTGCTCATCAGCGTGTTGAGGTCGCTTAGCGAGTCCATCAGTTCGCTCGTGTGGTGCCGCTGCTTTGCGTTCATCGTTTCGAGACCGTGGATTCCTAGGCGTGGAATGTGATGGTGCTGGACATGGGTTTCGTGTGCTCCGTCGTTGTCTAGGTGATGATGGTGTGTATCGTCGTCCTCGGCGTCCGGCAGATGCGACGCCAGATGCGGATGGTGACGATGGTGCTGCTCCCACGCGCGCTCCCGAATAACAACCTTCAACTTCTCCAAAAACGTCTTCTCCCCTCCGGTTCTAAAACTAATCTTCACAAACGTAATCTCCTCATCACTCCCCACCCCCGGCGTCGGCGACCGCGAAAACGCAGTAATATCCTCCTTCAGCGTGCCGTGGTTCGCCAGCGCCGGCGGCAGATTCCGCGACACCAGGTCCGCGCCACAGATCTCGCACTGCACCAGCGACGGATGATTCACAAACGTGCACCGCGGACACGGGAACCCAGTGTCGATCTCGACCTCGCCTGCGCGCTGCACGGGCGGCGTGCTCCCGCGCTGCTGCTGGCGCTCCATGAAGTCGATCTTGGCGGCCGCCAGCACGGCGGCCGCGGGACTGATCCCGCATGTCAGACAAGGTGGCGGGGTTTTGTCCAGGTCGGCGAACTTGATTGCGTTTGAAAACGAGCAGATCGGACAGATCCAGCTCGCGTTCGCGTTCGCATCCGGCGCGCCGCTGGCGGTTGTCGCTGATACTGGGCTCGGGGCGGGTAGTGTCTGCGAGCCATTCTCCGCTGCTGATAGAGTTGATAAACGCAGTGCCTGGGGAACCAAAAACAGCGAAATCTTGGGCGACGAGCGTAAGAGGCCGGGCGAGAACTGGATCCGCGTCACGCGCGCGAGATCAACGGCGACCGAATGATTCACCGGTTTCGAGTTGTCGACGTAGCATGCGCGGTGTGTGGTCAAATACAATCTTCCGTTTTGAAAAGCGTCTACCTTGTATCGTCTATGCCCACTCGTCAGCAATTTCTCCACACCTCCAACTCATTATAATAAAGAACGCAACATACCCTTCATAAAGCCCCACCCCGTCTTGAACTAAGATCACCACCTCATTTGGAAGAAGATACGGACGTCTGGCAGAGGTCAAATCAATCGGTGTCCAAAACCGCATCCAAAAACCTTCTCAGACAGTCGCTGCGTCGTATGTTTTTCTTCTCTCTCTCTGCTTTCTGCTGTCGTGTCTCGAGAAGAAAGGAAAAGAACAGAGCGATGGAGTTGGGATCAATTCCGCCGCAGCGTGGAGAAGAGTGTCACGTGTATTTGTTACTCAGCTGTAGCGTAGATGTTAGGTAATCTCACGAGGTCTAGATAAGATTAGACCTTGCGATATAGCTGATGTCTGTTCAAATATCAGATACACCTGCTACACGCAAGACCGAGCGAAAGGGGGCGACGACGACATTCTTTACTCTTCTGTGATCTATGTGGATACAGCAAAGAGAGTCGACTGTATATCATCATCCACTCTCAACTCTGAAGACGGTTCGGGGACGACGACGACGTCGGGATGCGCTTCTGGACTTCAATCGATCTGACGGCGGCGCATCGACCCGTGCTGTATGACGACGAGACAGATATCTTGGTGCAGGACGCGGTTGGTATATACGAAGGGTGCGTTTTTTAAGTTATTATTTTGGAGGTTATTGAGTGTGAACGTGGTTGCTGATACGAGACGACTGCAGACGCACGCGATTACCTGACTATCAGAGCGGACGGATATACCTGACATCCCACCGGATTTGCTACGTCGACAATGCGTCTCCACTCCTACGCTCTGTTGCAATCAACCTCCCAGACATCAAAGCAGCGCAGTACAGCGTCCGGTTCCTCAAGTCCTCGCCCAAAATCACGATAGAATTCGCAGACAAATCATCCTCCACTTCCACCTCACCCGTCTACCCTTCTTCCGCCTCGTCAACACCCAATGCCTCCTCTGCCTCTCTTCCAGCACCATCAGCAGCAGCCTCGGCTTCTAATCTCTCGCTGGTCTCCAGTGTCTCGTGGGTCTGTCCCATCTGCTCGTTCTCCAACCCCTTCTCCTCAAACTACAGACCCGACATCTCACCCATCCCCGCCTGCGCAACCTGCGGCGTCAAACCCCCCGAGTCCGTGATAAAAGACGCCTTGACGGAAGGCGGCATCACATCCGGCTCGGCCTCGCCCGACAGCACCAGCAGCCAATCCACGTCTCTGACCGAACCCGACAGCGACAGCATCGCGTGTCCGAAATGCACGTTTGCGAATAACCCCGCGCTGCGGTTCTGCGAAATCTGCGGCTCGCGGCTGCGTGTTTCGACGCTCAACGTATCGGACTACATACTTGATAAATCCGTCGCGCGGAAGGAGTCGTACCTGCCGTTCTCGTTCTCAAGTAGCAGCAGCGGCGCGGATAGCGAGAGGTCAAAGTACGCGATGCCGGTGCAGGAAGAGGTGCTGAACTACGTCAAACTGAGTTTTCGAGGCGGCGGCGACAAGGAGTTTTTCGAGCGCCTGAAGGTCGTCTTGACGGACAAGACGTGGCTCCAGAACGCGGCGCGCAGGAAGCAGGAGCCATCCGTGATTGTCGTCAACAAGACTCTGATGGATAACGAGATGAAGCAGGTAGATGAAGAGCCCAAGCCGCCGGCGACACCAACTTTTGGTATTCATGGACTGCAACGGATAAACGAGCGAGAGAGGGAGGATAACAAAGATTTGATGGGATCGTTGAACGATCTCCAGTCCCTGATGACCAAAGCGAGAGGCCTGGTCGCTCTCGCCGAGAACTTCGCCGTCCGCCTTGCGTCCTCGCCCGGCGTACCGGACGAAGCTCGTCGCGCGTTACGCGAGTCGTCAAACGCACTAAATCTGTCATCGCCGATCGTGACCAAAGAAATGGCCGGCGGCGGCAGCAACGAGATATACTACGCCGAGCTGGCGCGGCAACTTGCCGAGTTTCTCGAGAGCGGCGTGCTCAAGAACGAGGGCGGGATCGTGACGCTGGTTGACCTGTTTGCGCTGTACAACCGCGCGCGCGGGATCTCGCTGATTTCGGCGAAGGATCTGCGGAGCGCGTGCGATATGTTTGAGAAGCTGAGGCTGCCGTTTAAGTTGAGGCAGTTTAAGAGCGGGTTGATTGTCGTGCAGGAGGCGGCGAGGGCGGATAGTGTTGCGATCGCGATGCTGGTGGAGTGGGTCAAGACGGCGCAGAAGAAGCCGTTTGAGGAGGACGATGGAGTTACGGCGCAGGATGTCAGTCAGCATTTTGGATGGAATGTCGGTGTTAGTATGGAGGAGCTAGAGGTGAGCGGCCATTCCATCTGCTTTTTTGAGTATACATTGCTAACCAGCTTTTGTCATCACAGACCGCACAGGAACAAGGCAAGCTCGTATCCGACTCCGTCGTCGGCGGCACGCGCTACTTTATCAACACCATCGTCTCTTTCTCCTGGGACTGGAAACTCGACGTCTTCAAAGAGAAAACCGGCCAAGTCGCCAACGCGCTCGACCTGGCTGCGCTCGAGGAAGATCTCTCGCTGCTTGATCCCAGCAGCAGCACAATGGTCACCGGCCAGGCATACGTGCCTGCGAGTAATATTCATCGCGCGGTGTTGACTAATGAGAATAGTCTGTTATAGATTACTGCTTTTGTTTTCTGTTGTAATTAGTCTTTGGGTTTTGGTGTAAATGGTCTCGAAGCGTGTTGTATATTGTCGATAGCTTAGACTAGTCTATAGAATCGTCTACTTGTAGTTATAATGTCCAAGCCTAGTACCTCGTTGGGTCTATCCAGACAAGATCAAGAACAGAGAATATGCTGCACAAGCGATCTACACCGTACTGTATTGCAGTAGTATTTGTCATATGACCCTACCAATTCTCACTCGCGAACGCACGTGGTATGGCGATGTTTTGTTTACACACTTCCCAAATAAGCCGTCCCTCTAACCTCCCACCACGCAAACTCGCCCTCACCGCCCGAATCGAAACGGCATCACGACCTTAGAAAAATTATGTAAAGCGAATCGGACTGTCATTGGCCGGACTCAAGTTCCGGATAATTTGCCCCCCGTTCGCTGCAGTACTTCACCCGCGCTTCCCGCCGCCTCTCTTCCCTCTCTCATCATCATCCACCATATCCCCCAAACTTCCAACTTGCCCCCAAAGCTTCCAACAACCCACCAACTTTTTTCCCAAAAACCCAACTTTGTTTTTGAGCCAATACCTGAGTCAAAATGCATTCCTGGTCTTTTCTCAAGAATATCCATCTCGTGAGTGGCATCTACGTGTTTTTGAAATCGGGCGCTCCGGAATCGGCCTGCTAACTTGACTGCGCGCTTTTAGCTTAAGGAGAAGTCCCCCAAGGCTGAACAAGCCTCCAACGAGCCCAAGATGGTGAGTACCATCGATCCTATGTCATTAAATTACAGTATACTAACAGTTGCTTTGCAGAAACGTCACTTTGTCAAGTGCAACGAGGCCATCAAGCAGAAGGTCAACTCGGTCCTCAGAGTCTTCCACCGCGTACGTGATACCCTCAAGATATTCACCAAAACCAAACAGCGCTAACAGAACTATTATTACAGAAATCATCTGCCGTGTCTGCTGAGAAGTCTGCCGTCTCCAGCGAGCTCCAGCACGTTGCTGTTCCTGCCACCGTCGCGCCCGCCGCGCTCGACCAGGCCGACTCTGCGCCTGCGGCGGCCTCCACCTGTCTCCTCAAGGACGAGTCTTCCTGCGCTATCACCGCCCCCACCGAAAAGGCCGGCAACAGCTCTTACCAATACGCCGCCTCGCTCGTGTCGACCTCCGAGCCTACTACTGCGACAGACAGTACCTTTGGGTTCATGCTCACGCGCACCAGCGCCCATACCGCGGCCACGACTTACGAGTCCCTCAGCCCGCTTTCCTCCTGCGACGAAACCAAGCTCGCAGAGACTATCAGCTACCCTTCGCAGCTCCTTCCTGAGCTCCTTGTCTCTGACCACTGGGCAGACGAGCTCCTCGCCGCGCGCGATACCGTCGCCTCTGTGCAGCTCTGCCCTGGTGAGCCCGAACGCGCGCTCACCCCCCGCGAGGCCCCAGTCTGCCTCCGCCTTGCCTCGCTCTCTGCGTCCGAGAACTGGTTCACCGACTGCATCCACGCCCTCGAGCGATCGGCCGCGAGCTACCGCGCCAGAAGACGCACCAGACGCAAGACCCAGACCGTCTACGCGGTCTACGAGGAGCCCTCCTCCGACTCTTGCCCGGCTCCGCCCTCCACTCCGGTGGACCCTAACCACGTTCCTGCTTCCCAGGATCCCGTGACTTCCTCGGCTGCTACGAGCCCCTTGGACCTCACCGCTGACTCTCCCAGCGCGACTGATGAGCCAGCAACCACCGCGCGTGCTCATAAGCCTGCGCCTTACTACTCCTCTCTTGGAGAGTGGTATGCTGCCAATCCCGAAAGACCTCGACGTCCGATCGACATAGCGCGGGCAGAGCTGTTGACGTCAATGGCGACGACGCCGGCATTGACGCCGGAATCCACACCCGCGACGACACCGACTGCGGCAGTCGAAGACGATGTCGCGGAGGTCCTTTCGCCCAAGACGTTGCTGCGGGATATGGCCAAGACCATTGGCGCCGTCAAAGGCGCGGTGAGCGATGTTTTGTCGCCTACCACGGCGCGAGTCGGAGTGCTGTTGAACGACTACACGCGGTGGGCTATATCTGCTGTTGAGGCGCGGGTATCTGAGTAGCACTGCTGTTTTTCTGATTCCCTCGACGCCTGTCTCTTTATACCTTTTGTTTTCCTATTGTTATACCTATATTGTTTCTGTCCTGCCTGGAAGTTCTGCTGAGTTTTGGTCTCCTCTTTTCTACTTTTCTTTTTTGATGATTGGCTATTATTGTGTTTTATGCGGTGTTTTATATCAATTCTTCGCTCCGAATCGGAACGATAAATACCTGGAAGGGAAATGGTGGTGACCCTTGAGTACTGTCTGCGAGTCTTATGACTGTTTAATATATGTCTTTTCTGCTTCTTTTACTGTAGTTCTGTGCTGTAATCTCGAGATCGTAGAGTCCTTGTCGTAGAATTGCTGGTCTTGCTGGCTTGTGCTTTTCTTCGTGTACCAATTCTGCACTCTTCATTAATGACGCCGTATTTTTTGAAGGTGACTTTGTTTATTGGTTCATAGTGATTGTTTGTTGCTCTGATGATGTGCAATGGTGCGGAGCCAAAATAAACATATAAATTCAGCCGACATGGACTTCACAGTAACGGTGCAATTAATCAGTACATGTCTCTTCACCAAATTGTTAATATATTGCTCTATTAGATAATACCCGTGTAGTATTTGAATGAAGAAAGAAATGTTTGGTGGTGTCTTCTTATTACCTCAGTCGGAGATCGTAAATGGGAGCAGCTGGCAGCTCCATCGAATTGAGTTTCCAAAAATTAGATGACTTCAGATATTCCCACCGGCTGAAATCGTCATTGCAAACCAGTTGCAAGTCACTCCCTCGCAGCACCTTCCCGACATGCCGTATAGAGATGAAGGACCCCGCTGCAATTTTTCGGAAATCTCTAGATCTTTCACGGACTAGACGGTCGCTGTTAACGTCTGCGCTCGAATCAGGACACGACCCAAAGATCGATGTCAGAACTGCACTGTATAAGCGGCAGGTGCGCAAGGAGATGTGTAAGAGACTACACGATATTCCGCGAAAATCTATAATATCACAATGTGAGTGCTACTGGATTTTGTTTATGGGGTAAATGTGTTGACTTGTTCGTGCTTCGCAGCCGAGATAGTTGCGCGGAGACTTCGAAATCTCGAGTGGTATAAGGAGGCAAAGAACATCGGCTTCTACGCTAAACCGTACCCCGGAGAAGGCAAGAAAAGAAATGACCTCGAAGTAGGGATACTTTCGGACAAGATGATTTATAACGCATTTGAAGATGGTACGTTTCCATTGGTTTTGGGAGGGATCGTTAGAAAAGTGCGTCTGATCTGTGATTACTATAGGAAAAAATGTGTTTTTGCCGCGGATAACGCCCACGATTGATATGAAACCGGAGAATCTCGAATATTTACAGACCGTCCTAAGACTTGCTACTAAATATAGCGAATATCTACCTTTCTTCTTCCTGGAGATGAGCCAGATCGAGAACTACGAACAGTCGCGGCAACTCATCGATAACTACAACCCAAAGAAGCCAGTGAAGGATCCGCCTCCAGGATTTGACCGTATGCGCTATGATTCGTGACATTACTTGACAAGCCTATCTAATTTTTGTTGTATAGCATTCGACTCTGCCGGCCTTGATATGATCATTGTTCCCGGAGTAGCATATAATAACAAAGGAATGAGACTAGGCCGTGGCCAGGGATTTTACGACAATTACATTTTCTTTCATCGGGCGTGGTCATTAAATCAGAACTTACCAATCCCATCCGTTAGTAAGTATGCGGGAACTACACACACTCGAAAATACAGATCCTAATAATATATATCATCTACAGTCGGCATGGCTCTCGAAGAGCAGTTATATCCCGACCACGAGCGAATCTACGGACCGAACGACAAGAGATTCCTCCCGCGCACTACTGCCGACACTCCGGTGTTCAGATCCGTGCTTTCTGAAACCGAACTGCAGCAGGTGGAGAAAAGGATACCGGCATTTGTGCCCCACACACAGCACGATGTGTATATGGATTTGGTCCTCACGCCTTCTCGAGAATATGGAATTCTTGAGCAGGAGGTGAGAGCGAGCGAAGAGGGGATGAACAAAGAGGATGGATCGGCGGGTTTTGTAAATATACCGTAGATAGAGGGCGAATATGAAGTACAAGAGCAATATTGAAAAGCGCGAGGAGGCTTTGATGAATATAGTCACTTCGCAAGAACATTTTATTGTAATACACAATCTACCAACGAATTTTCCCTTTCCTTCTTTATCTTACAAACTCCCAGATCCTGATTTATCTGTTCGAGGCATTCAGGCTTCCAGACTCGAGATAAGAGTAATATTGTCACCCTTCAATAATATCCGACCTACACGAGATATATTAGCGACCCCAGGTTCAAATCATACCAGAAGAGACAGACTACCTACCCAGCTTTCTCCGCAGACTTGTCTTCTCGTTGACCTCTGTAGCGTTATCGATCACCAAATTCATAAACTCATCGAATCCCTAGCACGAGATCACGGTTAGTTCGAGCTGTTCTAAAGCAAATCCCCTTCCTTCGCCGCGCTAATCCATATTCAAATACGCGAGAGACAGCAACACATACTCTGATGGTTCCCTCCAGTCTGGTTTCTGTTTGCTCATACAGCCAGATCTGGACCGTAGACCGCTGCTGGAGCAGTTTGAAGATGAAGTTGATGGGAGGGATCATCTGTTGCCCTGGTTAGCGAGATCCGACGTCTTATCGAGGTCCTAAGACTGCTTGGTGTACTTACCACCCGCTGTTGCCGCCGACCAGACATTGTAGATGAGTTTCTATGTTAATAAATCAACGAATGTGGATAGAATGTTCGTAGCGTGTCGCTGTTGCAGATGCGAGTGACGAAGAGGGTCTGAGATGGGTTGAGAGCGAGGTTAAAACTTGTTTTGAGGAAGTTTTCCTGGAAGAGCTCCCCTGACCCAGTTCGCCAAACAAAGCGCACGACTACGTCAGGACCTCGACGCGGAAGAAATCAATCATCTTCTTTCTGATATTACAATCATCTGTTGTTTGTAAACAAAAAGGATCCGTTTCTGGTATTGTTTACTGGAAGCATATCTGATCGCGCAACTCCACACATCCACCGAGTCGCATTCGCCAGGACCCGTTCTATCTATCTCTTGTCGCTACAACGCCAGCCATGGACTCGTCCGCAAACACAGCGAGTGATCCGGCATTATCGCCACTATTGCAGGCTTTGAGCGCACTCTACGCGGGGAACTCGGATGCGCAGACAAAGGGACAAGCTGGTCAATATCTTGAGCAGTTTCAGAAATCGGTATGTTGTTACACGCTCCCCCGCCTGCTCTTGATGCGAGGTTCCGAGATTGATCGCAGTTGTATTTTCTAACAATTCTTTCTTGCAATCTATCTAGCCTGAGGCATGGACTTTGACTCATACGATTCTGTCGTCGCCTACTCAGCCGATGGAGGCCAAAGTGTTTGCTGCGCAGACGCTTCGAAGTAAGGTATGTTGTGCAACAGATCTGGAACTGCTCTGCATGCAATGCTGGCTTTTACTAACTTTTTGAAATGTAGATCATTTATGACATGCATCAGCTTGCAGAGGAGAACAAACTTGAGCTGCGAAATTCAATAGTCACTCTCTTGGTCTCATACAAAGCCGGACCCAAGCTAATTGTCACACAACTCTGCCTCGCACTCGCCAACCTAGCAATCCAGCTCACGGAATGGAAGAACGCAATTGAAGAAGTTATAACCGCCTGTGGTAACGACGCGACTTCTGCACCGATTGTTCTGGAGTTTCTCAAAGTCCTTCCGGAGGAGGCTAGCGACATTCGCAAGATCCCTCTCTCGGGTGACGAATTGCGCGAGCGAACCATGGAGCTGTTGCAGAACAATGCTAATCAGGTGATGAATATCCTGATTGCATATGTGGAGGCTGCCGAGACTCCAAAGTCATCGTATGCTTTGATCTTCGAGTGCCTCAACTCTTGGCTCCGTGAGGTTCCTTTGGTGCGCATAGTCAATTCTCCTTTGCTCGGCCTTGTCTTTCAAGCGCTTGAGAATGACGATCTTTTTGACGCCGCGACCGATTGCGTGTGCTCTATGATTCGCGAGACCCGTGACGTTGATGAATCTATGGATGTTATCCCGACACTCTACACTAAAATCATGGAGCTTCGACCTAAAATTGCCGGCTCAGCAGAGGATCCGGAGGCGTTCAGAAACTACACCAGAATATTTGCTGATGCTGGTGAGGCATGGCATATGCTTGCTGCGCGCAACCCTGCACAGTTTAGACCTATGGTTGAAGCTGTGGCCGAATGCGCTGCATATGACGAGGACCTTGAGGTTGTACAGTTTACGTTCTACTTTTGGTATCTCCTAAAACAGATGCTCGTTCTGGATCGGTACGAGACAGCGCGGAGGGAGCTGAAGGACATCTACCTGAGCTTGGTGGATGTCATCATCAGTCATTTGAAATATCCTTACGAAGAACATGGAGGTGATTTGTTTGGAAATGACAAGGAGCAGGAGGAAAAATTCAGGTCGTTCAGACATGAGATGGGAGACGTTCTTAAAGACTGCTGCGCGGTGGTTGGTCCTTCGTTTGCTTTACGAAAGGCATATGTCAAGGTCAATGACTGTATACAAGCTCAGAAGAGCGGCCAGAACGTGCCGTGGCAGGACATCGAAGCGCCGATCTTCAGTATGCGCGCGATGGCGCGGGAAGTCGATCTTGATGAGACGCATGTGATGCCCGAGATTATGGATCTGTTGGTCCAGCTTCCGAAACACCCCAAGGTTCAATTTGCGGTGATTTTGGTTCTCGGCCGGTATACAGAATGGACCGCAAAGCATCCCAAGTATCTTGATATGCAGCTGCCCTATATCACTGGCGCGTTCCAAGACGGCGATGCTGATATTGCCGGTGCCGCAGCGCAGTCTATGATGCACTTTTGTCGCGATTGTGGACAGCATCTGGCTCCGTATATTGATCAGCTGCACAGCTTTTATGAGCAGGTCGCCCCTAGAATTCATCTTGACTCGCTGTATGACCTTACGGACGGTGTGGCTCATTTGGTAGCTGCCCAGCCCATTGACAAGATTTACGAGCATCTAAAGTCGTTCTGTATGCCGATTGTCCAGAGACTGTATGCGAGAACGAGCCAGACGATAGACGAGGATAACTGCCGAAAGGCAGCAGACGAGCTCGAGCTTTTGGATACGTTTGCGCGCCTGGTGCATCCTTCAGTCGAGCGCGGGACGGCTAACCCGTGTATGCAATTCTGGATCGAGATTTGGCCACTGATCAACACTTTGCTCGATACAATGGGAAGCTCGACTTTTGTCTCGGAGAGAATCTGCAAGTTTATGAGGACGTTGATGCAGTCTTACCGTAACGACTTTTATCCTTTGCTTCCGGCAGTGGCTGAGAGATTGGTGGATAGCTTTGAGAAGCATCATTATGGTTGCTATCTGTGGGCTAGTGGTATCTGTGTGCGTGAGTATGGTAACGAGTACTCGGATCAATCTACTCAGGAGGCGGTTTGGAATTTTGCCCTGCGCCAGAGCATCTCGATGTTTAAGTACATGAGCACGATCAATATTGCAGATATTCCTGATGGTAAGCTTTACTATTGGTCTTTTGGCAAATCTGCGCGTGATGCTAACGAATTTTGTATGCAGCTGTCGAGGATTTATTCAGACTACTTGCCAATCTGATGACAAACTACCCATACCGATTCCTGCAGTCTGAGCTGTGCAAGCCTTCGATCGACGCCGCACTTGCGATTTTCGCGATTGAGAACAAAGAGCCTATCTTTACGGCGATAGACTTGCTGCACGACATTTTCTCGTATGGGTTCAAGACACCGCCGAGATCGCACATACTGTTTAATGAGCCCGGAGACCAGTTCTACGAGGCCAACGAGGTTCCGCCTGAGATCCAGGCGCTTGTGAAGCAGATGATTTATACAGAGGGTGCGGTGTTCACGCAGCGTATCTTTTCAGGACTCTTGTACACGTTTCCCAGAGACTGCGTATCAGACGGAGTTAGTGTGCTGCTAGTCGTTCTGAGGCTTGCGGGTCTCCCTAGCTCGGTTCAGTGGGTTGATGCGACGCTGAACATGCTTCCTGCTGGAAGCATTACGCCACAGGAGCGCGCAAAGTATCTCCAGGATATCGAGAACGCGATCCAGTCGGACGATATGAACAAGTTGAGGAGTCAGAGCATGGATCTTATTGGCTGGTACACGCGCCGGAATATCACTCCACGGAGTGCTGTTCGCAGGATTGGAGATATCAGGGATATGAAGTTCAGCTATCAGTAGAAGTGGATTGAAGACGGGGTCAGTAAATAGGAGAGTACAGTGAAGGCCTGACGGCGAGAGAAGACAAGTTGTTTATGTAACATATTTATCTAACAGAGATCCGAGGACTGCCACCCTTTTCTTGGCAAAGACCAAGGATTTGGAGCAGTTCTTACTGATAATGGGATGCCTCAGAGGTGACTAAGTCGAGGTCGAGTGAAACCTTGGCACATAAATAAGGATCCCAGCGTGTCTGCAATAATATCCTCCATCATTCATACAATACGCAACAAACAATACGCAACAAGGACGAAGAAACACAAACAGCAGCTTCTACAATTACAAATCGTGCCAAGGGTGGCGAGCACACGACCATCACAACCAGCAGAGCCCAGATAGTTCTAGTTCTGCGAGGGCACAAACTGCGCAGAAACTCAAACTTCCCAGCCGCGAAGGGCGCGCACCATTATGAGCTCTTTTCGCCTTCATCCTTTGTTCACTCGACCAGCCTTTTTCTTTACTTTCGCCCTTTGTGATGGCTCGTGAGCGGAATTTGCCTTCAGCAGAATAAGTTTCGGCCAGGAACATCATTATTAAGCGACCTCTGTCTGTAGTCTATATAGCTACCCTCTGGGGACCTTCTCGAGCTTTTCTCCCATCTCGATTATTGATTGCCCACCCACGTTCACCATGGAGGACCAGCTCATAGTCTCGGATCTCATCCATATCCGCAACATCCACTGCGGATCCTGCGTGAAGGCCATTTCGGCAATTCTCAACTCTCTTCAACCCTCACCTATCAAAATCGAAACATCCGTCGCTGACAAAACCGTCCGCGTCGACCACTCCGACGAGCTCTCCAGCCAGGCTATCCGCTCTGCACTCAAGCATGGTGGTTTCGAACCCGTCATCTCTGCAGACGAGGCTGCCAAACCCCACACAACTCTTGCTGATGCTGCGTTCTCGTCAAAGCCGTTCCCGTTCAACATCGCCGCCAATTGGTATCGTCGTCGCAACCATCGTCAGTTCTGCGACTCGTGCCACTCTGATCACGCGCCGCTGTTCCAGCGGAAAAAGCAGTCGGCTGGTGACTCTGTCACTATGACCAGCGTCACCGAGGAGAGTGAGGAAGACGAAAAGACCGAATATCGAGCTATTTTCTCGATCGGTGGCATGTCCTGCGCGTCTTGCACCAACGCAATCACTGCGACTGTCAAAGAGATACCAGGAGTTCTCGAAATTGGTGTCGATCTGCTCGGAAACTCAGCCACCGCTGTTCTGGCCACAAAGAGCTTGGCGGACACCATCAAAGAATCTATTGAGGATATGGGCTACGAATGCGACATTGTCGAGGTTTTACCGGTATCCCAATCAGGAGAGCAGAAGAAGACATGGAAGGTCACCGCGTCTATCGGTGGCATGACTTGCGCATCTTGTGTCAATGCTTTGACTGAGTCGTTCAAGCCTCTGGATTTTGTTCTGGAGACGAACATTACTCTCCTGACCAACTCTGGCACGTTCATCGTCAATACACCGAAGAAAGTCGACGTTATCCGCGATACCATCGAGGATATCGGATATGAATGTGGCGAAATCACCGTTACAGAGGACAGAACCTCTGTGTTGAAAGCCCAGTCCCGTACAGTCATGATTCGCGTTGACGGAATGTTTTGCGATCAATGTCCCAAGCGTATCAACGAAGTACTGGAAGGATTCGGAAAAGCTCTGGAACTTCACTCTGGTCCTGTCACGCTCGACAATAACGTCATCCGTCTTTCATATGTCCCGTCTGTGCCCACCGTCACTCTCCGAGCAATCATCAAGGATCTCAGCGCACTTTCGCATCAATTTACCTTCACCATTATCCACCCTCCCACTCTCGAAGAGCGTGCTCAGCAGATCGCGATCGCCGAGCGGCGCAGATTGTTGCTGCGATTGATACTGAGTGTCGCGGTGGCCATTCCTACTCTGATTATCGGCGTAATCATGATGATGGTTTTGCCTAAGACAAACAAATACCGCGTCTGGGCGATGGAACCTATCTGGGCGGGTCAGGTAGCGCGAGGAGTCTGGGCCATGTTCATCATGTCTACGTTTATCTACTTTTTTGCGGCGGATATCTTCCATCGTAAGGCTTACAAAGAGCTTCGAAGCCTTTACCGCCCCGGAGTTCCTTTCACCAGAAGGTTGTTCAGATTTGGATCTATGAACTTATTGGTATGTTTTCAATTCTTTTACTGGTAGCTTGGAGTGATGCTAACAGCTTCTTTGTGCAGATGAGTCTGGGTACTTCTGTGGCTTACTTTGCTAGTATCGCCCTTTTGGCACTTGAAGCGACCATGGATCCGACCACAGGCCAGATGACGATGAAGCGAAGTGAGACCGATAAAACGAAATCGAGCTACTCCACGACGTACTTCGATTCAGTCGTGTTTCTCACCATGTTCCTTCTCGTCGGCCGTCTCCTCGAGGCGTATTCTAAATCAAAGACTGCCTCGGCGATCTCGCTGCTAACCAGCTTGCGGCCTCGTACAGCTCTGTTGGTTGACCCGGAGACTGATAAGACAGAGGAGATTGATATCGATTTCCTTGAGATTTCCGATACCGCTAGAATCTTGTCTGGAATGTCACCTCCAGCGGACGGTGTCATTATTTCCGGAACTGCAGATTTCAACGAGTCTGCGCTAACTGGCGAAGCCCTGCCTGTGTCGAAGGGACCCGGTGACCAGGTCTTTGCTGGTACCTCGCATGCTGGTGGTGGTACCGTTACTATGCGAGTCGAATCTCCAGAGGGAGGGACGATGCTCGACCAAATCACCAATGTCGTTCGCCAGGGACAGATGAAGCGAGCGCCGATCGAACGTGTGGCCGATGTTTTGACTGGATATTTTGTGCCCTGTGTGACCTTGATTGCCGTCATAGTCTTTGTTGTCTGGCTTGCTCTCGGTCTGTCGGGATCACTTCCTGACAGCTACCTTGATATCGACGTTGGCGGATGGCCAGTTTGGGCCCTTGAGTTTGCCATTTCTGTCTTTGTCGTCGCGTGCCCCTGCGGAATCGGTCTTGCTGCGCCTACTGCCCTCTTTGTTGGTACGGGAATTGCTGCCAAGAACGGAATTCTTCCTCGCGGAGGCGGTGAGGCGTTCCAGGAAGGATCGCAGATTGACGTGGTCGTTTTCGATAAGACTGGAACGTTAACCGAAGGCGGAGCGCCAAAGATCACAGACACCCTGTTCCTGTCGGAGGATTGCAAGCCTCTGGCTATTCAGATTGCTCGCGACTTGGAGCTGAACTCTACTCATTTGCTTGCGCGTGCGTTAGTCGATTACGCAGAGCAGGAAAATGCTCTTGGCGAAGTCGAGTTTGAGCTTTCGTCTGAAGAAGAGAAGGACCAGCAGTCTGCATCTTCGGACTCGGATGACTTGGATGAGAAGCTTGCGCGATCGGTGACTCTTGATGATAGCGGTAGATCAAAGTATCGGGTTCATCTCGGTCCGGTCAAGGTCGATGACATCTCAGAGAAAGCAGGCCGTGGTCTCCGCGGTCGTGTCATTGGTCTTCAACCTGGCGTTGCGGACGAAGAGAGAATAGTCGAAGCGATCATCGGAAACGAGAAATACATGATTGAAAACGGCGCTGAATTGACAAAGGAAGAAGACGCGGCGATGCTAGAGTGGAAGAAGGAGGGAAAATCAGTGATGCTTCTCGCTGTCCGGAAGAAGACGCAGAAGGAATTCAAGGTTCTCGCGCTTTTCGCTGCTGCTGACGCGCTCCGCCCTGAGGCGAAGTATGTCGTCGAGCAACTTCAGAAGCGGGGAATCCAGACTTGGATGATTTCGGGCGATAACGAGATCACAGCGAAAGCCGTCGCGAGTCAGGTCGGAATTCCTGAGGCTAACGTGATTGGTGGTGTTCTTCCCCAGGAGAAGGCAGAGAAAATCACCTGGCTGCAGAAGACTGCGTCAGTGGAGAACGGGAAGAAGGGAAGTATTTTCCTCGGAAGGAACCGAAAGGAGCGATCTGTGGTTGCCATGGTTGGTGACGGTATCAACGACGCACCGCCTTTGACTGCTGCGGATGTTGGAATTGCTATCGGATCCGGCTCCGAGATTGCGCTCTCGTCTGCAAAGTTCGTGCTGATGTCCTCCGACCTCCGGCAAATCCTGACGCTCTTCGACATCTCCAAAGCGGTGTTCAGACGGGTCATGTTCAACTTCATGTGGGCTGGAATCTACAATTTGATTGGAATCCCAATCGCTGCGGGTGTTATCTATCCTGCCAATCATGCGCGGCTGGCGCCTGCTTGGGCCAGTCTTGCGATGGCGCTCAGTTCGGTGTCGGTTGTCTGTTCTTCCTTGGCGTTGAAGTTATATCGGCCAAAGAAGTATGTATATTAGAGAGGGGTTGTCCTGATTTTTGTTTGGCTTGTATTATAGGCAAATAAGTGGTTGCATTAGGTTGTCATATAATGATTGTGGTTAGTTGGTGAGTAATGAATTTGAGTATAGTTTCATTCTTGTTTCCATTCGTAGATCAGTGCATAGTCATTCCTCCGTCGACAGTCATTACCTGACCAGTAACATAGCTGGAGGCATCAGACAACAGAAACAAAACCATATCCACCATTTCCGCGGGCGCAGCCTGTCGCTTCATTGGAATGTTTGACAGCAGCGTGTTTTTTGTCTCGGCATCAGCAAGCCAGTTCTTCGTCATCGCCGTCTCGGTTAATCCAGGAGCGAGTGCGTTCACGCGGATCCCACTCTCCGCATAGTCCATCGCCGCAGCGCGGGTGAGTCCTACCACGCCATGCTTGGAGGCGATATACGCCACCGAGCCTTTGTCGCCAACGGTTCCGAGCGTGGACGTCGTGTTGACGATCGAGCCTCCGCCGGCGGTGGAGATCATGGCCGGGATCTCGGCTTGCAGGCACAGAAACACGCCCTTCATATTTATCCCCACCACGCGGTCGTATTCCGACTCATCCACCTCCGCTAGAGGCTTTCCCGAGCTGAGAATTCCAGCGTTATTAAACGCGCAATCAACCCTTCCGAAAGCAAAAACAGCCGCTTTCACAAACCCGTGTACTGAGGTCGAGGCAGTGACGTCGAGCGCGTAGACCAAATGCTTTGTGCTGCGATTCTTCTCGAGAAAAGGTGCGAGGATCGCATCGCAGCCGGCGGTGTCAACGTCGCCTAGGCATACTACTGCACCAGCTTGTAGCAATATCTCGGTCACGGCGCGACCGATACCGCCGGCGGCGCCGGTGATGAGGACGACCTTGCCGGCGAAGTGCGGGGAGAATGATGACATTAGTTGATCCGCGTACGATTTACTCAGCTAGCGAGATATATGGAGGGCGAAATGTTCTGTATAGATAGACTGCTAAAATCAATCAATAGGAAGGCAAGTAGGTTATGGGAAAAGATGGTGATACGATTATTTATCGTTAAATATTGCCGATCTGTCAGAGATCAGGCTTTGTTTACTTTTCGGCTCGTTTGGGTAAATTGGAAAATGGGAATATGCTACGAGCAAGGAGCCTTTTGCGCGCACTTATTACGACGTTATTTTTATGGAATAGCTCGTTTCTACTTAAGTGCATATGAGAATACAGTAGTGACTATCATAAGGCTTTTTGATTGCTATTGAAAATAAAAGAAAATACTCCAGATTCCGTGAAAGATAGAAAGAGAAAGCATTGCTCTCAGCTTGGATGCATCGGTATACGACTCCACTATGCAAATATCTCCCACCCATCAGCTCTCCAGCATAGCCTTAATAGTCTACCGTCCAAACTCGCTAAGCAGCTCGCAGTGGAGTCTATGAAGTCCGACTAACTGCTCAAACTTCTCGATAGGCGAGAGCGTTTGCGAGCACATAATCTCTCCTATCCGCAGCTCGGTCGCCAGCCTGTACGCAGTCAAGCACAACGGGTTCCAGGAATTAACGTTCTCGTTTCCGCTTCTGAGATCGGCGCACGCGACGACGACGCCGGGGCCGTATCTCGCGAGGTTTCGGACTCGGCGAGAGAGGATTCGGGGGTGGGCGGGGGGCTCCATGTTTGACTGTAAGCGGCAAGTAGACAAGAGATCGACTATAATCAAGAGAAGCTAGAGATTGGTAAGATGTGAACAGCATTTTATATGGGAAAATTGTGGTATATAACAGAGAAGAGAACATCGACCGAGCATTCGCTCCTTGTTGACAGATCAACGAGCGAAGCATCTCAAACCTCCTCGCCCTTTGTCCCTTTGATCCAGCGCCTCTCCGGAGGTTTTCGACCTCGGCACAACGCGCAGCTCAGCCTAGAATCTCTCTCTTCCGATAAATTTGTCTGTCCGTGGCAACAAGCACCCGCCATGGCCCGCTACTGCGAGAACGTAATGTTGAATTACAATCCATCCTATTGGCCTTTCGAGGCTGGTTTGTTCAACATGTCAGAGCCGCACGGTTAATGGCGGGGAGGGCTAGGGCTTCTACAGGGCGCCACTCATCCCGACGATATCTCGAGAAAACGAAAAATTCAGACAACAATATTCGGGTTGCTGCACGAGATCTAGGAATACTCTACTTTAGAGCTGTCAATTTGTGTTTTCTGTCACCGCAATGGGATCTGCCGCGTCAAAGTCCGCTCGTCGGTATCCAACAGCCAGCGCGCGAGGTGGTGTAGACCAATTGCTGAAGGCGACCACGCCCCAGCCTATCCCGAAACTTGAACGGCCCCCGAAACCTGTCATAAGCCAGGATCCAGAGCCGCTCGAGTCGGTTATTATGGCAGCAAAGGTTGGGGAAAAGAAACAGCATACGGCGGGGACTAAGGCCGTAACTGCCGATGACTTGCCGCCTCCGCCGCCGCGAGCTACGAGGGTGAATGATCCGGCATTGGGATTAGAGGATTTTGAAGCTCCAGGTTAGTTTTGCTGTTTATGAGTATGGTTACTGGTATTGTCGGATATTAATGAGTGGCATTAGGCGGAAATTATAACTCACAATTAAACAACATGCTGAAGAGACTCGGCCCTGTTGATTTGGGTGGCAGCGTTACACAACTAAACAATTTCCGAGTAAGCACTCTTGAATGTATATGATGACTTGCAGTGAGAAAATTTGCTAATTATTATTGTATAAGACCAATCCTGTGGCGCAAATGTTCAAGGTCCGGGATGAAGTGGCACGGCAAGGGAAGAAACAGGAAGAAGATGTTACATCAAAGCGGACTCTGTTTTCATCTGGCGAGATAGCTGATATTATAGACTCAGCAAAGCAAGGATGGTCCGAACAACGTATCGAGGAGCACTATAATATCGAAAAGGGTGTGCTCGCGAAACTCGGCACCGCATTCTCCAAGTTCGAGCCAGCGCAGAAGAATGAGCCTTTACACAATGAACAGACAGGAAATGATTTTGATCAGCTGGTGTCGCATGGAGAAGAGTATATGGACACGGCGTTGAACGATCTGGAGAAGAAAAAAGCTGAGGCTGCCGAAAAGAATCAGACCGCACCTAATGATTCTTTTGTTGATTTCGTAAACCGGATCATTGATCAGCCAGGCACGCCCAAAGTGCGTGCATCGATCAAGTACGAGAGAGTGAAGCCTGCCGAGAATGACGACGATGATTATGACAAGCTGATGTCGCACGGTGAAGAGTCGTTTTTGTTCAACGATGCAAAGCAGGCAGAGACACCGAAACCAACCGAAGCCGACGGGGCTACAAAGCCAGCAGACACAAGGGCTCCTCCGGAGTATATCAAGAGGTATTTTGAGCAAGAGCAGGGGAGCGGGAAGGCATCGGTTTAGAGAAAGCGAGCTCTTGTTCAGCGATATCAGATCCTCATTTTATTGGCGTTGGTCTTGTGAATTTCTAGAATGTAGTTAATCTCGTTGTAAATATTATTCCGGTTTATCAAACTACTAGTTAATCAGCTACGTTCTTGTAATAAAAGAATGGGTATCTCAGATTTATCGCGTGCTTCAGTTGAAGGTTCAGGCAAAAGACTTGTTTTCAGGGGTTCTTCAACCTCCATCTCAGCTTTTCTTTCCTCACCACTTACAAAAACGCACTCCGCTATTCATCGCGCACTACACACCGGAATCGAATAATAAAGAGGACCATAAAATAATGGACGACGAATATTTGGACGCATTCGAGGCGCTCATCGGCGATGACGAAATCCCATACAGCAGGGATCTAAACAATCGGATCACGATGCAAAGAAATAAACTAGACGGATATCTATTCTTTGACCTCTGGAGCAGCGATGTGGCAGGAGTTGCCGATAGTACGTGTTCAGTTTTATTTTTTTAATGCATCATGCCAGAGAAATAGTCTGCTGACGGTCTCTCTTCTCATGCAGTGTCGTCGCTCTATCCGCCACAGTCGCTAGACATGCTTCGCGATCTGTATATACAAGTCATCACTGCCGAATCAGACGTTCTGAAACAGCGATGCATACTCTATTACCTGAAGAAGGACTTTAGTGAAGAGGCAGCTGATGAGTTTTGCGAGTCGACAGCATTTCCGGCAACACAGAAGAAGCTCGTTGACGGAATCTACGCGCTCGATCGGTTTGATTTCGAGGTAAACATAAACGTCATGTTACTTCCGTTTCTTTTGCAGCTATCCTTACTGATAATTTGCAATATTGTAGACGGCTATGAGAAACCTGACTGCTCCTGGAGTCCGATTACAGTTCACGGAAAAGATGCTCTTAACGCTTTTGCAATATTCAGACAACGGCCCTCGATATGTGCGGATGCTTGTGTTCACCTCTCGCCCGAAGTTGGATTCAAAGAATTGCAAGAAGCTGTACCTAGAAGCGCTGTCTCGAATTTCTGTGTCTTCAGCACTCGAGTTTGTGGTATTTATCCCTCGTGTTTGATTCTCAGACTGTCTATCTCACGTACACGCTGCTAATTAATTGTGATACAGCGAACGACGACGCCTATCGAAGATCGCGCCGAGTACCTCCAGTCGATGATAGGTTTCTGCCTGTCGACAGGCAAACCTTCCAGTGCCTACGATATAGCCAACCTTCCGCTTCTTGATTACGAGGAAGCTATGATTCTTGACTACCTCATGTCGAAACCCGATGCTTCTGCAAAGAATATATTACTAGTGAGAGAACTACATCGCGGACAAGCTGGCGCAGCTAGAGAAGCTACAGGGCCCATGAAGAACCAGATATCGTTTGGAACAAAGAGAACTACGCAATGGGCGGAGATGGCTAGAAAGCTGAAAACAAATCCAGCCCAGATACTATGAGGGGATTGAAGAGAATTTATTAACTATGTACAGTAGAGAGTGCTCTTTTTTTGTGGAGTTTTGATTTGGATAAAGATCAAGAATGTTGAATCAGAAAAAAAACCAACATCACAGGAAATCTTCATACAAAAAACCTGCTTAGGCCGCAAAGAAAGACCTCAAATTCTTGAGATGCTGCGCGTAGAGTTGGGCTTCCTTGAACTCAGAGTATTCGTAGATGAAGGGCGTGATCTCATTGGTAATGCCAAGATCCTCGAAGTGATCGATCAGGGTCTGCTGGAGACGCTCGTCAAGATCAGCGAAAGGAGGACCCCAGTAGCTAGAGCGCTTTTTGAGCTCATCATCCGCAAGCTCCGAAACAGCCATGTTGCTGTCAGAGAAGTGCAAGATCTGCTCATACACAAGCGAGTTATCTTCCGCAGAGGCCTCGATAACAAGAGTGCCGGCGCCCTCCTTGGTGACGAAAACCTTCACGGGGAAGCTGTTGTCGTTGGGGCCAAAGTCATCAAATTCATCCTCCTCCTCAGTCTGCTCGAAATTCTCGCTCATCGCATGGTGAACGTCGGAGGCAGACCATTTGATCAAAATGCTGTAAATCACAGATTAGTATATACTTAATGCGAGCAGAATATCAAATGAAAGGAAGCATACTCAATGTTTCCCTGCTTGCGCTGGATGGTAATCACGTCACTGTCGGCTTCATCGATAAGCTAGAAAGATCGTTAGTTAGCTACGAAAGAAATCACATTCTAGTGAACGACTTGCTTACCTTGTATCCAGTACTGCGGAGAACGTCGGCGAGTTCCTTGGGCATAGAAGTCCACTTCTTCTCCACGAGCTGGTCCTGCTCGTATTTCAACTCCTCAGTAAGAGCATCGAGAAGCTCCTCCTTCGAGGCTAGATATAGATAAGCTCTACGTTAGATACAGTTGTATGATTTGTCACAAGTTTCATGCGCAGATACTTACATGAGGAAGAGTACGGTCTGTAAGCGGGAAGAGCAGTGACCGATCTCATGGAGGCGCTGATCAAAGGGACGCTGCGAGGAGCAACGAAGCGAGTCGCGGTGGGCACGACAGCGCGAGCAAGAGCACGGGTGAAAACGCGAGAAGCCATTTCGAATAGTATAGTACTTTGATAGATCTTATTGGCGTAGTAGAGCGTCAAGAGCTGATGATGGTCTAAATACGAGGGAGTGAGATGGAGAGCGAAAGAAGACCGAAATATTTGGAAAATTTCACAGAGGCCGGGTAAGTTGGGAAAGCTTAACTCTGATGCCTTCGCGTCTCTGAGCACGCTCAGACTGAAGATGGGCTCGATCAGATTAATGAGCCTCTGGGTCGATATCGGCATTGGAGGTCTGGGGATCATGGAAATACCTAGGATCTAGTGGTTAATACTGGCTACAGTCTGATATGGCTTCGTCGTTACCTTATGTGCCCTTGATCGCGTCATTTCTTCGCTTTGCCTTGTTCATAGTTCCTACAAGGCATCGTTCACACAAGGACTGACACAGGGCAGGCCTGACGCTCGAACAAGGCACAAATGGCTAACATAAAAGGGCAGCCCTGTGCCTTTCTCTCCTTTCCCTCTTCTCTTTTTTCTCACCTCTCACTACTTCCCTACTTCAGCAACTATCCTTCCCCGTGTCCCTATCAACAACAATGGTTTTTGGCATGAAGAAAACACGTTCTTCTCGTGCATCGCAACATGCTGCTGCGAGCCCCGAGCACGATAGCCACCCACACCCGACGCACACGCACTCGCAATCTTCATCGCAGAGCAACTCGATGGCCGAGAGAGGCAACGGACGTCACCAGCCCCGCGATCGCGACGAACAACACGACATCGACTCACGATGGAAACAGCTCATGAACGATTATATCGACGGGGTGCTTGTTTCCACAGTCCTCACCGACGCTCAGAAATATGACGCGCTCAAACTTGCGTACGACATCTTCGTCTCTCGTATCGACAATGGACAACAATAAGGACGAGCTAGGCACCAGATTAACCGCGAGGATCGAGTCCGGGTTTCTGATTTTAACTGCCTATGATCGTGCTTTCTTGTAAAGATTTTCAATCGCTGGTTATCAAGGCTTCGCTGTATAACAGCAAACGTATGTATATGCTCTTCACTCCTTGTTCTTCTCTCGAGCCTTGCTGACTTTCCTTGTTGAGCTAGCCGTCCCCCCCCCGCAGCATATCCACCCTGGAACGAACCAGAAGAGTCCTATACCTCGACTACCGCTCAGGCTAATACCCCAACATATCATGAGAGAAGTGGTCTACCTCTGCTGTATATCTGTCCTGTCATTCTGCAGGATACCCTTGCTGAAGTCATCTCATCGAACTACATGTTGGTATCTGCCTAAAGAAGTAACCTACCTGTCTGTCTGCAACCCCTCTTCCCTGCTGTACGGTCGTCATCGGACGTTAAAACCTTTGACCTCTGCAATGTACCGGCTCGGAACACCTTTTATTTTTTCCTGTGAGATAGGGTTATCTTTGATCCCGCCAAAATCCAAAAAAAAGTACCGAATCGCGCAGAGTCGGAGACGAATCACTAACCGGGCTCTGTCGCTAGATTCTCGCGTGTGCCAATACGCCTTTTTCTATTCGTGAAGTCTTTGTCGAACCTTCCTCGAATCTTTTTTCTGTTTTTGTTATTGTTTTATTTTCGTTTTTGCTTTTCCAATTCAAATCTGGGTGTCACTGGGGATCATCTATTTTTTATCATTTGATTGCTAGTGCACCCTTTTCCAACACCATAATCTTCATGTAACAGTGCCACGTAGATCCTAGCAGTATTGCCATATCCTATTCATGGTTTGTGTATACACGAATTCTCTACATCTGAACTTGGTTTCTACTACAGCTGCGAGAAGGTAAACCAAACCCTTGACCGCTGACGTGTTCTCGACCAGGTTGCGCAGGCCCGTCGCCTAAGCAACCAACTGCCGCAATAGAGTTCAAAACAAAACATAAATATCAGATCCTCTCCCAAGCGCGCTCTAAACTCTTCGCCCCACAACATCACTCAGCACAACAACACCGGCCTGTCTGTACCAGGTGTTTTTCTGCTACTTTTGCACGGATAGACCGCCAATATGAAGCTTGAAGAGCTCATTATTGATGGCTTCAAGTCGTACGCGACGCGTACCGTTATCAGTGGTTGGGACTCACAGTTCAATTGTATTACCGGTCTTAATGGATCCGGCAAGTCCAACATTCTCGACGCGATTTGTTTCGTGCTTGGTATTACGACGATGTCTACTGTGAGAGCGCAAAACCTTCAGGACCTGATCTATAAACGTGGTCAGGCAGGTGTCACAAAGGCTAGCGTTACCATCGTCTTTGACAATCGCGATACGGAGAAGAGCCCGATTGGATTCGAGACTTGTCCCCAGATCAGTGTCACTCGTCAGGTATGCATACTGCTGAAGATGAATGTAAGAAAGGACGTACTGTGTTAACAAGACTGGACAGATTGTACTTGGCGGAACCAGCAAATACCTCATCAATGGCCATCGCGCGCAGCAACAAAACGTGCAGAACCTATTCCAGAGCATCCAGCTTAACATCAACAACCCGAACTTTCTTATCATGCAAGGCCGGATTACTAAGGTCTTGAATATGAAAGCTACCGAGATCTTGTCGATGGTCGAAGAAGCTGCTGGTACGCGTATGTTTGAAGAGCGCCGTGACAAAGCAATCAAGACCATGTCGAAAAAGGACAAAAAGGTGGAAGAGATCAATGAGCTGTTGAAGGAAGAAATCGAACCAAAGCTGGAAAAACTACGGACCGAAAAGCGTCATTTCTTGGAGTTTCAGCAAGTTCAGTCTGATCTCGAGAGATTGACCAAGGTTGTCGTTGCGCATGATTATATCCAGTATAACGTATGTCCCCTGCTTTTCATTTCACCCATTTACACTTTGTCTAACAACAATTATAGAAAATCCTTCGTAACTTCACGGAGATCATTTCGAAGAAGACTGCCGAGCTTGAAAGTATCGAGTCTAATGTGGCCAAGACTCAGCACGCGATTGATCTTCTCAAAGAAGATATCGACAAGGTTAAGGCACTTCGTGAAAAGGAACTAAAGAAGGGGACTAAGTTCCAAAAGCTGGAACAACAGATGAAAGAGCTCTCGCACGAGATTGTGCGTTTCAATACCCACCTGGAGCTGAAGATGAAGAATCTTGCAGAGGAAGAAGAAAAGGGGAAAAAGATTCAGCAGAGCATCAGCGAGTTACAGGCCCAGTTTGAGATCAAGTCTGCAGAATTTTCCCAAATGCAGCAGCAGTTCCAAGAGATGACAAATACGCATGAGACTCTTAAAGCTGAGGTTTCTTCGAAGGAAGAGCTTCTGGAAACTCTGCGAACCGGTGTTGCCGCGAAAGAAGGCCAAAAGAACGGATATATGGACAAGTTGGAAGGTGAGGCGGAAATTTTGATCTGGTTATATCATGTTATAAGAATCTTACTAACAGTTGATATACAGAGGCCAAGGCATGTGCGAGTCAAGCAAAAACAAAACAGCAGCAAATCAGTATTCAGATACAGCACCTCAACAAGCGAATCAAGGAACTCGAACCGCGCGCTAAAAAGGCGCGCCAGCAAAATAAGGATCTGTTCAACAACCTGGAATCACTGAAAGCGGAATGCGCAACACTTGAATCGGGTCTTAATCAAATGGACTTTGACCCCAAGGCGCATGAAACTATCAAACAGGCCGAGTCTGAGGCAGAGGCAAACATCCGAGAGCTGAACCATCAGATTGATACTTTGAAGCGCCAGGCTGCCAACGTTGACTTCAACTACTCAGACCCAACACATAACTTTGATCGCAGCAAGGTGAAGGGACTGGTTGCGCAGCTGTTCTCAATTGATGAGAGCAAGTTTGATGCAGCAACGGCCCTGGAGATCACAGCTGGTGGTAGATTATACAATGTGGTGGTGGACACCGAAGTCACCGGTACTCAGCTATTGGAAAAGGGCCAGCTTCGCAAGCGCGTGACAATCATTCCTCTCAACAAGATCTCTGCTTTTCAGGCATCTGCTGAGAAAATTGGGGCCGCTAAAAGTATTGCTCCAGGAAAGGTGAATCTCGCTCTTTCACTGATTGGGTATGATGAGGAAGTAGCTAAAGCGATGAACTATGTGTTTGGCTCCACCCTTATTTGCGCTGATGCAGACACTGCGAAAAAGGTTACGTTCGATGCGCGAGTTCGCATGAAGAGTGTTACTCTGCAGGGTGACCTGTACGACCCTAGTGGGACACTGTCAGGCGGAAGTGCACCAAATACGTCGGGTGTTTTGATTACTATGCAGGAGCTGAATAGGTTGAGCGCCGAGCGCAATGCCGAAACTGCAAAGCTGAGAAGTATTCGTCAGACCCTGTCGGTTGAGAAGGAGAAAATTGAGCGCGGTACGAAGTTGAGCCAGAAGCTTGATTTGAAAAGACACGAGATATCGTTGCTTGAGCAACAGATCGCTAATAACTCATCGTCTGCCGTGATCAATGATCTCAACAAGGCTGGTCAGAGCATCAAGGATTTGGAGGCTGAGGCTGTAGCTGCCAAGGAGGAACAGGCTCAAGCCGAATCAGAAGCTAAACGAATCGAGCAAGACATGAAGGAGTTCAATTCTAATAAAGGAACCAAGCTCGAACGTTTGAAGAAGGAGGCCGATGCCCTGAAAGCAAAGTCTGAGAAGCGAAATCAGGAACTCAAAGTTGCTCAAAAGCAATTTCAGGCGATGCAGCTTGAAAAAGAGCACCTACAGAATGAAATTGTGGGTCAGCAAGAGTCGTATGTAGAGGCCGAACAGAACTGGAAAGAGCTCAACGCTGAGATCGCAAAGCTTAATCAAGAGCAAGAGTCTGCGAACGCCCAATACGCAGAAATGAGCAAAATTGTCGAGCAAGAGAAGGAGAAGCTGCTGGGCTTCGACGAAGAGCTCGTCTCGTTGGATAAGGCTGTCCGCGAGAAGGAGCAGATTGTTTCCGATTTCAGCTTGGCACAGCAGAAGGTTAGTCATGAGCTTGAGAAGATCACGAACGACAAGGGCCGCTCCGAACATGGCGTCAATGAGCTTATTAGTCAGTACTCGTGGGTCGAAGAGGAGAAGGAGTAAGTTGCATATTCCCGTGTTTCTTTTGCAGTTAATCAGTCGACTAATGTGAAATTATAGCTCTTTTGGAAAGGCATCGACACCTTACGACTTTGCTGGCTATAACATCTCAGAATGCAAGGCGTCTATGAAGAAGCTTACCGATCGATACAATGAGATGAAGAAGTCTATCAACGGCAAGGTGATGAATATGATTGACAGCATTGAGAAGAAAGAGATTGCTTTGCGCAACATGATGAAAACGATCGAGAAGGATAAGCGTAAGATCGAAGATACAATCATCTCTCTTGATCAATACAAGAAGGAGGCGCTTCACAAAACCTGGCAGAAAGTCAATAGGTGAGTTGAATTCTTTTTCTCATACAGATATCAGCGCTAACATAGCATAACAGTGACTTTGGTCTCATCTTTGCGGACATGCTCCCTGGCAGTTTTGCCAAGCTGGAGCCACCGGAGGGTAAGGATGTGACCGAGGGTCTCGAGGTCAAGGTCTGTCTGGGAAAGATCTGGAAGCAGAGCTTGACTGAGCTTTCTGGAGGACAAAGGTACGTTCGATATATCACCAGAGTGATTATACAAAGGAATCGACTAACGGATGCCCAAACAGATCACTTGTAGCGCTATCGCTGATCATGGCTCTGCTGCAGTTCAAGCCTGCGCCGATGTATATTCTCGACGAGGTCGATGCTGCTTTGGATCTGAGTCATACGCAGAATATCGGCAAGCTAATCAAGACCCGCTTCAAGGGCTCGCAGTTTATCGTCGTGAGTCTGAAGGATGGACTGTTCTCGAATGCCAACCGGGTGTTCAGAACGCGCTTCCAAGAGGGCACGTCTGTCGTCAGTGTTATGTAAGATGAAATTGAGGGAGACTGATCGTTCTGGTAGGGTTTGATTGTAGCGAGCTGGATACTGGTAAAGAGTATGATTTGAGCTTTGTTATGTCTATTGTACTTTTATTATACCTAATTATAAAGAGTTTATGTACGCAATGTATTTTAATGAGTGGATTATCGCCGAATTTGATACCGCAAGTGCCGTAGACCTCTGACGTTGGTGTTGGGAAGACGCGTTCAGGTGTTCATGCTGGAAACAGGGATTAAAGTTTCAAACTTCAAGCCTTCCCGACATAATTTGATGACGTTGATGATAATTTTCAGCATACTGATCCTGCCGCTGCAAGGCAACAACGTGAAGTAAAAACGCAACTGATAGATATAGAAGTTGTTAGAGAGACTTTCTTGACTAGTTGATATTACATATCAGCAGCACCGATGTCAGATCCTATGTTTGACGACGGCTTTCCGTCATCTACTCGACGATCCCCGCGAACTCCACGAACACAGGCGGTTCCATCTTCATCCTCATCAACCTCCTCCTCCTCGTCATGGACAACGATCCCGCCGCTGATGAAAAAGCTGTTTGATAAATTCCCGCTGGTTACATACCCGGACACTATCCTCCCCGCGGCGGGGTGTGGCAGCAGCGCGGATCAGAAGGATAAGATGGGAGTCGTGTTCGTGCATGACTTGAGCAGTGTTTCGATTTTTCCCGAGTCGGTGCGGTTACTGGTAAGTTTGCAGGACGTGGGAGGATTGGTGTACTATTGCGTTGCTGGTTTGTGGCGGGTTAGCTAACTCGAATGTTCTTGGACAGACCGTTCTACGACTTGCAAAGATTTACGACTCATTAACAATTTTCCCTGCATCACCACATTCCGCACCCGAGAACGGCCCGTTCCCTTACGTATTTGTCCCCCGCTCATTACCAAAAGCGCAGGACCGGAAGAAAGACCAAAGCTACAGCTTGCCTTCGCCGCAGTTCAATTCCTGGCTGTCGAGTCTGCCGAATGCTCGCAGTGTACCATATTCGGCCGCGGAAGATTCACCGATCATCATGCTTTTAGACGTGCGTATCCGGGATGCGTTTCTGTTGACGCTGTATCTGTATAGCGCCAATTACAAAAACATTGTACTGCCGGGCTTTTATAGACATCTCAATAGCAGCAAAGCAGAGTCCAAAAACCTTGGGTCTGAGAACACTGGATTCTTCCCTCACGTTGTTTCATACGTCCAATACAATGCCGTCAAGGAGACTCTAAGGCGCAGTGTGGGTTCACAGCGAATAGACGCAAAATTCAAAATCAACATCTTGATCGGGGCCGAGGAAGCGCTCGATGCGTTGTCAGATCTAGTCGCCGAATCAACCAGCGGCTTTCTTTCTGGAACAAGCGAACCGGGCGTGGTCGATGCTGCCGTCTACGGGTACTTGTATCCGGTTTTGCATTTGGGGTTGAAGGGCGAGAACGGGAACGGAGAGGCGGAGCTGGTGGAGTTGGTGCGGGAACGGCCGAATTTGGTGGAGCTGGTAGAGAAGATTCATAAGCTAGCGTGGACCTCATGAATATGTCGGTGTATGATGTGTATGATAGAAATCTCTTTTCACTAATTTTTCCAATGTTAATTCTCCTCGTAATATTCAATAGAAGTGGAAGGAAATGCGCGAGCCGGTCAGTCGCGCGGCTCGGTGCTGATATCTGTTATGAAAGTCGCGACTTGGTGGGCGACTCGGTGCGTGGGCGACTTGCCGGGTGCTATCATAAATATCATAATTATCTAGTCGCGACTGGGCCGGTCGCGCACTTCTCTCAACACAAAATCTCTCTTTGACAAATCGTGGCATTTAGCTGAGAAGAGCATCTTACATTCTTTTCTGTCGAAGTTATCAAGAATAACAGAGAAGTATTGGTTGATAATTACTGCATAGATTATTTGACAAATGCGCGCCTCGGTGTTGAATTTATCAGTGGTAAAAGTCGCGACTTTTATCACCAGTACTGGCCGCGCGACTGGCGACCGGCGACTGGCCCAGTCGCGCACAAACCGGCACTTCCCCTTCTGCACATTACCTCGCTGACAAGCCATGTCATATACAATATTCTTAGCTGTCAATACTAATTAAAAATGTCAAAGTAAGAATAACTACAGAAGCGCTGCAAAGGATTTCTAACGAATGCGCGAATCGGTGCAGGTATTGCTTTCGTTATAGTCGCGCCAGTCGCGACTTGCGGCGACTTGCCCGGTAACTTATATCATATTATCATAAATTATTTAGTCGAGCACTTTCTACACGGCATTTCTCTTTGACGAACTGGGGCATTTAGTTGGAAAAGAAATCGTATAATATAAACCGTCGAAAAAGTTATCAAGAAAAACAAAGAAATCTAGGTCGTAAAAGTGCTGCAAGAATTATCTGACGAATGCGCGACTGGGTGCTATAATTATCAGATGTTCATGGGCCAGGCCAGTCGCCAAACTGACGCTTCTCATATCTGCACATTACTCACCGACATGCTATGTCATTTACCTCAAAATAAAACTGAGCATTCTTAGCTGTCGAATATCTCCAAAAGAACCAAAAGCTAAGCAGCGGAAGCTGCAAAGGTTCTACAGCGAATGCACAAATCGGTGTAGATATCGCTTTCGTTGTAGTCGCGACTGGCTCCAATCCCATATACATTCCCTTCTACAGAGCACTCGTTTTCAGTTCAAAAGAGTATCAAACACTCTTGACTATTGAATATTTTTAAATAAACCAATAACTGAGCAGTGGAAGCGCTACAAAGGTTCTATGATTGATGCGCGCCTCAGTCAGTTGCGCGACTGGTTGCTGAACTTTTGATAATTGATGCGCGACTGAGCCAGCCGCGCACCCAGTCGCCCCAGTCGCGACTCTAATGAACTAATACCTGCACCGATCCGCGCATTCGTTGAAGCTCTTTTGCAGCGCTTCTGTGGTTTTTATTGCTTCATTAATAATAGCTCCGACAACTAAGAATATTCAGGTTTACTCTGAGGTATATGACATATCGTGCCGGTTTGTGCGCACGACTGGCCCAGTCGCGGCCAAATAATTATGATATCTGCCCAGTCGCCCAGTCGCGACTAGATTATTATGATAATATAGGGCAAGTCGCGCACTTCTTACAACACAATATTTCTCTTTGACAAACCGTGGTATCTACTTCATAAAAAGCTCCTATATTCCTAATCACTGAAGCTATTTAGAAGATTAGATAAATATTGGTTGTAAAGTACTGCATAGATTATTTGACGACTGCGCGACTCGGTGTTAAATTTATATCATTATAGTCGCGACTGGGGCGACTGGCCCGCCACTGACTGGGCTTTCTATTTCCCCTTTATGCAGCACTCCTTTCCACTTCTAAACAAAGCTGAACATTCTCAGCTGTCGGAGATACTCAGAATAAAAAGATAGTCACTCGGTAAAAGCGCTGCAAAGGCTCTTGGACGAATGCGGGACTCGGTGCTAAAATATCAGTGGTAAAAGTCGCGACTTGGTGGGATATCACAATTATCTAGTCGCGACTGGGCAGATATGATAATTATATTGTCGCGACTTGCTGGGCGACTCAGTTTATGATATCTGCCCCGCAAGTCGCGCACGCACCCTAGTCGCGGCCCGCGCTTTTACGCGTTTATACCGCGCACCAAGTCGCGACTTTTATAAACAAACACCGGCACCGAGCAGTGCGACTGACCGACTCGCGCATCCCGTTCACTTTTATCAATTCTTTAATAACCCGCATCCCATTCGCTTTTATCAATCCTCCAATGATTACCAAAAGACTTCACCTTGATGACGGTCCATCTGGTGCACCTGATAGATGTGTACGACAAAAGATGATGGACGACAAATCTGATGAAGACACTACCGAGGACTCGGAAGAATACACTACTGAGGACTCGGAAGAAGACACTACTGAACAGCCCTGTCAGCCGAAGTGGAACTCCGGGCGACCAGGATCTGCAGAAGTCAGAGATATTCTGGCTGGAGGTGACGACCGAATTTACAAGATGACGCGAATGGACGAGTTTGAATTTTATTATCTGCTTAACAAGCTCGACAAAGAACGTCTGCTGAACTCGACAAAGAATATGGACATAGACGAGAAGCTTCTAATCTTTTTGTCTATTCTTGGTTCCGGGAGTACAGTGAGAGAGGTAGCTAAGCGCGTTCAACGAAGCTTGAGCACCGTACATGATGTACTTTATGCCGTTTTATTAGCAATCGCAAAGCTACCGATGAGTGCGATCACTCTTCATGAGCCGGGCTCCCAATCTCAGCTCAGATCACTAGCGACCACAGGAATCACCCCAATTCCGAAGGGTGTATTGGTGCCATCGCTGGATTTCACCTTCCGGTCATGGCTTCTCCGAACCACCCTGGGTTTCGAAACAGGAAAGCAGACAACTCATTGAATATCATGATAGCTGTTGACTTCAAAAAGAAGGTGAGGTACATAGGAGCAGGATGGGAGGGTAGTGTGGACGATTCCAGAGTCGTACAAGATGCTCGCGAACATGGGATCGATGTCCCAGAAGGATTCTATAACCTCGGAGATGCAGGCGCTGCGCAGAGACCCGATACCATGCAGGACTCGAACGACCCCCGTCTTTCGAGGCTGCAGAAGGTCGTGAAGCGAACGTTTAGTGACCTCAAAAGCAAGTTCCTCATTCTGGCCGCTGGCCGCTACTCGGGCCCTACACTATTCAAGTTGATCGGGGCCTGCTGCACCATCCATAACGTCAAGATCCAACGAGATAGAGAACTGGATAAAGATCGTCACGGTCCCTATGATGATTTTACAGATATGACTGACGATGATGATACAAGCACGGTTGATCCTAAACAAGACGACAACAGACGCAATGCTATTGCTGAGGCGATGTGGGCAGCAAGAATGACTGAAGATGATGATACAAGCACGGTTGATCCTAAACACCGGAAAAACAAACGTACTGCTAATGCTGAGGCGATGTGGGCAGACTACAGAAAAAATCCCGAACGGTTTATGGATACTAATAAATGTATGAGGATAGGAAATTGGTGATGTTTTGATATGATTCAAAAAAATCTAAAAATATGCATTAAACAGAAGTTAATCGCATCTTTATACGATCCGCCCTTCGCAAATAACTGAGACAAGGGCGGTAGATGTGCATCAAAATTCATTCACCATTAAAATAATAGATCATAACCACAAAATCCCATAGAAAAGTCTATACCAATTACAACAAAGCAAACAACAAAGCAATAAACAAAACTATTACCAGATGATATAACACAACAATCCATTAAACAGCCAATGCCCGCAAAGTATCCTCTTCCTCAATATCAGTTCTCCAATCATGACCACTACTCCTCATCGAGCTACTTCCATAGCTTCCACCGGAATACCGGTTCCCGTCAAAGCTAGCTCTGCTTCGAATACTTCCACTCGGCGGCCTTGCCTGGGGAAGCGCGCTCATCGAGGGCTTAAAAAGACGGCGCGAGTGAATGCGGTAATCAAGGTATTCGTCATCCGAATCATCGTCAAGATCATACCCTGCACGACTAAGCTGACCGTTCTCGCCGATCCAGCATACACCACCTGTAGGAGGAGCAACTGCTGGTGTAGACTGAATCGGAGAGGCGGTAGTGACTTTTTCGCTGTACAAAGAGGCAGAGCGGGAATGGCGGGTTCTTGCTCCATACGAGCCAGTGGATAGCGGACTTGTATGAGAGCTGCTAACGCTCCCTGAATCATCGTAGGTACCGGCAGAGTAAGAAGACGCTGTACTGGAATCACTGACTGACCGCACCGTGTGCGCTTGAGCCGGTGTTGCCGCAGGGGAGACTGTATGATTTGGCCTTTGCACTGGGTACCGACGTTGAGGAAGGGTTTGAGATTGGTACGTCGCTGAACGGAAATTGTACGAAGATGCTGAGGTATGCAGCTGGTTTGGTTGTTTGTCCATCATAGTCAGATCTTCAACGCTATACAACGCACGGAGTAGATCGTCGTTCCAGCTATGTTCTTCGTCGTGAGATTTCGATTTCGTAGATAGCTGCGAGGACGATCCTATATGACGAAGAGCAGAGGTCGGTTTCACTTTGACGCTCTTCTTCGCGTGCGTCTTCGAATGAGATTTGTGCGAGGAAGAGCTAGCCTCCTCGGACGGAGAATCAGCCACCGGCTCCATCGACATCGACGAGAAGCCTGATCCGCGTCTAAACTTTTGTGAAAACTTTCTCAGTCGCGAACTAGCAGTAGAAGCAATCGACGCTGTATCAGAGTCTCTGGGCTTCGATCGCTGAGAAACATGAGGCTCGTAAGGCTGTTGCTGAGATTGTTGCTGATCATTTGAGGCTCGCTTCATGACCTCAGATGCCATATTCAGACGTCTCTGTAGCATATCTGACGGTGATCCAGTCTGCTTCTTGCTTCTGTCAGACGTCAGTTTTTGCTGACTGGGAGACTCCATTTTTGAAGAACGCGTCTTGACCGCGAGCTGAGCAATAGAACTTGTGCTTTTATCTGAATGCTGGTAAAACGCGCCCGAGTTGCTTCTTGAAGAACCCGATGATCCCAATACTGTAGCTACCGTTGCCGAGCTGTTGCTACTTGTGCTGCGGACAGAGAGACCAGACTCGCGATTAGGCCGACGGCTGCTGCTGCTACTGAGAGAAACAGACTTGAAGACGGAGAATAAGCTCGACAAACTGTCGCTTCTCCGGACGACGTTCTCTTGCTGCTCGTCGTAATCCGCTGTTCGATCTCTGTTGGGTTGCTCTTGGAGTGGCCGCAGCGCTCGGTCGCTTGTTGCACGCGACGAGGAGTGCTGACTTTCTGACTTTCCACGGGAGTTTGAGTGAGCGTGACGCGTAGGCGCGGTAGGACGTGTAGGAGCGTGGTTTTCGATGTTTGCCCGCGATGACGAGGCCATATGAGGGGCGGTACGAGGGCTCGAGAATCCCGACATGATGAAACGCAGATGGGTGGGGTGGAGCTGCAGGAGGTCGCGGGGTGTTGTTAGCAGACGGGTCCTTTTGGCAACTCACGCGCATGAGGTTCACAATAAAGAAGGGAATAATAAGGAGCGCGGGTGATGAGCAGACGACGCGCAGTCACGTCACGACGAACGCGTTTGCTCGTTACGGCTTACCAGGGAATAAACGACGTTGGCTGAAATATGCTAGGATCGGCGATGTGACAGCGGGATGTGCAATGGCTACACGGGTTCTTGGAAACAAAAAAACAAAGTATCTGGCTCGTCCACCAGTAAATAGTCTGCTGAGTAGAATGATTTTCCTCAGTAAACGCAGATAGCGAAATGAACAGGAAAAAGAGCTGATAGCGACAAGAGACGCGGTCTAGAGAAGGCTTTGCAAACGAGCAGAAGGAGTCGTGTGGGCTGCCTGCACGAGTTTAGTCGGCAAAGGTTGCTTGCATCCACAACAATAAATTGTTGTTGTCTATCCAAATTGGGACTAGCTCTGTGGTGGGAATGTAACACCCACATTCTCGCTTTTGCCCTTTAACCTTTTGAGCCCTGAGCCTCAGGCATTGTCCCAACGCCCGTCATGGTAAATGATTAACGCCAGAAGACTTGACGAGTACAGTCGAACCTGTGCTGTGGATTCACTTGCCTACTTCTGGAAGGTTTACAGAAGGAGTTGGACTCGGTGCCTATTCTATGCATGTGCCGAGAAGTAGCCTCGTCTAGGGATGGCACAAGAAGCTCTAACATAATTGAGCTCGCGGGCTGCATTCTGTTGGTATGATCATTCCTGCTTCACTAATACTCAACATGCAGTCCAAATGGAAGCTGCTTCTTCTATACAATTGGTCGTGTGCAACGCGTATAATTTGTAGTCCTTCACCCATTCTTTGGATGACAGACTACATATGACAATTCATGACGCTTTCACGAATTGCATTCCCTTCTTTGATGCGATATGACCTTCTCAATAATATCTACATATTTTGAATTCATTATGTCCGAGCTAATTCAGAGATACAAACGATTTGGCAAAGCCCAAAAACAGGCCCCACACGTCAACTAAGCCCACAGCAAGGCAGCGGCATGGGAGAAATATCTACCGCCCTTGATCTCAATCGACTTGACAATCTCGTTCAGCTCGCTGAAGTTCTCGTCCGAGAGCGGCTTGATCTCTGCCAAATTCTCGTTGACGCGCTCGGGAGTAGTCGAACCCGGGATCGGGATGATAGTGAGACCGGGCATCTTCTCCTCATGCTTCTTGATCCACGCCAACGCGAGCTGTGCAGGCGTACAGCCAATTTTCTTCGCCATAGTGAACACCGCGTCGGCAAGCTTCAAATTCAAGGGAAGGTTTTCGTCCGAGAACTGTTCAAAGTGCTTCAGTATGCTTCCCTCAGGGATGTCAGCATTTGACTTGATTGCACCAGTCAAGATTCCGCGACCGAGGGGAGAGTAAGCGACGACGGGGATTTTGAGCTCAGCGCATGCCTCGAGGACACCATTGTTAGCTGCGTCAACGCAGAACAACGAATACTCAATCTCGACAGCCTCGATCTTTGTCACCGCAGCAGCACGACGGATGGTTGCTGCGCCGACCTCGGAGAGTGAAATACCAGAGAAGAGACCCTCGTCAACCATCTCCTTCAGCGCACCGATGGTGGTCTCAATGGGACTAGAATGATCATGACCTTTAGATAAAACACTCTATACAGTCAACATGAGCAAATCACCTACACTTTAGGATCGACGCGAGCACACTCGAAAATGTCAAGCTTCTTAACTCCCCCAAGATATTTCAGCGTGTTCATAACGCTAGCGCGGACAGCCTCGGGACGTCCGTCAGGAGCCAGTGTCTTTAAATCAGCACCTCCTTTGACCGAAAGACAAACCTTCAAATGTCGTTAGAGGATCAGTGATACGAAGGTGTAGAGAGACTGCACAAATATGCCGAGGAAGTAGTTACCTTATCAGCGTACTCGGGGTATTTGGTGAAAAAACGGTTGACAAGCTGAAGGTTGTCAGTCGGATCAGCAGTGCCGTAAAACTCGCCCGAGTTGAAGAAGGTGGCACCCAATTCGATAGCGCGCTTCATGGTCGCGAAAGCCTGCTCGTCGGGAGTGACGACCGGTCGCCAAGTGAAGCCCATCAGGCCGAAGCCGAGCGGGCCGGCGGGGATGCCAGCGATGGTGGTCATGTCAGCTGTATGGTCAATTGGCTAGTTTCTGATGATTCGAATGGAAGATCGAAGACAGATTGGTGAATCTTCGAAGGATAAGAGAAAGGTGCCAAGTATATAACAATCAGGCTGATGCCGATAAGAGCGGGCGTTGGGAAGTGTGAGCGAGTAAGCAATATATTGAATCATATCTGCACAGTCAGCCAGCTCACTATCATTAGATAATCAGCTGACAGACTTATTTGTAGGGTTCGGGGGTTTGTAGCGTGAGGCGTGGGCATCGCGACAGGCTTGGCGCATAGACGAGGATTCTAAAGATCCACGTGCTGCTGCCTACCTCAAAGCATTTCTGTATCTGTTTGGTTGTTGTGCTGTCTGCTGGATAGAGATTTGAAAATTTCTGGACAAGACAGAGAGAGCGAGGAACATGACATAGAAGCAACGGTTGGACCGATAAGAGGGATCGACATGATCGAGCGAGCTGTCAGGTACCGGCTAATGAGCTAGGATGTTGCACTAGCATTTAAGCATAGGATATGTCCTGTATGGACTGTCACTATACCAGCAGCAAGTGTTATGACAGACTGTGTCAGGCGGAGAGTCCTAACTGATAGACGGTCAAATATCAACCGGACTCGACTCGAAAAGAGCAAAATTGAAGAAAATCGAATGAAATATCGGACATTTAAGCTCACGCACTAAAAATAAAAACGGAGCTGGTGTTTGGAATGCGGATGCACCGCTCTCCTGCGGCGTACCATACTACTGCTACCCTGACTATTCCCAATCGGGTTTAGTGCTGTACAGCAATTACGTACCGTGCCCAGTGAGGATCTTTATTTTATACACGCGTTTGTGGCACATCTGTCACACATACGACGCGCTTAAAACACCCATTACGTCCTCGTCTAAGCCTGCGCTCTCCTCCGACGAAGGACGCAAAAAAAGCCTCAGTTCCTAGTCGCCTGCGCCTTTCTCTCTCGTCCACCCTCTTACTCGCTATCTCTCATCTGCCTGCTCCGGTTGTAGGTCTTTTCTCTGCTCCGTATACAAACATCATCATGGTCAGTCGGTGGGCATCTCTTTTCCTCGTCCTTGTCGCATCCTGTGTGATCCCTGGCTCGCGCGCATCAAACGTGACCTCTCTGACCGGTACCTGGACTTCTAAGTCGGACGCGGTCTTCACTGGACCTGTATGTATCTTGCTTTCCCTGCTTCATGTTTGTTCCAGAAGAAAATTTTGTCGAGCAAACGGTGCTCTTTACTCAAATGACACCGGAAACAGAAAAGAGTGGAATGTGGCCGTGCTAACACGATCTGTAGGGATTCTATGATCCTGTTGATGAACTTCTCGTGGAGCCGCGTCTGCCCGGCCTGAGTTTCAGCTTTACAGACGACGGCTACTACGAAGAGGCCTTCTATATCGTCCACTCGAACCGTAAGATCTTGTCGTCTTACTATTATCGCGGAATAAAGTGGATGGCGAATTCTAACTACATTCCTATGTTTAGCCACCACACCCGGATGCCCTACTGCCGTCCTCCAGTTCCAGCACGGCGAATATGTCCTCAACAGTAACGGCTCCATCTCTATGTTCCCCATCGCTGTCGACGGTCGACAGCTGTACTCTGATCCTTGCACCTCAAATTCCTCGGATTACACAAGATATTCTCAGTTTGAGCTGTATTCGGTATGTTGCTTTCTATCACTGGTATCTTTTCACTGCTCGAGGACGACTACTGACTGAGGTTTCGTCAGGAATGGAATATCGTCATCGACAGTTATCGTGGACAATACCGCCTCAACCTTTACGAGTGGGACGGTACCCCCGTTCGCCCGTTATACCTCGCCTATCGACCGCCGCTCATGCTTCCTACCGTGACCATGAACCCGACGACTGCTGCCGCTTCATCTACTTCCACCTCTGTCAGCTCGCGCCACAGAATAAAAAGATCATTCCAGAACAGACATGTCACGAACGCTTACAAGAAATCTTATCTCAACTACGATTTCTGGTGGTGGACCGGTGTTTTCTTGATGGTTGGCGGCGGCTCCTCATACATCTTCCTTCAGGCGCGTCAGCTCAAGACGGCTTAATTCTCGACTAGTTGCACCGTCTATATCACCAAGCTATCGAGTGCTGTCCAATCTCTGTCTCATTCGACAAAAGGCGTCTCGATCTGCAGTGTGCTGATTTTGTCTTGAACTTAAGTGGCTCAGAATTATCACCAAGCGCTACCTTGCTTGTCTGGTCATCACTTCGTTTATTTTTATGTTTTTAAAGGCGTTGGTAAAGATTGCTATTGTTTTCTTTTGTACTCTCTGTTTTCGTTGTTTCGTAAATTAGCTGCTGTTATATCGTGTTTTACAAGCCTTGACTTTGGTTATCTGCATACTCATAAACTGTTTTTAGTTTTAGAAATTGAAATGAAAAGCTTTATCTATAATGATCGCAAAGAGGATCAGTCTACTGCTTTAGTATACAGTAGATGCCTGCAAATACCTATCCATAGCGATATAGGATGTAGAATACAGCAGTGAGAATAAGCAGACATAACGAAACAGGAAGGCGTTGGTTGCTAGCCTGCTTGTATCTGAGCCTCACTGAAGCGCGAACATTACGCGTGCAAGAAGCCTCGCTGAAGAACAATACATCATCAAGAAATCCCCCACAACCCACCCACACCTACGAATATGGCACACCCAATCACCGTCAACTAATACCTTGTGCTTGCATGTGGCTATGTCAGCAGAATCATACAACCACCTCTACCTGACCTGGATTAAGGAATGGCAGGACCGCGCGGAATCGCTAGGAGCGAAAGCGCAAAACGCGTACAAGAGAGCATATAGTACGCTGAGTGCCTCGCCGATTTCGTTTCAGCACCCGAAAGAGATGCTGGTGCTGAAGAATTTTGGACCGGGCATATGTGGCCAGCTGGAGGCCAAGTTGAAGCAGTATTGCATTGCGACAGGAATGCCGATGCCGACTGTGACGTCTGCTTCGTCTACATCAGGGCCGAAATCTTCTTCAGAACCAAAGGCTAGGAAAACCAAAACAGCAAAAGCAAAAGGTGTGTCTTAGTTGTTAACGGCTGGATTAATATCTGATTCTAATATTTAAACAGAGACGAACGAAAACGAGGCACCAGCTACTCAACCTACACAGACCCGACCGAAACCAAAGAGAAAACCAAAGCAATACATTCCCGCCTACCGCTCAGGTGCCTACGCCATCCTCCTTACCCTCTACGACTCTGCAACCAGCTCTAAATACGGCGACCCAGCACTATCCAAAACCGAGATCATCGAACATGCACAGGCGCTCTGCGATACCTCGTTCGAGAGTCCAGCCGGACGAAATCCGGATCAGTCTGTGGGCGGGACCACTACTTCTTGGTGTACGGCGTGGACGGGGGTTCAGCAGCTTGTGAAGCACGAACTTGTGATTGAGACGGGAAAGCGGGGAAAGCATTTGTATGAGATCACAGATCTGGGGAAGGAGGTTGCGAGCAAGATGAAAACAGTGGCAGAGGCGAGACAAAAGGATTCAAATCTTACCACTCTGGAGACTGAGAGCAATACAGCTTCACAGCCTATTAGAGGATCACAGCCTATTCGAGGACCACAGCCTACTCGGGGATCACAGTCTTCTCGAGGAACGAAGAGATCTACAGAAGACGTCGATTTCGGCTCGCTCACTTCTGACGACGAGTCCAGTCCCCCGACACAGCGCATTTTCAATTCACAACCCAGTCGGCTACCAGCGGCTGCTAGCCGTTCAACTTACTCATTTTCCAACCTTCAACCAATCGAGAGACCCGCATCGACAACCTCACGAGCAGGTCTAGTCAACAGTGCATCTATTGCTGATAGTACGGCGGCAGTTGCAGACATTCCTCTTCCCCAGTTCACTCCTAGGATATGGGAGCCAGGGACGTTCAGCCTCTGTCTTCTTGTCGATAAACGAGAAATTAGATCAAAGGAGAATCGAGAGTTTTTTGTGTCATCGCTAGTTGAGCTTGGTGTGAATGCCAGGGGCAGGGCACTAGGACTTGGTGATATGCTATGGGTCGCCGAGCACAAAGCTACGGGCGAACAGGTTGTGCTTGACCACATCGTCGAACGGAAACGAACAGACGATCTGATGAGCAGTATCAAAGATGGAAGATTTCTTGAGCAGAAATATAGACTGTTGAGAAGCGGACTGCGCAATGTGATGTACATCATCGAGGAGTCACCCGGAGTCGATCTCGGAACTATGCACGATGCCGTCCAAACTTCGATTATGTCAACCCAGGTCTTCAACGAGTTTTTTCTCAAGCGGACTTCCGGTGTTGAGGAAACATCCAAATACCTCGCTCGTCTAAGCAAGCATCTCGAAGAAGTCTACACCAAGAAGCCTATTCATATCATCCCTGACGCCGCTGTCGATCACGATACTTATCTTTACCTGATTGGTAACCTACACACCACCGACCCAAACACACAATACGCAATTTCCTACTCCCGCTTTGAATCGACATGCTCGAAATCCGGAAACCTCACAGTCCGCGATGTATTCCTACGAATGCTTCTCACAATCAGCGGCATCTCATGGGAAAAGGCAATTGAGATTCAAAAAGAGTTTCCGACGCCAAAACATCTATGGACAGCACTGAAAGAGGAGTATAACAGAAATGGAGAACAAGCCTCTCGAGATTTGATCATGAACCGGTGTGATCGAAACGCGAGGATTGCAAGGAAAAAAATCGGAAAGGCGCTCTCGAGCAGGATCGCAGAGATCTGGGGGCCTGCTTCGAAAACGGTGGGGGATTACCGCAAGACTAGTTTCAAGAACGTTGACCAAGAAGAGAGCAACTCATGAGGCCAAGGTGTTATTTATGGAATTTCCCTAAAACTAATTATATAATTTGCGCAAAAATCCTCCAAATGCTGTACAAATGGTCAAAAAAGGTACCCTAAATTCCAAGCTGCTTGAACAAATGATGTCGGAACAAGATCCACAGGAAAAACAAACTCCATATGTATGAAACCCTCCCCAAATATTCAACTCAGTACTTCTCCACTTCCTCGTCTAAGGACTTCCTCCTCGACGGCGGCAACACCGGCAGAGGCGTTAATTTCTTCAAATCCGGTTCGCGCACCATGCAGTAGACCGAGCAGCTCTGCGGTACACCCATCGCCTTTGATGATGATAGTAAAGGTTGCGTGACATCCATTGTTGCTGCTGCTGCTGGTTTGGATGTTTTGGGATCGATGAGACGGAGTTCGTGGATTAGTTTGAAGCCAAATGTCTCGCATAGTATTAGCAGGGGTAGAGAGGAGACTTCCATGTATATTGGAAGATTCTGAGTGTCGGCCTGAATTGATGAATTAGTAACTGCACACGGGATCTATAAAGGTGAAGAAGAGCATACCATATCAAGGCCATACTGCAGCAGCTGAGAAGCTATACCCTCGTTCCGGTACTCATCAGACACAACCAAGTTCTGAACCGTGATGTACTTTCTCCCTTGAAAAACGCGTTTCTGAATTTTTCGCTTCGAGCGCAGGTAGTGCGAATATCGAAACTCATCAACTACTCCGCCAGGAAACTCCGGCACGAAGGACATCGACCTCAACAAACTACCAGCCTGCAAAAGATATAAGAACTCATCAAGTAGCACGTTCATCCGTGCAGGCAGAGTCTGCACATCAAACAGGAAAAGCCTTAGACTGTAAGGCGAATGTTTCTCCAGCACCACACGCCATTGCGCAAAGCCCACCACGGGAGAAATTTCTTTGATATAACTAGGCGCCATTGTGATACCGGTCGCTTGCGACAGCAATGGCTCCGAGTCGTTTGTCTGTTGCGGTAGAGCGGTGGGCAAGGACGAGGATTCAGTCATTACACTTGCGCGGATTAGAATGTCGCCTTTAACGGCCGCTCGGCGAAGGAAGATATTGCGGATTGTGGAGTGGTACCGCTGCATGCGTTTGTATGTGCTCGTGTTTGGACTCGGGTGTTTGGACGAAAGGTGACCCCTCAGATATCGACACAAAGGATCCAGATCGTTTTCGAGTGCTTGGTCAACCAGCTCCCGGCATTGAGGAACGTGTTCATCTGCCACCCGAAATATCTTTGAGAAAACGGTAGTCTTTGAACTTGGCATGGTTCGGCGCGTGCCAACTGCACGCATGTGGCCTCGGTCGTCGGGACTTATTGTTGTGAAGAATCCAGCGGCGGGAAGTATATCTCTCACCAACCCAGCTGCCGAATCGTGTTTATCGTAATACTGAGCTGCAGGTGGTGCGGTTTGTGCTAACCGTCCTATACTAAGTTCTTCGGTAGATCTTCGAAACTCGAGAAGTAAACCCCAGAAGCTGAAGTCGTTATCTTCCTCGTAACTACCGGTCTCGGTTTGTGGGGAAGTAGCTCCGGAGTTGAAGTCTGATCGTAGCCGGAAGACGACGTCGACGAAGGAGACTGTATTGATTCAGATTGCGCCGTCCCACTCGCAGGCCCATTCCTACTCTTTGGATCCTCTGACCCATTATACCCCTCCTTCTCCGTCAAAGACGACGTCTCTTCATCGTCATATTCGCCTTCATAAGCCGTATACATGCTCGCGCTATAGAGCGACGATCGGTCTGTTTGCGACCCCGTCGTTCCATCGTCTTCTTCTTCGGCAACGAACCCGCGCTCAACCGCCGTCAACCCTGCTTGCTGCTGCCGTAAAATATAGCTTCGAACCGCGTTCATTAACAGATGCTGGTGATTGCGAGGGTGGTGGGTAAATGAAGTCGTTCAGGAGTTTCCGGAATGGTTGAAAGAGACTGATTTGTCGTGGCGTTCTCGTAAATCACTCTCGATTTCAAAACATATCCATACGAGCAACCTAGCAGTCAATAACAGCAGTTTCAAATATCTCGCCCAAAAAGCTGTTATCGTGCTGTCCTATTTCACTTTGACCTAGGTTGCTTTGCTCTAGTGCACGCGCTGCGTAGGCTTTTTCGAACAGGTCAGCTCACGCCGGCATTAGCATTTGTGCGGCTCAAAACATATCGATAAGTCCTGGTTTTTCTCTTATCTTGCCTAAACCGGAAAAACGGCATGCGATAGAGAATATAACATCACATAAGAATGCTGTATACGTATATTATATATTAGACGGTATAAATGTAGCAGAATATTAATACAAAGTATTATAACTGTATAAAAACACAAATTCCCTACGCCTCTTTATATCTTTTATGCCCCAGATCCTGCATCTATTGATATCTGTAAACATTATTGTCTTCAGGGCGACCTTCAATATGCTCAGAGTTCGGTGGAATCGGTGGCTGGGTATGCGAATTAATGATATGCCCATTCTGATGCTCGGCCTGCTAATGCTGTGGAGCGTGATTCCACAGCTCGGATTGATGTGCTTGTGGATGTTGCTGCTGGTGCTCGTGCTGTTGTTGGTGTTGGTTCTGATAATGATGTGACTGTTGCGAATCTTTCTGTAGCTCGGGTAGCAGAGGCAGAGTATAGGGAGATCGCGATACGGGTACTGGTTTCGTTTGTTGCTGTACCGAGGAGTTCAGATTATAATATGGAGCCATATACTGCGATGTGTGTGGCATCCGTTCCCGCGGTCCCATCTCGTTATGCATCATATGAGCGTGCTCATCGGGCGATATACTCGCTCCTCCATTGTCAACGTATTCTTTCGCCACCCCATCAGGTAAGCTTGCGCTATCATAATGCGGCATTGTTGGGGCAGTGGTAGTCGACACCAGACCTGTTGCAAGCCACTCTGGCTCACCAGTGAAGTTACCGTCGAATCCGATACCGTAGGAGTCGATGAACCATTTCATATCTTCCAGATTAACCATACCGGTAGCTCCGTACGCCGAATCAAATATGTTATTCTCCACGTCCTTGGTCTCGCCCAGAGACTCTAGACTGCCTCCATTGTGAGCAGTGGCGTCGTCCGAAGAACCGGGTACACTCCTTTGACTAGACGGACCCTGGCTCTGCGCGACATCGCTCTCCTGCGGCGCCGCTTTCTTCAGCTCAGTCTCAATATTATCGCATAATTTGAACAGCGTCTCGGCATACTTTGTCGCAAGATGTATATCGTCTGGCGATGCATCTCGCAGTGTAGACGCCAGCCCACGAATCGACGATATAAGCTCCTGTTGCCGGTCGGGGTCGGGGTCGCGTTCGAGCGCTAATACCTTGGCAAGGAAGATTGCTGCGTGAATTGCGCGCACAAACCAATGAATCGGCGCCCATCGCAAATATCCCGTTTCATATACTCGCTGGATAACTCTGATTATCTGCTCAGCGGCTCGCGTCGCGAGCAAGATATATAGATCTGCGAGTGATCCGTCTACCTGTCGGTGACCGGGCGGCGAAAGCGCAAGCGAATAAATATATAGCTCGGCGTAATGGTATTCCAGCATCAAAGATTCACGCTCAATCTTGTCTTCAATAATCAGTAGCTGGTACTTTGTGTTCCACGCAGCAAGACGTGAACGAAAGTAACGCAACAGGGGAAGGTAGCTGTCTGAATTGAGAATCTTGTACATTGACTCTGGATTTGAGTACAGACTCTGGTGCGCAAACGACAGAATCCGCAAAATGTCAAGCTTCGCATTATCCAGCGCCGAGAACGAAATCGTGGATGTTTCCTGAAACGAATACGACAGCATGGACGGCCGCCCCAGTCGCAGTGCGAGCGTGATGTCCGAATAGAAACAAGCAAGCGAAATCTCCCGCCATTTCGAGAAAAGATTCATATCCTGCGCAAGGCGGATCGCGACTCCGATCATCATCCACGCCATCCGATCGCTTCGGCGCGCGGCAGCAAAGCCGCCGTATCCGCCTCCGCCTTCAGGGCCGCGGCCGTCTTCGTCGTTGCTAGGAAGATGGGTCGGGTTTGCGTAGTCGCCTTTTCGGCGGTGGACAGATCTCGGGTTCCATTGCGATAGTAGAAGGAATGCTAGAACGGTTGCTAAAGAGATGCTGCTAGCTTCGGCCCAGACGGTTTGCGATATGAGACTCTCGCCATACGTCCATATCGCAGAGTGCACTTCTTTTGAGCGCGCTGTCATCCCCGCAGCTGGAGGCGGATTCAAGTCTCCAGATACATCAGGTAATGCACAGTAGCGAGATGAGATGGATAGGATGGTTACTAGGAGCATAGGGTGAGCCGCCAGGTTGTTTGGAGGTTGCAGCCCGGGTGGGATATAGGGATAGAAGGGGTGCAGCGTTTCGAAAAAGCTGAACATGAAATATTAGCACACAGAGAAACGATTTTGAGAGTGAAAAACCGACTTACAATCTCAATAGGATCATGACCTCGGATTCACTAATTATTCCGGCCTGAACGGGATAAAATAGACTGAGCTTCGACGACCTGAATATCCAACGAGAATGGGTCTCCTTCGCTTTTATCCGCTTATATGGCTGCGACGTGCTGTTTGTCTCTGCTAATCCATCTCCTCTATCCTTTCCTTCTGCAGAATCCGCCACATGAGCGAGAATATTCAAGGCGTCGGCCGCAGTGTGCAGCCCCCGATCCTTAATCAATGAGCCGGTGATCTTCTGCTCCGCTCGGGATTTCTTCGGCTGCCTGCCGTTCGGTCCGTTGTCCTCTGAATTTGCTCGACCAGAATCCTCGTCTTCGTTTTCGCTGCCTTCTTCTGAATTCGCTAGATCTGAATACTTCCTTGCTTTGCCAGCCCTGACGTTTTTCGCGCCTCCACGCCGACTAGGTACGAAATGGCATTTGCGGCCTTCGCGCTTACACCGCGCACATGGCGGCTCAGAAGGGTTTTCTAACGATCCCAGATCGCACTTCACCTTGCGTTCTCGACAGTGCAAGCATGCCTTATATGATCTCTTGAATGGGAACCCACCCCGAGCGATGGACCCTTCTCGGGCCGGGGACGCGGAGGCTGAACTTCGTTGCGCCGTCGACGGGAACTCGGTTGTCAAATGCTGCTGCTGCTGCTGATGAGGCTGTTGTGGAGCTTGGGAAAGAGCCGTAGCGCTGCCATTGCGTATTTCGTGAGAGTCCTGGAAGATCGCGTGCTGCTGGTCCATCTATATGTCGGTATCAAACCAAAATATGATGTTCTCGCTCTTGAACTGTTCTCTCGGTTGATGGCGGAAGGAGCCCACAGATCTGCGGTTAGCCGCGGCGAAGGACGATAGGAAAATACGCAACCCTAATCAACCACTCCATCCTCGAGCAGTCTCTATTTCGTGTGTCTGTTCTCTGGCGTTTGTTCCTTTGTTGTTCTCTTGATAGCCTTCACATTTCATCTGTGTGACTATGCCATTGTGTGGAATTCATCACGAGATGACCTGATAAAATTCTATTCTCTGTGGTGAGTCCGACTTATTCACGAAAACACACGCAGGAATCAGCGACAGATCGAGTTCGATGAACTCAAGTGCCGTCACGATAACTTCGAGCTTCTTGCTTCAGTGCTGTGATGTCCTTCCAATGCTAAATAGCTGCACCTGATAAGCCCATAGATCGATGTTTCTTACCCCGGAGAATGAGTGGTACAGTTTAATGAGGAATGCGTGAACGTAGGAGCGCAGAGACGAGCGGCTGTGGACTATCTACGCGTCCATGAGCATTCTGGCAGTACTCTTCTTTCTTTTCAAAACCCAGCTCTCAATACCAGACGAATGCGGGTGAATTTTGGAGCTTGACTGAGCGTTGAGTACTAGTCCAGCCTCGCTCGACTGTGTCATTACAGCGGTTAATAGCAAGTGAGCACATCGATCTCCGAGCCCAGGCTTTCAATAAGAGTGAAAATCCGAAGACGATGGTTCCTAATGCACCGTAAAGAACTAACTAGCAATCGGATTTTGTTCTGGAAGCATTATGACATCAATCGCAGGCATATATATTACCCCAAGAGAGTCAGTCCGAGACTGTAATATATATCCAAGAGAATAAGCGATTTGCGAGCTATTTTGCGCGGAACGTCATTTCTGAGCGCGGAACAAGACTGTGACGGGGCAGATATGAGCATAGCATATCAACAAGTCTTAGTGGTCGGTAAAGTGGCAATTTATTGCTATCAGATGGTTGAGCAAAACGGACAGGTAACAGCTCGGCCGAATGCTTTGAGATTTTACCCATGATAGCCTCTACAAGTCTCTATATACCTTGAGCGAAGCTGTTCGGCGCCAGAAGCATAGGATCAATAGAACTCCCGACAGTCGGTGTTTCGGCGGAGCGCCGTCGGCCCTCTTCTATGACGGCGAGCGGTGCACGAAGCAGACGTCGAATGTGATACTCGAACGTCAGAGAGGAACGATGACGATTCGTGATGCTACTGAGAGCAAATACTCAATTAGAGTCCCGTTCGGTATCATTGTCCGAGAGAGATAGATTTAGAGAGTCACGGCGTGTATCTATGACGACACCGCTTCTCTAGAGAGCACACGGCGAAGGGCGCGAGAGAAAGCGGAAGGAGGAAAGGGTAATGAATGAACAATTTGCAAAGAGCTTTACGAGGTCTGAGTTTCATATCATACCGGACCTTAACAGTTTTCCACCAAGCAGTGGCGAATATCGAAACGTAATCCTGTGTTCTTTGCCTCGATAGCTTCTCTCCAATCACAATGGTGATCATTTCCGGCTTTAGTTTTCCGATAGAGTAGGAAAGAGAGAGTGTGTGAGAGATCTATAGAGCACTCCCTAAGCTTTGCCCTCGTCGTAGATGCCGCCCGCGGCTCGTATTCTTAAGTAGCTTTCTAAACGATCCTGGAGAGAACAGCTTGAGTTGAGTCCAACAACGCGAACAATGGAATATGTCATGATTTTGACTAAGAACTGGCGACGAACAATTCAAATCAGCTAAAGTCAATAGATTTGATTTACTATTTACCAATCTTTGGGTGTTCCAATTAATATAGATCTCCAAGAGCCATGGCTGGGCACGAACAACAGTTAGAAAGACCCTATCGTGATATAAATAGCAGAGTACGGTTGAGCACTGTACGTGCGCGAGTAATAGTACTCAGCGCCACTGGGTAGTTAGTTGACATTAACCAGCTGGCCTTGCTCGCCGAACGAGTAGAAGTCAAAAGCAGCACAGCCCTCGAGCGACAGAGTTCTGAAGCAGGGATAGGAAGACAAGAAAATCATTCAGTCTAATAGGATAGTGGTCCGAGCAAAGTAAGAGAGGCAAATACCCTGAACGAAACAGAGATGGCAGGGCGGGAATCGGAGTTCGCGCCGCAATCGGCTTCGTCCTCCGCCGTAATCATCAACGGCGTTGAAGCTCGAGCTTGGGTGAAGTGCTGACGTATTCCTGGCCTTTGTCGTTCTCACTTTACGGGGTAGACCTTGGCATCGATGGGGATCTTTTGCATATTCACTGCACTGCAGTGCTTGGCATACTTGAAGCAGCGATCGATCGAAAACAGCATCGTGAGCCAGGGATTGCAGAAAACAAAAAAGGCATCGACTTGATCGAAGAGCTATGATCAAAGAGATGGCAATCACGGAGAACTAATCTCGGTCAACACACCTTCCAAGACATACCTAAGAGCCAAATTGGAAGCTGTGCTTAACCTAAGGCTTAATCGGGTTAGTCTTACCCTGGATCTGTTGGATCTTGAGTCTGTCAAAACTTTTTTTCCCAGTGCGCTGGAACGCTTCTCGGCGATCGAAGGCTCTGCTTCCGGAATTCAATGTCCAACAGCGGCGGGGAAAATCACTATTGGTCTTTGATAGGTCTGATCCGTAGGTGTAATGCACCTCAGATTTCACAAACACCAGATGACGGATGCCCCCTATCTTGAAAATTCGTTTTAAATCTCTTTAGGGCAAAGAGAGCTACTGTACGGATCAGCATCTAGATGATTCAGTAAATCAATGACTGAAATGTCCCTTTCTATTTGCAGAGTATATTAAACACTCAATAACCAAAGACTTCGGGACCCAGCCGGGGCACTTCTCAGCATTGAAAATTGTTTTTTCTCGCATTGTAAAAGGCCTGTGTCGTGCGGCCCCAAGCAAGTTCTATTAAATCTAAAGATCCTTCCATCTTCTTTCCAGCTTTGCTCAAACCTCTGTCCTCTGCCCTCGGACGCCGAACTAGCAGGCCGGGCGCTGTGACTATGGCTTTTATCAGTGCCCGCAAAAGTCCGTGGCTGGGCTTAGTTTCTCTTAGTCTGGATTTCGTAGGATCCAAGTTCCGGCAGTGCCACTCCCAGATCGCGTTGCTTCGCATCACACGATCAACCTCCGCGCAACCGGTATTAAGGCCATTAACGAGATCTAGTAAATAAAATCAGTAAACGGAAAACCGTTGTGCTTATTGTTCCGTAGTTGGTTTTTTCCTTGAATTTTTGTGTGTGCGTGCCGTTCTGAGGAAGGGTCTAAGTTATGGCCCTCCTTTCCAGTTTTGAGGGAAATTTTAGGTTGAGTGGTAGAGTTGCTGCTGTGATACAGATCGAGTGTCTCAATCGTCAATCGCCGTCCGCCCGCCCGCCAAATCGTTGTCAAAACCGCCCAGCAACGTCCACACGCTTTTCTCAGATAGGCACTTCAAAAAGACAAGTCAGGCAGTATTCTGATGCAAAATATTGTCTTATGCTCCCTTTGCCATTCCCAAATAGTTTTACAAGGAGAATTGAGGTGGTTACGTGGTATTGGATCTTGTACCATTTTAACGTTCTACGATTTAGCATTTTCGCTAAAGCACACACTAGTCAACACGTGTGCCATGCCGGTTTGGGTGGGCACACGTAAGGTCCAGCTATCTGAGCCCGTATTATGGGACGAAGTTGATCTTTGAGTGGTCCCTATCCTCATGATGATTTATAGCGTAGTCTGGAAAGTCATACATGTGCCTCTGTTCTCAATGAACTTGTTTTGTTTTCTATCCTGTCGGATTGATGCGTATTGCCCGAGGCAATATATTAGCTTAGCCCGTCATCGGAGTAAGTTAGTTAACGTACAAAGCAGAAACACACCACTTCCATGACATAACTTCGCTTCTTCAACCGTACAATGGATATATCGGTTATATATGATAATAAGTGGACATACAGAATATATTTTTAAAAAGATATCAAGGGCAAAAATGCGGGGTAGAGAAACTATGGGCTGGTCCCGTACTTCCCACAGGGCTGGAGATGGTATCAGAAGACCTTCTCGCCCATCTTAACGAGAAAAGGGTTAGCTAGCACGAACGGCGCTCTTCCATGAGACAAAAGCTGAAGATATTGCTAAACGTGACGGGGATAACTTTTATATAAACTTAGAGACAACAGAGCCAGACCCGTCCCCAGCGCGTTGGGATGACAGGCGACGGTTGGATTTTTGGCGTTGAATCCAATCCATGCTTTAGATCAAATCCAGCAGTAAAGTGACGATCAGCCGATCGATAGTGAAGGAGAACGCCTAGTTAGCTGGACAAACGTTTTGAAACGGTAGGAATGATGCGCATAATAAGTTTGGATCTGCCCCAGTGATTTTACGCGTTGAATAAAGGTCGTTTCAGCTTCTAAATGCGCGTCGGGATCCTATGAAATCGGAGTGTGATAGCTGATAGCCAGCGCATTCGCGAAATCGGACCAGTGAACTCCCTGTGCCTAGAATCTGCGACAATGATGAGCTAAGCAGGCAATTTACAGAAAACTTGTAGAACACCGAAGTTCCGCCCGATCGATAGTTGATAGGTCGAATGTGCAATCAGTTGACAGTTTTGATGGCGAAGATGGGACGGAAATCCGGGACGTACTTGACAAATCTGTACGCTTGAGCCGCTTGTACCTCTTTACCAACACCAACGGCGAGAGGAATGCTGACGTTGACCTTTATGCGCTAAATCTATCCGGCCTGTCAAGAAATTTGATAATTAGTGCTGATAGGCAGGGCGGAATAATTGGGTATCTTTGATGGCTCTTGAGGGCGTGAGAATATAGGAAGAAGTAGCTTCACCATCTGTTGATGCACATCGCGCAACAAAGCTCATCTTCTCTACTCGGCTTCCACTCTCACACGTCCCTTTAGCCAGACCCACTCAGAAGAGTGTCGAGCACGAATGCGATGCTAGGCTAAGATCGTTATAGCCCATTCCGGACACGATCCGGCGAAATCATTAATTATTTGTCGGAATATATGGCAAGAGTAAAACCGTCAGCTCATCAGCCCCCTTGATTGGTAAAAAACACGAGATTTCATGACAATCGTCCTCAAAACGGTGATGCAATTTCCTTTATTTTCCAGCATCGGCCATGTCCAAAAGCCCTGAGATAATTGCTCAATCTTCAAGATATGGCTGAGTGGCGACTTCCTCCGACCGGCTCGACCGGCCTTCCTCTCGATCGAGCTCTGATCCACAAAAATGGACTTCCCATTACGGTTGGAAGCTGGAGCTCGATTGGTATGCGCCCTAACCCATTTTAAAAATTTATGGGGAATTAGCTTAACCCGGCAGACTCACGTTTGTGTTCCACATTGCTTTTGTGACTCGCTTGTTACTTTCCCCCAACCCCAAACTGCTCCAAAATCACACCAAGAATATTATATTACTCGATGTTTGATTAATATGAAGCTGATGATAAATACTCCCTCCTCCATATCTTTCTGTTTCATTGCATGACATTGCATTTCGCACATCACCCGGTAAGTCGACGCCCTCGTTCAACACGCCAAACACCGATTGCCACCCCATCCAGTTCTCGCCAGCGAAGCTTTCGAACTCGGGCGCTCCTACCGTCGGCCTGGATGAAAATAGAGTGAGTGGCAAAGTCGAGAAAAGTTTTTGCGGTTCCTGGACTCTACGTTTTAAGAAACGAATCCGAAAGAAGTATGTTCCTGGGCGAAATGGTTCCAGAAATTTTTTTTCCTTTTCTACTGCCCTCGGCTCCGAAACAGGAAGAAAACTTCGTTAGAAGCTGGAATGGTCCGTGAAAATTCTTTTGGGAAGAGCGGTTGATCTGATCCGACGTTCACCATCTGCACCAGCTATCGGTTTTCTCTTGCTTAATGGGTAATCTGGAGAAAACAGGTATCACGGCGAACTGCGATACCTGTTCCAGCTAGGCCGAACATTCGGCGGGTGACTCCCTACTCTATACCAACAGCAGAGCACGATGCAGCTGGATTGCATTTGCATGCCTGTAGATCTTGACAATCTGGTACGGGATACGGCTGTGATAGTTGGAAACGAAGGAATTTGGCTGTGAGTCGTTATTATACCTGTCTTATTCGCATTACTGCATATTTATTATACGCCTGCATGACTTTTTGGCTGTTTGGTTTGTAGCACTTTTGATTTTCGGATTCTGTATATCGGAGCAGCCAGTCGGGGGGTTTTCTAAGGGTCTGTACGTTTTACAGCGAAATACAGGCTTATAGTCAATATCATTCAAAAAATTATTGAAATCTCCATGGTCATCAATCTAATATTAATAACCGATTTATTACTTCCTTGGAAACAGCAATTGCATGCATTCACAGGCAGGAAAAAAAGAAATCGGGAGTTGACTAATGAACCTGCAGCGAAACTAAGGTGTTGAAGGTGCAAAATTCCAGGAATCAAACAGACAATCACCAGGATACGGGATTGATACGCTGTTTGATTTGACATAAGGGTGACCATCACATATCTGTATGATTTCACGGCAGGATTCTCTGCTACTGTCCATGAATGTGCTGAAGTGCATGCGTTGGCGTAAAATCTGCATTTACCGTCGGAGGTACTCACGTCAAGCCGGTAGGTTGGCGATGCAGGTTATTGACGAGAAACTAGAAAATATGGGGGAGATGTCAAAGTTGTATTGCACCTTAGGCAGAGAGTGAAGCGAACAAACCGAACTAGAGTGATAGTCCTGCATGCTGTGACGAGAACAAGCGCCCCTTGGCCTTCGCCCAATAGAACAGCAGTACCGGACTAGCCATTTAGTTCTGCAGCTGAAAAGAATTGACTAACTGGAACAGTAGTTCACGATTCTAGATACACGAAATCAACAAGTTAGTCGTAACAAGAGAATTCGGACCAAAAACGCGTCTCCATCGAGGCAGGTGTTCTCCCCAAAATCGTAGCCCCTGGTCCCTTAATAAGAGAAAAACGCAGGGCGTAGACCCAATTAAGTAAAGCGCCCCAAGCCCAGTGCTCGCCTGGAGCTGACTCTCGGCCCGCGTGTGCCCCTTGCCGCTTTCACCCAACGACAACTTTAATCACCTTGACTTGAAAACTCGGATTAGGCCGTGGGGAGGTGTCTGCTCGCATTGAAGTCACATACGCCAGAGTAAACAAAAATGAAGACTAAAAGATGACTTGATGGCCACAGGGGGCATTGTAGGGATTGCTTTAATTTTTTGTCCTATCTCTAGCTTGACTTTCGAAGAGTGGGCAGAGATAACAGAATTACCTGACTAAGCGGCCATAGTGACTTAAAATAACCATCAAATTTACCGTGAGCCGCACAAAGCCTTAAAAATGAGAATTGAGTTTTTGGTGCCGCACATGAAGGCTTGAGCGCGTATTAGTATGGGCCTTCTGAGCACGAACCAGGCCACGCTTTTCGTGTGAAAGAATGAACACGTAGTCGAAAGCAGAGCGCAGCTTTTTCCGTTTTGATTTTCGCTCAGCCATTATGTGCCAGGAGTGGGCTAAATAATCGATAGTTAATTAGATGACGATGGGGAAAAGGAGAAAGGGTTCAACTTTTATCGAGATAAAGCTCGTATAATCCTCAGAAAGGCAATAATAGTAGATATAGAAAAGCATCGGGCGCACGTATGCGACTCTTTTCAGCGCAAGAGTTTCAAAGTCAAAGAGAGACTGTATATATGTGGACTTGGCAGCAATTGGCTACTATTGCTCGACCGCGGGCAGGGCGGTCGGTGGTAGTTACTGGCTGGCTGAAGGCTCTGATCACCCACAGAAATGCGCACTAGCAAGCAGTGTGAAGGCACTCTGCAAGGCAAAGTGGCATGCCTGATCGTCAATCCAATCAACGCAGACGAAGTATTGGGTCTGGCAGGTGTGGAGAGAAACGTATCGGAATCTGAAGTTCCGATAGTTGCGGCACCTTATCAATAGCAGCTACAATCACAGCAATAAGCGCAAAAGCCCCGGGGGACCTTGTAGGGATCATCAACGCAATTTGATTAGGAGTGGAGAAGAGAAATTGAATCAAGGGGTTCGGAGGAAAGTTAGCGAGGGCCCATTTGATTAAATTGCAACAGAAACGAGCGAAGGGAAACAGGGATTTTGTCGGCCGTTTGGAGTGCTGTTTTGCAACATAAATACATAGTACCCGGCGCAGGGAAAAACCCCTTCCTGTCTTGTCCGCTTGATCCGAGCGATACGAGAATGCCACAAACAGAGAACGCTTGTAGGATGAGAGCAACCTAAACGAGAGAAAATTATTGAACGAAGGTGACTGGGAACACGGGGGGAGATAAAATGATGTCAGGGGTTGAGCTTTTGATTTTTTAAAAAAAACGAATTCTCAATTTACTTGGTAACACATTGTTGGCCAGAGTTACACGTGGTTGGTGCCACGTCGCGTCGTGCTTTTAATCTCTAACATTCTGGGATCAGATAGTGGGCAAGCACCAGTCTCAGATAATTTGCTGTGATTATCTCGCCCGTTCCGGTAGCAACCGGATGGAAATTGCAAGGGAAGTAGCGCTTCAGGAAGTGACTGGAATTGAGGCAGGTTCACGAATAATAGCAGTGATCGGTAGTTAGCCTTCGAGATCAAAGTCTAAAGTTGTAGTTCTCCCTTCCTTGCTCTCGCATCTCTCCACTCTCAACAGCGCCACGCAGCGGAATGAACATCCCCTAGAAATGATAACACCATACTCCTTAGTCACCAAACCCCCTTCCTCACCAAGTCATGCCAGTGTGGGAGGGTGGGCGGCTACTCCTACAGACGGCTGATTCTCAAGAAGCTGAGGATGATAAGAACATCTCAATTTAAAAAGTCAATACTATTTATATGGCAAATAAACTGATAAAAACAATACAACAAAGCCAAAAAGTGCTGAGCCCAATTCTGTACACCAAAATAGTAACAAAAATACAAATACTCACAAATGAAGATGGCCAAAACAAGAAAGCATAATGTAAACACCCCGTAATATAGCCCGTTTCCCTTTAATACAAAAATGACTCCGCATATGATCATGATTGAGTAACAGTGTAAAGTGTAGTACTCATTCATCCTCCATCTCATCCTCCTTCAAATCCGCCTCCTCCGAACCAGATCTACTGCTGTGATCTTCCTCTTCCGCGATGTTGTTAGTTGCCTCAGAGCCAGAGTCACCAGTAACACTTGATTCACTCGAAGTGCCATTCGCGTTCGCGTGGTGTCTCTTCGATCTCCGTAACCGTCTCAGTCTTCCTTGCATCAGGTAGTAAGCACCGCGACGGACAATGACCTCGAGCAAGCTGCGCTCGTAGCCGTATAGTTCATAGGTCTGTTTGTAGATCTCCTCAATGATTCTTCGCCTCTCCTTCTCTTCAGTGTCGCGGATCCAAGTCCGCTCACCAAGCGGGAATCCCTGGTCTTGTAGGATTCCAAGAATGTGCTGCTCTCGCGACCGGGCCTCATCGGGATCCTGTGCGAGTCCCATGCGAGCATGGAGGTCAGGCAGGGGAATCCGCGATTCGCTCTGCTTGCGAGGCGCGCGCGGAGGACGAACTGGAGCAGCGCCGTTAGAGGGCTGGCCGGCCTTGAGCGAGGAAGCGGCAGCAGCAGCAACAGCCATCGCCAGCGACACTGAGCTGTCTGAGTTTCCGCTCAATGACACCGGAGGAATGGGAGAGCATGCAGGGGAGGTTAATGAAGGAGCAGCGCTGAAGGCGTTGTTGTTGGAGGGGTAGTATGTGAGGGAAGGCGAGGACATCGGAGTTGAGAACTCGGACGACGAGGCTGAGGAGATCGACGACGCAGACGAGAACGATTGCATTTCCGGTGAAAGACGCATCCGTCTCTGCGCCTGCATTGACACGAACTGCGACAGGCTGGGATCAGAGTCAAGATCAGCACCAGTCATGTCCGCGAACGTTAGGTTTGTGAACATCTTCTTGTTCATCTGCTGTGGCTGCAGTTGTCGTTGTTGTTGTTGCGGCTGCTGGTTTTGCTGCTGCTGCGCGGCGAGAATCGCAGTCGCAGCAGAGAGGTTGTTGCTATTGATAGCAGCGGCGATAGCAGCCGCTGTGGCCGCCGCGTTGTTCTGTAGATCATGCACGCTAGGGCAGACATCGTTGTAAATCTGCTTAGGTCTGTGAAAATGAAGAAAGACACGTTAGATTTGATCAACTGCAAGACTGCTTCGTGTTGATGATGAAAAACTTACGCCTGGAAAGAGTTGTCGAGCAAGTTCATGCCAGAGAAGTCCGAATCAGCCGATAAGCTAACAGACTTGTGCGGCCAATCGAATGAGAGATCGTTGAGTGTGTCATCATCCTTGCACAAGATCGAAGTCGATGCGTCGAGGAGAGAAGCGCCAGTAAGTGCAGCTGAGGATGCAAAGAACGACGGCGACAGGAACTCGTCTGAGGGAGTGATGGGCGAGGACTGATCGTCGAAGGACACCCACGACGAGACGTCACCGTTCGAGGACATAGCGAGCAGATCCATTGACAATTGTACGAGCTGAATTGATGTAAGGGGGAAGTGGTGCTAGGTGTCGTAAGGTAGAGGATAGATTGGAAGGAGACGTGCCGTGGCAATCAGAAATTAGCGAGAGCGCGGTGGTGTGCGATATATATGGTAGCTCATCGCTTCTCGAGAATACCGCTGTCTGGGTCGCGTCTGTGTGGCCAGGCAACTTTTCTTTTGCTGGAATTGCTTTTTACCGGAAAACTTTAAAGACTGGGTACCTCTTTGCCGTACCTGCGCGACCAGCTACCGCGCGAGCCAGCGCCGAAACAGGTATATAAACCTTAACGAATATAGTACGAACTTTTCTGCGGCTGATTCACCATTTCAAGCAGTACCTGGCAATCGGCAGGCGCGCTAACTACTTTCAGCGGGCTAGGCCCCAAAGCCTAAACCACTGCCCAAACCCTTGTCCCGAGAGAAAAGAATGCTCGCCGACAAATTCGGCACCCGACTACGTGAATTGAGCCCATTTCCCTGAGCGGAATGATTTTTTCACTCCCACTCACGTTCTCTTGTTACTTCTTCATTTATCATCAGCGGCGTGCGTGCCCCGGATACCTCCCCGCAGAGGTCTGCCCGCGAGGACCAAGCACGGCTTTTGGCTTCGCCGCGAGCACTGGAAGGAATGATGGACTCACTAGGCAGACCAGATTGCATCCTGATACCCTGTTACTCACGCTGACCTCTGCGAGCGCGCCAAATCAGACCCGGCCACAGCGAACGCCGTGGGAGTGGCGCAAGGTGGACGCGGAAATCAATTGCCTTTCTCCGAAAGAGAACAAATGACAAAGAACTGCAGAAGACGCGACTTTGACGAGACTTCGTGAAGGATAGTAGAAATCGAGCCAATGGCTGGATAGATATGCCCACGGGCTGGCGGATTACATAGGTTATGTCTACTGATTAGCTTTCTGATGACTCTTCTCTACACGTAGCGAATGTGTTTTCGCACGAGAGCTTATTGCTGATTCTGATTTAACCAAAGATACTCGGTTGTTCTAATTCCTTCAGCCGTTTCTCTTCTGCAATATGAGCGTACGTGCTTGAAAGTGAGCTAGAGCGGCTCCGAGCTCTTGAATAGTAGTTAGCCTATTCCGTAGGAATTTTTCTTGTTTTTTTTTTGTGTTTTCTCAACGTTATCGCTTGGCTATCCCTGCTTGCTTGCCGAGCGCCGTTTTTTTCATCAAAGCAACTGCAACATTACTTTGAGGACTGTTTTCATTGATTCACTTCGCTTCGCTTCCTCCATTCTTTGCTTCTCTCAATATTATCTTTCTCTTTGAACAATTTAATTGGCGCTATCAGCACTTCACTCGTGTAGCAATTAAGTTTCTCAGCTTAAGATAAGCCACAGGAGCCTCACTGCGTAAATCCTGCGGGCCTTGCGTTCCCGCCCTTGGTGAGCGCCGTTATCGCTCGCTTGCTTCCACTTTGCTACTAGTCGCGCGCTTTACTTTCCTCCACCAAGCTGGCGGTGTGCGAGAATCCTGGGCTTTGGCAATAATTTGCTCTCAAACCGAGTCACGTGAGGCTCTAAGCGAGAAAAACAAAGACGCTTTGCCCTTGCTACCAACCCCACGAGAACATGAACAGGAACTAGCACAGGGACGTGAACTAACGGTCTTGCGGGTCCAGAACAATAAAACCTGGCTTTTACAGCCTGATTAGTTTATCTCCTCTAACATCTTACCTCTTTTCACCTAGAGCTGCCGACTTGTTTGCTTGCATGACATTAGTGATTTCCTCGATCTCTATCTTGCGCTGAACTAGTCCCGCACTGCATGACCCAATTCGGCTTCAGCTGCTAGCCTGCTAGCCTGGTTACCTCCTAGCTTGGCTTGTCCCCACTGAACGGCATACGCTCCTTTGTCTTTGCAGAGAAGAAGGAAATGCTTAGCTTCGGACTGATTCCGCCTCGGAGCTCTCTTGCCGATTCTAAATTGACGGCCCTGGTCTTACATTCTCTCGCTTTATATCATCTCACCTTCACATCCCCACATAGTGTGCCGCGTGAGGTGCTTGCATCACCTATCCCGCTTAAGCACCTCACGGACTTTTTTCACCTTCACTTCTTCTTTCACCCCTACGCTAGCTAACGCATGCTGTTTTTTGCTCCACGCGGTCTCAATTTCTGCATTCGAATCTGCCTGCGATCGTGCAGTCGGTAACAGGGCTCGCCGGATTGAGATAGAACAGGTAAGTCACCTGGGTAAGGAGGAAACATAATAAGACAACCACGCGTCTTAGCATCGTGACAATTTTCATCACCGCCAGATCATTATCCCTCATTCGCGAATGCGCGTGAAACAATTTATCTGCAGGGTTGTGTGATGGTTATCATTCCTTGCCATATTCTGCCAGTCGTTGCTATCTGAGAGTCGGTGACAGGCGTTGTCCGCGGTGCTTCGACTGTTCATTACCCTCTTTTGCTAGTCCTGATGAGGAATGCCGGTGGACTCGGGGGTTTGGTGATCGGGAAAATAATGTGTTCAGCTGTTAATTAGATAGCAATGTGCTTTTCCCTCTATCACGACTATTACTGCTTTCCCCGCTATTGATATGTCCCCGACTATAGAGAATTATCGGCAGTAATCAGTAACGGTCTATCTATAGATTAAAACAGGCTGTTGACATCATAGAGTCAAGCAAATTAATCTGTCGGCTCAACCGTCCCGCTCTATCAGCCTGCAGCAATTGTAAGTATGCAATTAAAAACGATAAATGGTGTCCTAACCATTTATTAGACGATTCATTATCCTATAGCACTCCAGTTGGCAAGTTGATGAGGGTATGACGATGCAACTTATCTCTTGCTATATTTAGACTTCAGCACAGTGCGTACTATATCGCTAGCCGTACGATGGCCGTACGTTGCACATCTCTCATCACGCAAGCACCGAAACCAGTGGGCCCTGAGAATTTCCCGAGTTATTCATTTTATTCTTGGGAACTGCGACAGAGGCAGCAGACGATGAACACTGAAGAGGCAGTCAGCTTCAGATCTGTCGATGGTGTGTTCTAAACCCAATTTACTCGCGTGTGAAACATCTACGTAAGGCATATATCAATTTATACTGCACACAAGCGAGCGCGTGGCCCAATATATATTCTAAAGTGGATAATTATGAAGATGCGATGTACGTCACGCTGCTAAATCTCTACATCATAGGCAGCAATTATAGGAACATTTTATTGGATCGTTGTCTTTCCGCTGCAACAATTCTGCTCTATTTGTAGAATCGTATAATTAAGGACGCTTGAATACAACGAGTACTCGGAAGCCCAAATATACGTACAGAACACTAGTGCATAATTTATAGTGCGCGCCGTTAACTGTACATCGTATATTGAAAAAACCAGCATCTATAATTACTCGTCGCTTTTCTCTCAATTATAGAAGTCTGGTGCTTGACCAATAGCCTGTCTTGCTAGTGGCGATCTTGTGCGTCATATCCAGCGTATCATTAATCGAGATAGTACTGACCAGTAACCGTCAGTATCTGATAGCGTTCAAGATAGCTTGTTATAAAAAATAAGTCTGACCGTTATTTTCGACGACCGTTATCTAAATTACGGTGCATACGGACTCCAGTAATTTTTATTAATATTCCATGCGCCGGGCAGATCAGTACGCAGCGATTATAGAGACGAGCGGATTATATCTAGCCGAGTCGCTGAGGCATCGATGGCATCGTGGACTACAAAATGCGACGAAGCCAGTTAACATTCTGCTCAACATATTTAAATTTCTATAGATTCTGATGCTCCCTTTTTCCTCCAATGGTCTACCTCTTTGCGGGGCCAGGCGGGTCGAGGTTCCGGGGGCAGTACGCAGAGCGCCGGCTCGAATCCAGAGCAGTCAGCCTATAGCAAAGATTACTAGCTGGACCGTGTGAAGTTTCTTAGCGTGCTTTTCTCTAATAGTTTAAGGGTGCGTTCGCTAGCAATTTCGTAAGAATAGGATTCAAAAAAAACCTTCTGCGGCTTGGCGAACGCGCCAGCTGAATCTGATTCTCTCCTCCGCTGATGAAAGCAATTTCCGTGATGGACGGGTCCTGATGAGGGGTTTGTGTGAAGAAACAGCCCTCTCTGTTTCTTTTGAACACCAGGGTTAAGGCGTTTGAATACACCTTTTTTAACGTATTCAAGAAAAGCGTATTCAGGCCCAAAAAGAATGTATTCAGTCGGTGCCAGCGAACGCACCCTAAATACCCTTTATGAAATCATTTCTCTGCGCTTAACTTTTAGATCGTCAAGCTGGGAAGAAGCCTGCAGAGACTAGAGCCCAGTCGATGGAGTACGTAGTATTTCAAGCGCGCCAATGAGACTAATACTCGTGCTAACGGTGAAGCTACGACTGCACATACGCTATTGCAAAAAATCATCAAAGGCCGCTAAACAGTACTAGCCAGAGGCCCTGATGGGTGCTGAATAACCTGATCTGCTGGGATTTGCGGGGTGCTGTCCTGTCTTATGTTTTTTGCTTGGTCCTGGAGCTAGAATATCATGGAGGTTACTGTTGATTTGGGAGCTGTCATGTTGATCGAATGCAGAACAAAATCTTAGCCGTCTGATTTCTGTGGTTTCATGAGATTGAGCGTAAGAAGATGAATTGAGACACGAGGCAAGACAGGCTGAGTAGGGGTTGAGCGGAAATGGAGAAGAGAAAGCGGAAGTAGTCGAGGAAGATCAAAAATGTGGGGAGCGGACTCTCGCAGATTATCCCGAGCCCAAAGGTCGATCCATGCGTCCGCTGAACAAGAAGATTGACTTACGTTCGAAGAGAAAATTAGACTCAACTCAAATATAAAATATTTAGGTCTTTTAGTAGATTTTGAGAGCTGGGAACGCTGGTATTGATGCTGAGCTACGAGAGAGATCTCGAGAACAGCTCGATAGAGATAGACGCCAGACGGAGTCTACCGAAAGATAAAAAAATTATATCTGTACGACTCGTTTTTCTAGTGAAGTAGCGAGCTTCCGGTATCCGAGATAAGATATATAATCAATTACTCTGTTTGCAGGACAAAAAGAAAAGCGTCCAAACAACCATCTGGATGGTAGGTCATATACTGAGCAGAAATCTACTACGCGGTGGCCATGATCCGAGCTGAAAAAATCATGCCTTGGGTGCTATTAATCGCCCATGAACAGTGCTTTTTTTCCCTGTGTCCCTGG